ACAATTCAATTTTCATTTTTGAAACTTGAAGATTTTAAATTTTTTTTTAAATTTTAAATTTTAAAATTTTTTAGATTTTTTGAAATTTTCAGAAAAATTTTTTAAATTTTTGTTCAAAATAAAATTTTGTCGACCAGTCGTTCAGTTTTAGCCCCTTTATTAAATTTGATTGCCAGAAAAGTCTGATGAAGAAGCCTTTTACGCTAATTTTCACACGGAATGTTTGGACTCTTCTGATAACCGAATTATCCGAAATGAGCAGTGGGAAAAGAAAGCGATAGCTTTTCTTTCAGATTACTGTCAATAAAAAACATCTTTTTTGGAAAGCACTCACGTAAAAATTAGAGGCGGCGGGGTAAAAGTTTTTTTTGAGTTTGGGGGTTTGAATTAACCTAGGTTGGGCTAGGATAGGCTGGAGAAGACAAGCGTGAGGATTAAAGGCAGGGCTGGGTTTAAGCTAGCTATGGCAAGGACTAGAGTACCCAGTGGGCTGAAATTGAGGTTGAATGCAAGGCTAAGGCGCAGTCTGAGATTCAGGCTCAGGCTCAGGCTCAGGCTCAAGCTCAGGCTCAGGCTCAGGCTCAGGCTCAGGCTCAGGCTCAGGCTCAGGCTCATGCTCATGCTTATGCTAATGCCCATGCTCAGGCTCATGCTCAAATTTAGGCTCAAATTTAGGCTCTAATTTAAGTCAGGTTAGTATAAGTCCCAGAGGAACTACACAATATATTCTCACTTATATATTTATATTATACTATACTATAAATGTGTTATCATACTTTTTTTTCACGTCATTACGGGTCGTCATCCTTTCGCATCTAATATTTATTCCTTGATTATACGACGAGTGCTTCTTGAAGAAAGCCACGGTCCTTACATATTACTGGATTTTCTCGGTTCACCGACTCGAGGACACAAGTCTTGTTTTGTTCGCTTTTTTTTGTTTTTTTTAACTTTGTAAAGTGTGGATTATTAATGTTGAGGGGGGGGATTAACTGTCCGTAACGAAAAGACGTGAACGTGGTTGATAGGGATGCAGGTGTAGACAGGTATATAAGATACTAATGTGTATATTTATACAATTTACTGCGGTTTTATTACTTTTTATAGCGTTTACAAGTTTTTAAATTTTTTTTACAAATGGAGTTTATACTTGCCTTGCCTTGCCTTGCCTTGCCTTGCCTTGCCTTGCCTTGCCTTGCCTTGCCTTGCCTTGCCTTGCCTTGCCTTGCCTTGCCTTGCCTTGCCTTGCCTTGCCTTGCCTTGCCTTGCCTTGCCTTGCCTTGCCTTGCCTTGCCTTGCCTTGCCTTGCCTTGCCTTGCCTTGCCTTGCCTTGCCTTGCCTTGCCTTGCCTTGCCTTGCCTTGCCTTGCCTTGCCTTGCCTTGCCTTGCCTTGTCTTGCCTTGCTTTGCCTTGCCTTGCTTTGTTCTGTCCTGGCCTGCCCTACTCTACCCTACTCTACTCGACCCTACTGTACCTGACCTTACATGACCGTGCTACGCCCTACCTTATACTGCTCTGCTCTACTGTTATCTGTACTTTCTTAGTTTTACCTTGTATTACAGTAGCCTTACTCATGTCCCAATCTGCCCTTCTCTCCTTTATCCTACCCTATGTCAAAAATTGTCTACTACACCCAAATTACCTCCTAAAATCCACTTCCCTATTCATCGCTCCGACTATATTACTCTATTATTACCCTGTTATGACGGAAATTACCTAATTATCCTACGGTACATGTCTATATACTCGATTCTGTCACTATACAATCGTACGCGGTCTTCCTTGTTTTTTCAACGACCGAAACAAAAGATTTTTTTGTTCAAATCAAATTCGAATAATCCAATTTTGACGATTTCTTTTTCAGGAGGCCCGGTTTCAGAAGCATTCCGTGCTAACAACCCAATCCAATTTGTTTGGGTTTGAAGGTTTTGGAAAGTTTGTTTTAGGCAGCGCGGTGTTGCTGAATAGGGGGGGGAGGATGGTAGTTTATTGTATTATTTATTATATTATTATTAATGGTCGAAACTTTAAACTTGAAAACTAAGTATTTTATGGAAATTTAAAGTTTTGTATATATAACACTATTTTTAAAGTTTTAGAAATTAAGTTTTCTTTTTATTATATTTTCTATCATAACTGACCACTACAATGTTCTTCTTTGTTAAAAATTACAGCAAACTTTTACAGTCGAAGGTAAAGTAATCATTTTTGATTGTTTTTTTGTTACCTAAAATTTAAAAGGTAGACAGATAATATAAAACTGCCATTTCTTTATGTAATTCATACAACAGGAGAAGAATTGAATATTATTGTCATCACAGACGTAAATATAATATATACCTTAACTATTTGTATTGTTCACTCTCTCTCAAAGTATAATAGTCTTGCTTTTTTGTTTGGCTGAAGTGTAATAGTATTAAAAAGGGCAATTTATCTGTTTTACAACAGCTGTTACTATATAGCACGAATGCAAAGATATATAAATGGGGCTGTATATGACATTTCTTGGCATTTTTTAATAATAAATCTAATAAAATTATGTTAGCTACAGTCAAAAACATCAGCTTTTAAAAGTTTTTGTAAAATTTTAAAAATTTAGGCTAGGACTGGTGCTTGAAATTTTTCTAAAAATTTTGAAATGGCTATTTTTAACTACACTTGCATATACGACAACGTTTTCTCAAATGTATTCTTAGTAGTGTATTATTATTTGTTGTGTGTACATTCATTTTGTCGATATTTGGCCGCAAATTATGCTAATTACTTTAAGCTCAAGGGCTTTCCGAGTAGTTGATAATTTACTCGGCTTTATTTTTACATTTCATTCTGTGTCTCATATCTACGTGACTAATTTTATTAGTTTTTGTTTTTAATATTTTACATTTCTATGATATTCTGGTCTTGATATGAGTTTTACTTAAAGCATTATAGTTGTGTGTAGTACTATTAATAGTAGAGCAAGGTAGGACAGGTAATTTTACTATCACTACCATGTAACGTTAGTACTTGCATTATCACTAGTAATATAACGTTAGCTTTGTTACAGAGCTATTTCTTTAACTTAGTACTATTACTAGTACCAGTGCTGTAACTATAGAGCTACCACTAGTGATAGTGCTGCAAAGTTATTACTATTACTTGTACATGTCCTGTAATCTTAGTACTATCATCATAACTAGTACTATAATATTAGTACTATCATGAGTATAGCTGTATAGTAATGTAAGGTCAGTACTATTACTAATACTGTGTTTTTAAGTTATTATTGTTACTAGTGCTGTAATATTATCAATACGACTAGTTCTAGTTATGAAACTTTGATAGTACTATTAGCATTAGCTCTTAATCGATAGTACTATACCATCACCAGACTAGTGCAGTAACTTTCTCAAAATTATGATTATTTTGATATTATATAAAGTCTTTTATTATTCTAGTCTAGTAATTAATTTTAGCATATTTAATCAGTAACCAACTTTAAAATTTTTTTCATTATTTAAAAATTTTTTTTGTTTCACTACAAGGTCTTTCATACCTATATAACCCTTCAAAATCCAAAATTTCATTTTCCAAACATTAAAAAATTAAAAACACTTTAAGAAGTTTAACTGCGAACGACGGGGGGAAACTCTCGGGCCAAGGGACAAATTAGGTTATGGGCGAGTGCGCAAAAGAATGCCGTAGGCAGAGTTCTCGACGAACAAAGCCTTGCAGCCTCAGCGATATCTCTCTATTGTTTTTTGTATTTTTTGAGATTAGAGTATTTGTTTTGCGGGTTGTTTATGACGTTAAGGGAGGGGAAATTAGGGCCTGCGGGTAAATAAGATGAATTGAGATACGTTGGTTATGTTGTAGTAGGGCCGTGTTTTGTAACAGGGTAGGAGAATAATTTGTAATAGGGATAGTGAGCAAAATCTTGTGATAACTGACCTAGCTCTAGCCTTAGCTCTAGATTTAGCTTTAAATTAAGTCCAGAGCCCTAGCCTAAAGCTCTAGTCCAGAGCCCTAGCACTAGCCCTAGCCCAGGGCCCTAGCCCAGGGCCCTAGCCCAAAGCCCTAGCCTAGAGCCCTAACTTAGAGTCCTAGGCCAGTGTTCTATCTTAGACCTCATAGACTAGAGCACCAGCGCCAAGTCCTAGTCCATAGCCCTAGCCCAATGCTCTAGTCCAAAGCTCTAGCCCAGAGCTCTAACTGAGAGACATAAGCCAAAGCTCTAGCTCAAATTCCTAAGCCAGAGCCTTAGCCTTGCTTAGCTTTGCTCTAGCCTTGCCCTAGCCTTGCCCTAGCGTTGTCTTAGAATTGCTTTAGCCTTGCTCTATCCTTGTCCTAGCCTTGCTCTAATCTTGTTCTAAACTTAGCTCTAGCTTTGCTCTAGCCTTGCTTTAGACTGAGTCCTAGCTCTAGATCTAACCTTAGTTCTAGTTTTAACCTTAGCTCTAGTTCTAGTCTTAGATCTAACCCTAGCTTTACCTAGCATATGTTTCTTTTTGTTTTAGTCTTACCTTTGTGCTGTCTGCTTTCAATTCTTCTTTTTATTGTTCTATTCATACTTCATCTTTAGGCTACTATTGACATATCCTAGTTCTACTGCAGGCTTTAGTCTGTTTTTTACCATACATTTGGCTTACTCTACCCTTACCTATCTTTACTCGTAATTAAAAGATTGTTAAAAAATACTAAAATTACTGAAAAAAGCAAGAGTAGGGCTGAGACGAAGGTTGAGTGAGTTAATGTATTCCGGCTAATAATATACAGGTCAGAATATTTGATTTTGTCTTTTTGTGTTGACTTGAGGTTTGTTTTATTAGCTTCTGAAAGTTATTTTTGAACTGAAAATACTACTTTTGGATTTTTTTAAATGAAATTTTAGGTAATAATTTTTTTAGGCTAGTAACAGCATTATATGTCAAGGATAAGCAGTTTATTTAAAAAAACTTTTTTTAATTGTAAAATAAGAGCAGTAGAAGTTTCTTTAAGCTTACTCAGAATCCTTCATCTCCCTATCCACACATGCACTTCCCTTTGCGACAAGGCAATCCATGACAATCTTGACCTTGTTCCGAGCATTTTTTGATGTTGCAAAAGTCTTCTCTAGCTCGATTAAAATTCTCAAATCCATTTTTTCTCAGTCCAGCCAAACAATTGCACGTTCCTTTCTCCCAATCACAGCCACCCTTTAGTCCGCCACACTGATAGTCGAATTGACACTTTTGGTTATCTTCACATGCGTCACAGTTACACGTACCAACATATACACCAAAACAACGGCCGTTACGGCCGCATTGAGTATCTGTGGTGCATTCGGTAAGCTGGCGACACGTTGGGACGAAATCGCCGAATGATGGGCGGGTGGGGGTGGATTCTGAAAAATAACAGAAGTTAAGGTGAGGTTAGAGTTAGAGATAAGCTTAAGCGAGGGCTGGGATTAGGGTTTTTTGAGCGAAGGCTGGGACTACAACAAGGGCTAGCGCAATGTTGAGGTTAGCTTTGGAGCTACGGCTGGAATTTTTTGAGCTAGGGCTCTGGGCTAGGGTTCTGGGCTAGGGTTCTAGGCTATGGCTCTGGATTAGGGCTCTGGGCTAAGGCTTTGGGTTAGGGCTTTGAGCTAAGGCTCATGTATAAGGACAGGGGTAAAGCTAGAATATCCTTACCAGTAACAGTAATTGACGAGTCATCAGAGCTCTTGCTTGATTTCCGTGAAAAGAAGCTGGAGTCAGAGCTGACACTCTTTCGATCAAAGTCAGCACTGTCTTTCTGAGACGCTACTGAGCCGGTACGTGAACTTATTGACCGGTCTCTTTCAAATGAACCGTCCGAAAGCACAAGGGATACCAGTAATGAAAGGATTATGGTTTTCAGCAGCATTTTCTGAGAAAAAGTTGTTCATTACTGTAACTTTACTGTAATATTTTTTAAAAGTTTTGGTAAAATACGGTTTTTTCTAAATGCTTTACAAAAAAATATTTTTTAAAAAAAATAAAAAAACGTCTAAAACTAAAAAGAAAAAAACAAGAATAAGATGATAAAAGCCAAGCCCAAACGTTTGATTTGTCTGATTTATATCCGAGTTCCGATTGTTCTGTTTTTAATTAGAAGCTGTTTACGTGACATTGTTTTTTGCACTATTAATCATTGTACCATATGTTCGCAAAAGTTTCTTTTTTTTGAGTTTTTTTTAATTTTTTTGGATTGTCATAACTGTTTTTAGACTGGTCTTCTCTAGCCTTACCCTACCCTACCCTACCCTACCCTACCCTACCCTACCCTACCCTACCCTACCCTACCCTACCCTACCCTACCCTACCCTACCTTATCCTACTTACCCCACCTTACCTTACTTTATTCTACTTTATCTTACCTTACCATGCCTTAACCTTTTCTATGTTACTCTATCCGACAACACCTCATTCTATCGTACTGTATCTACCCTATCCTACTCTATCCTATCCTTTTCATCCTATACCGTACCGGGCTCTACCATACCTTTCTAAATTATAATGTGCAATACCTTACTGTACATTACCGTATCCTAGCATACCCACACTATCCTATAATTTACCGTGCCCTACTTTATCATACCATTCTATACTATTCCATATCATACTGTATTGTTCCTTATCGATCTTACTATATCTTTATTTTAGCTTCATCCTATCTCTACTCAAAATCCACCCCCGTATCATATAAACCCTGATATCACCTCAAATCTCCACCTAATTGACCCAAACTCGAATCCATTAGTGCTTATCACTCAAACGTCTTTTTATATAGCCGTAGGTCAAAAGCCGGTCGTTCCGTCGAAAATCTGAGTTTTAATTGCTTTTCTTTGAGGAAACTTTGTTTCGAAGCCATTTTTGTCGGTCTCGAGAGGGTGGCGGTCGATAATTGCGTAAGAGCCAACGTTGCTTCGGCCCTTTTTTCATAAAAAATTCTAATTTTTGATAGGAAACGTGAACAGTTTACTTTGAGATGAGAAAATGAAAAAATTGTATATTTTTGGGTTTTATTGAGTTTTGGTAAAATACGGGTTGTTGACACTTCATAATTTTTAAAGAAATTACACTACATTTTGAAACGTAGTAAGTTCTTGTGGGTTAGTTTAAGAAGTACTTTGAACATGTTTTTAAGGCTAGTTTACCAGAGTTTTGCCTTTTGGGTCCGCTCCTCCGAACGGTCCGAATTTTTGAATTTATTTTTCCCGTGCTTTTTTTCTACCGGTCGGGTCAGTCTGAAACTTTTTCTACTCCTATATTTGGAATGGTGCTGACCCTTCTAGATGGTGCTAGTTTTTTGATATCTATACTAGTTTTCGAGATGTGAGTTTGGCGAAAAAAACATAAATTCAAAAATCCAGACCGTTCGGTTCGGACTGGACCCAAAAGGCAAAACTCTGGTCATGACTAATGAACTCTCTTATAGATAAGCTTTTAGACCAAGCATAATCTTTTTTAAAGTTTTAATTATAGTTATAGTTATGGTTGACAGTCAGGCTAAAGCTAAGGCGTATGCTAAGAATACGGTTAAGACTGAGATTAAGATGGAAATTGAAGTTTAGTTTGAGGATAAGACTAATGCTAAAACTGAGGCTGAAGCTCAGTTTGAGAATGAGGTTAAAACTTAGGCTGAGGCTGAGGGTGAGGCTGGTGCTGAAGCTCAGACTGACGCTGACACTGAATAAGACTAAAGTAGGGCTAGGTTGCAAATGATAGAAATACGGCAAAGCTAGAACAACAGCTAAGTTTATCAAAAGTAAATATTTATAAAGCATGGACTAGACTAAGCTGTCCTCAAAATCTACCAAAATAATAATTTTTGTGACTGACCAAAATTATTTTTCACTAGCTTTTCCAGTTCTAAAATGATAATTGATAGCAAACCCTTCAAATCTTTTCCTCCTAACTCTCTGCACTAATAACTGAAATTTTTAACAGTGAGCATAAGTTAAGAAAACATTTGTTTTTTGCGACAATTTTGCCACACTTTTGATTTTATCACTTTGAAAATGACTTCAGGGCACATGTGTTTGAAGGTGGGACTTTTCGAAATTTTGTTTTTTAAATTGATTATTCTTTGTTTTTTCATTATTTTTTTGGTTTATGGGCTTTATTAGGTTTGTATTATCTTGTTTATGGGATTTTATAGGCTTACATGTTTTTTCTTGTGGGGGTTATTAGGCCTGTATTACGTTGTTTACGGGTTTAGGCTTGTATTAGTTTGTTCAAATAATTCTGTGCTCGTTTTCTAAGCAAATTGTTGGGGTTAGAGGGCGCAGGAATATTTGAACAACCTAATATTATCAATGACAGATTACTGTTTTCTTAAAAATGTTTTTTTTTATTTTGTACAAGGAGATTAGTAGAACGTATTTTACTCTTGTATAACATTATATAGAAGATTCTTATCGTGCATATAAATTTGCCATTGATTTATGTTTTAAAAAAATTAAACTAACTTTTTCAGGTAGACTTTTAGTTTTTTGTCAACATAAAACAGCTCCACAAGTAAACAGAACCTCAAATAAAACAACTTCAAGTCATGATATCTCTCTTCGGATTCGGATTCAAAGGCGCCGATCCACAGTAGCGTGCCATAGATTCAGAAGGCGTTGTATAAACATTGCCTCAATACACTGCTGATCTCACAACGAGGTAGGTTTTTTCTTTATTGTGACTTAACGCTATCTTAACATAGTCTACCCTTCGGCCGTGTCGAAATTTTTAACTTCTTTAGCCTTAGCCTAATCTTAATGTGAATAAATTTTTTTTAGTACGATGAACTTCTCAATATCAATATCACTCCTGTTATGTACATGGTTCGTGGCGACATTTGCTCAAAAAACAAAGAAAAAGCTAAAGGAACAAGATATTATTCAACGGGTGCTCAGGGACTACGATTGGCGAGTAAGGCCACGCGGCGCCAACGATTCGTGGCCAGATACCGGCGGCCCGGTGGTGGTGTCGGTCAATATTTATTTGAGGAGCATATCAAAGATTGATGATGTTAATATGGAATACAGCGCGTGAGTTTTTGAAATTTGTATTTTTTCAAAATTTCAAAAAAAAATTTTTTTAAAACAATGAAAAAGATTGAAATTTCGAACTTTTTTCACTTTAAACTTTAGTCAATTCACATTCCGCGAAGAATGGTGGGACCCTCGGCTAGCCTACAGTCGTTTCGCCGACGAAGACACCCAAGTACCACCGTTCGTCGTACTAGCTACCTCAGATTCGGCCGATCTGTCGCGACAAGTTTGGATGCCGGACACTTTTTTCAAAACGAAAAAGAAGCCCGCAGGCATTTGATCGACAAGCCTAATGTTCTCATCCGTATTCATCCAGACGGCAAGATTCTGTACAGTGTGCGACTGTCATTGGTACTATCTTGTCCAATGTCACTTGAGTACTATCCTTTGGATCATCAGACGTGTTTGATTGATCTGGCTAGCTATGCCTACACAACTGATGACATTAAGTATGAGTGGAAGTCGAGTAATCCGATTCAGCAAAAGGATGGACTGAGGCAGAGTTTGCCGAGTTTTGAACTACAGGAAGTACTGACGGATTATTGTACTAGCAAAACTAATACTGGTAAGCTACAATAAGTACAAAATTTTTTTTACTTGTAAAAGTAGTTTTGATCTTTTTTATATTTTAAAACATTTTCTTAATACAGAAGTTTTATTCACCGTATTTTACCATAAACCTAAAACAATTGTTAAAACATAAAAATTAAAGTTTAAAATTGCACCTTATAGACAGTTTTTCTTAACTAAGAAGTATAAATGGTTAATATCGTACACTTTTCACTATGTAGAACACATTTTAAACAGTAGTGTTGACGTATTGAATATATTGTTAAAAAAGTTTTTAAAAAATAGTTTTTTATAGTTAAGTCATATCCTTATATTGTTGAGCACTGTAATTAGAGCCGGGCGTTAGGGGCTAGAGATTGGGGATGATCCGAGTCCTGTAAAGGAGCTGAACCTAATTTTTCAACCCGGTCCACGAGCTGGAGCCTTTGTTTGAACCGCGGTTCTCGTTCCGCGTGTGGGCTTAGTGGTCCTTTCAGGCTGACTTTCTTTCATATTAATATCTGGACTAAAACTATCCGCCCGGCACTGATTGTTAAACGTTCTTTAAAAGGTAGTTATTTTCACATTTCATATGGTTTTTACTTTTAAAAAGTTTTAAAAATAAGTTGGTTTTAAAGCTTTGCTTAAAAGCATTGTGTTTGTCATGGTTGTTCGTCCTTGCACCAGTAAATTTGTAAACGTAATGTGATGTACTGTCTATAGCTACAAATTTCTTGCTATTTTTACATTTGAGTTTGCCGTGTTATGGCTTATAGTAATTTAAAACACCATGGTTTTAAATTGTTGAGGTGTCACAAAACAGTTTTTGCACGAAAAATTAACAAAATTAATCAAAAATAACATGTAAAAGAGAGGCTGCTATGTTATAATACGCTTACGAGTGGTTGAAGTGAAGCTTTTTACTGTTTAGGTGAATATTCATGTCTACGAACCAAAATGATACTGCGGAGAGAGTTCTCGTACTATTTGTTACAGGTAAGATTTTTGATACTATTTAGTACTATATAGTACGTTTTTACAGATTTTGTTGTATTACCCTACCCTACCCTACCCTACCCTACCCTACCCTACCCTACCCTACCCTACCCTACCCTACCCTAACCTACCCTACCCTACCCTACCCTACCCTACCCTACCCTACCCTACCCTACCCTACTCTACCCTACCCTACCTTAGTTTTATCCTAGCCTCACTCAGCTCTATTCAGGTTATAATAACTGCCACTTCTTTCAGCTATACATACCATCGTGTATGTTAGTCATCGTATCATGGGTCAGTTTTTGGTTGGACAAGGACTCAGTGCCAGCTAGAGTTACATTAGGAGTTACTACGTAAGTCATAAACATATTTATGTGTTAATTCAAGTTTAGTCTACTTACAATGACAACACAAAGTTCGGGTATCAACGCTAAACTACCTCCAGTATCATATACCAAGGCTGTCGATGTGTGGATCGGCGTTTGTATGGCCTTCATCTTTGGAGCTCTTTTAGAGGTATGACTGGTCGAGTTTATGGTCAGAAATTTTTTCTTTGAAAATTGAAAAAACTTTTTGTCATTTTTTATTAAAAACTATGTTTTAGTTCGCTTTGGTAAACTATGCAGCGCGAAAAGACATAAGCGGCCAACAACGAATGCCACGCTTCCGACAACAGCCACAACCACAAATCATGGACAATAATCAGTTCCAACCAAAAGTAAGCTATCTTACACTATTCTAACACATCATACCCTACCTTTTGCCTTGCCTTGCCTTGCCTTGCCTTGCCTTGCCTTGCCTTGCCTTGCCTTGCCTTGCCTTGCCTTGCCTTGCCTTGCCTTGCCTTGCCTTGCCTTGCCTTGCCTTGCTTTGTTTTGCCTTGCCTTATTCTTGCCCTACCTTTGCCGTGTTTTTGTGTCACTCTTGCCGTATTCGTGCCCCGCTCTTCCCCTGTTTCTATCCCACTCTTGCTCTATTCTTACCGGATCTTTGCTTTACTCTACCTTAATAAAGTTGCAATAAAATTAACTTACTCTACCTTCCTTTTCAGCCTGACTCAGCGCAATTCCGCGGAAACGGCGGAGGCGCTTACGAGCCTCTATACAGAACGGGTGATACTGCTGATGGTCAAACGACGTATGGCCATAATATGGTCATAAACTACTCAACGCCATCGGTAGGGTATTGTACGCGGTTTTACACGTGTTGTTGTCGTATCTTCGTTCGAAGGTACAAAGAGCGGTCGAAACGGATCGACGTCGTTTCACGATTGGTAAGTACTTGCTTTTTTTGATAGAATTTTTTTAAAATACGACGGTTGTTCGTTTCTTTTTAATTTTGAATATTTTTAATTTAAATTTATTTAAATTTATTTCAACAATATTTTTTTATTATTTTAGGTATAAAAGAATATTTTTATCACATTTTTAACTAATTTACATTGTAATCTAAGGTTTTTATTATCAAGAAGTACTGAAAAACCGATTTTATTACTATAGGGGACATTTCAGAGCCCAATTTGCTACTTGAAACAGAGTGCCAAATTTGGCAGGAATTTAAAAATTTAAAATTCATAACAATATATTTTTATACAAGCCTAAAATTAAGGTTTTAAAGATTAATTTATGTACTTTTAAGTTGAGACATAGCTCATTATTTTTCATACAAACTAATACTACCTAAAATAACGTCCTCTCTATTTTTAGGTCTTCCCAATCGGATACGCTTGTTTTAACGGTAAGTTTTGGCGTGGGCTTATAACTAATCCTGATAATCATTGCAGTGTTATATTGGACTGTCTACTTGATGTGAATGCTCAAATGGATATTGTTCAGGAGCTTCTGTGTGTGTTGCTTTGTACCCTTAAATGTCGCTCAATTATTGCATTTTTAATCGAATTTGGGTCCGGTGTTTTCAAATTTTAAAATTTATTTTTATTAGGTTGTTCAAACAATTTTGAGCTCCTAACTCCGAAAATTTGCTTTGCAAGGGGGCACAGAATTATTTGAACAACCTATTAATTATTCCAAAAATTTTTGTAATTTTTAGTGTTAGGTTGTTCAAATAATTCTGAGCTTTCTGTCAACTCACATTTAGGGTGTTAGGGGCACAGAATTATGTGAACATATTTTCTCAAAATTTTTATTTCAAAAATTGCCTATGATAATATAATATTATAAAGATAACAAACGAACATTGTTACCTCCGACTGATATTACTTGTTATGTACATGTTGTAAATACAATTAAAAATTTACATAGAGTGGCTTGATTGATTTATGTTATACTATATATGTTATGTTAAGTTGTTAGAAAGTCTTGTCGTTTTTAAGCGTTTGAAAGAATGTGTAAAAATGACAAAACTTTTTTAACGCTTTATATATGGGTGGTGCTTTAATATAATGCTGATATATGTTGCTATGATAACTAAGAATATGTTAATGATTAAGATTCTGTTGAAAAGAACATAAAAACTTACAGTAATTTAGTTGTACGCCTACCCTGTAATATAGAATTTATTACAATATAATGTAAAAGACGTGACTAAAGTCAGGTACTAAACACAAAAAAACCATACTTTTTGTAAAATACGTAAGCCGTTACTAAAGTATTACATAAAACATCCCAATTATTCAACCAATTCTAGGCTAAGGCAAAACTAGCCGTAGTCAAAGCCGAGAAGACAAAAATACAACATATATAAGTACTAGTAAAATCTAGTATAGGACAACTAATCTTATAAAGTTTACTTGTTTAGGTGAGTACAGTTGTGCTCGTGTCAAACTGATTCTTCGTAGAGAATACAGGTAAGCCTTATTTCATTATAATTCCGATTATTACCTTTTATTTCGTTTTTTTCGTATATTTTTGGCCCTAAAATTTTTAAATGCTACTTAATGTTATTAGCTAAAAATTTGAAAGCTAGGTCATCTGACAAAAGCTTTAAAATTCCAGTTACTACCTTATTCAACTGTACATTCCATGTATTATGTTAGTCGTTGTGTCGTGGGTCAGTTTTTGGCTGGATAAAGACGCCGTTCCAGCTCGTGTTTCACTTGGAGTTACAACGTGAGTTATAGTTTTGGACTCAATACTAACACATACGTATTTTACATTTTTATGGCTCTTTACATAATTTTGGAAAATTTCAATTTTTGTAATAATTTTTAATTTTGAATGTTTAGTCTCCTTACCATGACAACACAAGCATCGGGTATCAATAGTAAACTACCGCCGGTATCTTACATCAAAGCTGTTGATGTTTGGATCGGTATTTGTTTGGGTATGTCATATACAAAGATTTCGACCCTACCCTACCCTACCCTACCCTACCCTACCCTACCCTACCCTACCCTACCCTACCCTACCCTACCCTACCCTACCCTACCCTACCCTACCCTACCCTACCCTACCCTACCTTACCCTACCCTACCCTACCCTACCCTACCCTACCCTACCCTACCCTACCTTACCCTACCCTACTCTACCCTACCCTACCCTACCCTACTTTATCTTGCCCCACTTTACTTTCCCATACCCTACTTTATCAATATAACTTTAGGCTTCATTTTCTCGGCCCTCCTCGAATACGCCCTCGTAAATTACTACGGTCGAAAAGAGTTTATGCGTAAAGAGCGTGGTAAAAAGCTTGGTGGTCTACAACAAATGGCAGCCCAACTCCCCTCATTAATGGGACCTGACTGTCTTTGTCCGCCTTCAATAGTACCAAACTCTCATATGAATATGATGCACGAGAGTATGAGTATGAATATGTCTGGATTAAACAATAATGAAGTACATCCTCTAAGGCAACATCGCCGATCAATGCGATTAGATTTGAGTGTTTTGAATAGTCAACTACCTTTGAGGTCAAAGTTGAGGAAAATGTTGGGCGATGACTTGTCGAAGAGGGTCGATATCGTGTCTAGATATATGTTTCCTGCTCTGTTTGTGTCGTTTTTGAGTAAGTTATAGTCCAAAATGTAAACTTTTTTAAAAAATATATTATTCTAAGCAATGGAATAGATCAAAATCTGAACTTACCCCTTTACTTTCAGTTTTCTACTATTTCAAATACTTTTACGCCAGTCGAATGGAAATGCGCAAATAATCAAAACCTACGTTATCATGTTGGCAACTATGTTAACATATTTGATTATCCTATTTGAATCTCTTTCCAACAACTACATATCGGGTTCTTTGTTTTGATTAATAAACTTTTATCAATTTATACATTATTACCTCAAACTTTTCTGTTTATTACTGTATTTAGATTGTCAACAACAGCAAGGCCCCTATATAACGAATTGCTCGTAGATTTTAATTTTGTTCGATATAAACGAGTCTTGTTATGCAGGAGTTTTAAATGCACTCTGTAGTAGTAGCTAAAAGTTTAGAAGTTGTTCGTTATACAGGAGTTCCAATGTACACTTACTAAAGCGAGGACTATTAATAGATGGACACAATGTGATCAAAACAAACGTTATCAATGATGCATTAAAAAACTAAAAAAAACTTCCTTTTGTCAATTTATATCAACTTGTACATTCAAAAACAACAAGCTTTTATTAAAGGTCCACTAAACGTCCTCGAAAATCATTGGCGTTCTATTACAAAGAGTCGAAAATCAAACAATTTAAATTAAAATTATTTTTGTCAAAGAAACTTGAGCAATTTGGTCGCCAATTAGATTTCCCGCTATAGACGAGTTCATTATACAGAAGTTCTCCAATATATGAAAAGTACGTCGCCAAATGTGTAGTGTAGTTTTACTTTATTAAACAATTTTACTTTATTAAGCATCTACTTATATACAAATAAAAACAATTTTTATAAAAATCTTTTCCAAAAAAACCATAATAATTTTTAAATTTTAAAAACAGGTACAAACAACACACAGTAGCAAGGAAGTCGTGGCAGGATTTAAAAAATATCACACAAACATTGGCATAGTCCAACGTCGCAGCTCGCTCGTTTCACCGTCAGTTTTACTTTGGTTTCCGGGTTGTAACAACAAAATGAACAGTCCTCGTTTCTAAAAAGATGAATACTGTATGTCAACGTTTTTGACACAAACATTTTTACAGTACAGCTCCTGTATAACAAATCTCTTTCAAATTTGTTCGTTGTATCAGAATGTCGTGATACAAAAGTTCGTGATACTAAAGTTCAACTGTATGAACTTACTTGTAACATTCTGGATTTTCTGGTGGCACAATTTCTGAATCGTACCACGAGTCGTCATCTGCATGCTCCGTGTGTTTAATCTCGACCGGTAGTGAGCTAATAGTCATCATGCATAATATTAGAAGCAGCAACGAAAAGAACACTTTGTACATCTAAATTTGAATATTGAAGATTTGGAGCCAAAATATTTGTATAAAATACGAATATCGTTATTTGGAATTTATAACAGTAATACAAAAACAGTAAGAAACGTTGAAAATTTAAAAGTCATTAAAAAACAAGAAATACAGTATTCGTGTACGCTTGCAATAAAATTCAAATTGTAAACGTTAATTTAAAAGCAGTTTTTAATAGTTAAGATGACAAACGTATTGCTACTGAAGTACGTGACATTACTTATAAAAGAGTGCGCAAAAGTTGCTATCAAAGAAAGATGAAAGTCAAGAAATGATGAATATTGTCGCTTTTTTCAATTATATATCCTCCTTTTCTCAGCGCCGAAAGAAGGCAATTCAACGTTTTTTGAAACGTTATAACAGCTTTTATCAACTTTAGTTTAGAATTTTTAACTGTTATACTCCATGCCAAAACATTCATGTGAAACAACTTGCCAAAAAAGTAATTTTAAAAGAAAAACCAATGTTAAATGTTTAGTTAACACTTTTTAGTCAGCAGAACAAAACCATTTTTGATGACTTATGACAAAAAACGTATTGCATTTAAATGATAATTAAAAAATATTGAACGACGTCTCTATGTCCGTTACAAAAACGTGACAATTTGCAAAACTAAGTCTATAGAAAAGCGTATATAAGGCCACATATAAATGTTAATACTTTGGAAATAATAGCAATAAAAATAAAGATTACTTAAGGCAATAAAATGACGACCTAAGCGAGACTATATAATAGAAAACGTTCAGTGAGTTATTAAAAGTGCAATGCTTTCAAAACTTTTCTATACATTATTATTGTTATGGCCACTGTAAGAGTTATATCAAAAATTAAAGATGATGCTATAAGATATTATGACAATATAATCATTTTTGTGACCATATGAGTCTTAATGACACGTACACAATACGCAAATTCGCACGGGTGAAATATACTGTAAAAACAACAGTATTTGTCTGCCACCCACATAAAGTTATCGTATTTAGTCTAAAGTAGACTACGGTAATTTTAAAACAATTCAAATAAAATTGAATTTTTGGCCACTACTATTCTTTATAAAGACAAATTGTAGGACTAAAACTTTATCAAAGATTACGAAGATTTCAAAACCATCAAAACTTTTCTCTGAAAATACGCCTTAAGCTCCCCCCAGCTACGTGCCGAAACTCAACTACCGTTTTTCAAATTCTTAAGTTCTTAAATAAGCGTTTGATGAAGACTTACGGCTTAATTTCTGTTCATAAATTTCTGTATTTCCTATTTAATTAATCCGGATTATTGCTATTGAAGAAGGAAAACCGTTAAACCTAATTCTAAAACACGACTAATCAACATGTTTACTGTGGTAAAGTTGGAAACAATGGGCATTACTACCGTAATTGTTGTGGGTGTAAGAATGGTGCCTTTTTGAACAATGATTATTTAAATAGGAAAAAGAGGAACATCTTGTATTAAAATACCTCACAAAATTGAAAAACCTTACCAACGACGACTTACATACAAGTTAACTAATCTTACTGTGTTTCAACATAATTTTTAATCAAAAAAGTCTTTGTTACATTAGCAATCAAAAGAATTATTATAAATAGTTTTCTAATACAGTTTTAGTCACAACCCTTCTCCCCTTACCGTATGCCTTCAACTTCATGCTAGGCCGTCTTATACATAATTTGCTTCATACCCAAATTAATCGTCTTCCGTTGACAATAAAACAGTTTTGATCAAAAACCTTTGACGCAGTATAAGCTTTTGTTAATTGCTAATTAAAAAATTTGTGCATTTAGAGCTGGCATGTATTTTTTGCAAAATAAATAATGTTGTGACCAATAAATAAATTATGCTCTATTCTTTAACAAAAACAATATTTATAACTTTGTGCGTCAATTTTGTGACAAAACTATGCGTCTGCAAACGTTATTGTTTATCGACAGTGGGTTAGTAATGGACTTCTTCGGAAATTATAATAATGACTTTCCAAAAATATTGCAATTGGAATTATAGAAATTTTGTGGTTCGCGTATAGTGTTACTTTCAAATTGAATAGTAACCTTGTTTCTTAATAAGAATTATTAGTTACACTTTTTTGATTGCCAACCACAAATAAAGCCGAAAAAATCCAACCGACCAGAAACCAAACTGCGGTTCCATAAAACCAAATTTGGGTTTTGTTTGAGGTGGAAACAGAGCGAGAGAGCATTATTTGTGTGCAGTTTCTTTATTTCTTTGCCTTTTTTCTCTGCAAAAAAAAGTTTTTCAAGTTATTGACGATGACTGAAACATTGTCAATAACATGAAAAAGCTTAAATTTTTTGTTAAAAAATAGAGTTATCTACTAAAAATAACTTAAAACAACAATTTAAAAGTATTCTAACTAACGTTTTAAAAAATTGTTCAAATTTCAAAGACTAAAACCACAAGTAAGAATAAGTCACTTGACGTGATGGTACAAAAAAATTAAATAAAAAAATTAATCCCAAAATTTGACCTGCTAATTTTAACCCGAAAACTCTTTCAAATCCGGCATTTTTGACCGCAAACTCGCTAAGCCGTTCTCAAATGTAGGTGAATAAATTTCTAGCACTGTCCTGTGAATCGAGTTCACGCTGATTAGCATAATTACCCCTCCATATGGCCTACGTGACAAGTGGGAAGAGAGCTGCAAAACGTGCGGTTTATATACACCATTGTTCAGGATGTGGGATTATCGTCCCGACTCCACCCAGATCAAACTCGCGTCCACGAATTGTCGTACATTATCGTAATTACACCCGCTACCGTACTTGAGGGAGGGGCTCTAATACAGCTCAACCAATTTTTCAGTACTTACTGGATCGTTTTATCCCCGCAAATCGTATTGTCGATTCGGTGGTTTGCCGTTTTGCACGTAGCGCTTACGCACGATACTCCCACATTATAGGGCATGCACAAGATACAGTGTAATTAGAAGAAGTGTTGTTACAAAAAGTATATGTTGGTGGGTTTTATTGTTATTAAAAAGGTAGAAATAAAAAAAGTGCATGATTTTAATTTTTTGCTATATAGTACGGTATCTATGCTTTAAGCAAATATAAAAAATGTTAATGTATAGTATTAATAACAAATTTTAAGTTTTGTATTAACTTTACATTCTGTATCATATTGCCGTAAAACAATTTATTCTTCAAAAATTAAAAATGCCACCAAGAAGTTTAGGATTCAAGGGCACGTTTAAACTTAATTTAACTTTAAAAATTTGATTTTAAGCCTTGACAGCGCGGACAGCAGCAAGACGACGGTTGGCAAAGCGTCTGGCAGCAGCACGGCGACGGTAGCCTGAAGCTGGTTGTGGAGCTGGTGGAGCAGCGTTATAGCCACCCTGAGATCCACCGCTAACTGGTGAGGATCCGGCACGGGCAGGGCATGGACAGTAGGCGGCATCCTTTCCTGGACGTCCATCGTTTCCTGGCAAACCTGGCTGACCGGCACCTCCTGGCTGTCCTGGTTGACCGCGTGGTCCTTGTGGGCCTGGTGGTCCTGGTTGAGGTCTTCCCAAAGATTGGCCTGGGTGACCGGCGGACCCTGGTTGTCCTGGTCCTCCACGTGGTCCCTTTGGTCCTGGAAGTCCATGTCCGCGCTTTCCTGGACGGCCGGGTTGTCCTGGTCCTCCTGGGTGTCCTGGTTGGCCGGAAGGTCCTGAATTTCCGGATGGTCCTTGAGGTCCAGCGTGTCCGTCTTGTCCCTTGCGGCCTGGCTGTCCTGGGCCTCCGATACGTCCTGGTTGTCCGAGAGGTCCTGGTGGTCCGGGTGGGCCGCGTGGTCCAGCTGGGCATCTGATGCAACCGCCTGGAGCAACGTCACCAACGATTCCCACTCCTGGAGATCCTCCGCGGCCTGGTCTTCCTGGTTCACCATCGTTTCCGGGCAATCCTGGAGTTCCAGGTGGTCCTTGTGGGCCAGGTGGGCAGTTCTGAGCTTGGCGAGCACAAGCACATCCAGCTTGGCGTTTGTTACGGCCGATGAGTCCAATGAATTCAGACTTTTCCATCTTGGGTTGACGGCGGACCAATCCAGTCCAGGCGTCGTTAGAGACGGCACGGAACTCTGACATATCGTCCATGATTTCATCGTACAGATCGTTGATGTCATTGAAGATCATGGCTGAACAGATCAGGGAGATGATGATGGCGGCGGCTGAGCCGACACAGGCTACCGAGACAATGGTTTTGTGCGACATAGTGCTAAAAGTGTAGAGTTGCTTATATTATTTTGGTAGTTTATATTACGTTTGGTGATATATACTCAACTTATGAAGTTTTTGCTTAAAATATTTATAAAAAAACTACTTTTAGATTAATATACAATATGTTAAAAAAGCTTCTGATTTTTCTAAAAGCAATAAAAACTATGTTGGCATTGATTTTATCTACTCCGAAAGTAAAAAAAACTACAAAACTCACCTTCACAAAGCTAGCAAAGACCCTGTCAATCAGTCCTAACGTTTCACAGTCCTTAAATACCCTTCCTTTAACGTTGTAAACTTGCCGTGCCTCCGCTTACTGACCATTTTTTATGAACGGCCCTTACACTTTCGGAAGCCGTAGTCCGAAAAGAACCAAACCGGTTTAAACACTCGTTTCATACCTAAACAAAACAGTTAAGGCTTTTTGTAACAAATAAGCGGAATGGAACATGTTTGCTGGGCTGGTCACAAGTTCACGGAATACCAATGTTATTAATGGCAGTTAAAAGGAGAATGAAGTAAACATAGATTAAAATTATGTAAAATACATCCCAAATGTAAGGTTAAAAAATTTTGATTTTGTTCACCCTTCTTACTTTATTCTACCCTACCTTATCTTACTTTATTTTACCCTATTCCTTAGGCAAATTAAAACCATATAAAAATCTTAAACACATACACCCACATACTGATACCAAGAACAACTACGCAGTACCATCAACTTTAATCCTAGTGTAAAGCTAGCTGCCCTATCCTAACCGTAAAAGTTGTTTTTCTATTGAAGTTGAGCGCTTCGATAGAAACATAAACCTCTTTTTCCTAACTGTAAAATTATTATTTGTTACGGTACTACGCAAATTTTAATTCTTGTCAACACGATAAGACTTTTACTGCATGTAAAAAAAATTTAAAATTTTTGCGTTTTAGTCGTCTGAAGATTGAAATGTAAATAGACATGTAATTACAAAATGGCAAGTTATATAGCTCACTCTGCTCTCTACCTAATTTTTTTTTTTTTAAATTATGATCTTACTGTCCATCATCAAAAAATTTTTACAAAAATTCTGCCCACATCTTTCACCCACCCAGCACTAACAGTATGCTCTCACCCACCCAACAATAAATGTATGCAAATTTTCCCATTCCCTACCCAAAAACGTCAAACATTCCCCCTCCGACGTTCCCTTCCAAGTTCGTATTGATTCGCGGCGTCGAAACGGATAAAAAAGGGAAGAATCTTCTGCCTACTGGATTTGGGGTGATTTTCGCTTCATCCCAAACCTTTTTTTTCGCGCCACGGGTAAAATCAGGGCAAGGTAAAAATTGGATACGAGGGAAGTGGAAAATCTTCTTCTTTCGCGCTCATGAGTCAGATATCGTCATTGATTTTTATTCACTGTTGAGGAATATCATCAAATAAGCGATGTTTTGGAACGTTTTTAGGGGTTGTTTAGCGATATATTATATGTTTTTTGGTGTCATTGCTATAGCTTTAATTATACCCTTTATGTAGCACTGTTTTATTTTCTTCTAGCAATAGCCAATCATACCTAGACCACGCATCTTAAGATCTTTTCCCTTGCTCTACCACTGCCATATCATATCATTACCAAAGCCATAATAGCCCTTTACTTGCCATAACATTACTCTAGCCTAACCATGTTCTTACTTTGCCGTATTCTTATTATAGCCCTACTTTAGTCTTCCTCTGTACCTAAATACATTAGTCTGACCCTTGTCACATCTACCTTTTACTACTACAGCACATACCCCAATAAATATTTCTTTTACTTTCAGATCTTGAGCTGCACTTTAAAGTTTTTCACAAAAATATTATAAAACGCTTTTAAACATGTTGTAATCGTCTTTCTCCCCCACAACACATGTCATTGTTCCTCACAACTAATAAAAATAAGTGTGGCAAAAACCCTTAAACCACAACATATGGCTGGTACATACGTAAATACTACGGTATTGTAATTAAACCAAATTGAACTTCGCCGAAAAATTTCACTTTGAATTAGTATGATTTGGTAATGCTCGTTTCCGATTGTAAACATAATGCTATTTGGTACCGTATTTGACTCGCAGAAATGTATTAACTCCACGTCATTTTATATTAATGTAGAAATATGTTACCAGACTTGGTATCTTAATCAGGGTTTTTTACTCACATTGTTTTCGAAGTTTTAAAATTTAGTACGAATTTCATGTTGAAAATAAACTTTAATTTTAAAATTGTTATCTGAGCTACTTTACGATTGTAAAATGACAAAACTTTAGATGAAAAATGACAATCTGTATCAAACGTAAGATTACGGTATTCGTACTGCTACAGTACGCTACGGTTTTGGTTGCTCAGTACACGCCTTGCAATGGTAAGAGAAATTTTGAATGATGCAAGCCCTAGCCCTGACCATGGCTTTAGCCTTATATCTAGCCCTAACCAAAATCTTAGCCCTAGTCTTAGCCCTAATACCAGCCCAAGTTCTAGCCACTGTCCTAGCCTTAACTTATCCCTAGTTTAAATTTTAGGAAAATCACCATTAGGCGAAACGTGTGACAGAGATGAAGACTGTGACAATAAAGGATCAATTTGCTTAAGGAATAAATGTCAATGCCATCCTTATTACGAAGCCAGGACTTCTAAAGACTACCCTAGAGGAAAATGCGTTCGCCGTGAGTTTCCGACTATTTTTCTGTAATTTTTAAATAAACCTCTTACTAGACAATTGTACTCAATAAGAGTACTTAAACTTTTTCAAACTATACTTAGTACTGGTATTTACACCCCTAAATATTCACACGCAAAGTCATTTAAATTTTGCACTTTATTTATGACATCATATTAATATAATACATGAACTGTCATTAGCACACCTAGTGCAAGATCTAAGAACATTCACATTTTATTGTCTTATGTAAGTTCTCTGAATTATAGCACCAAAAATTCTGTAATACGTTTCTGAGCAGCATTTAGCTAGCTTAAATTTTTTGCGTACAAATCTAAGCGCTTTTTAGGGCATTAAATTTAGTTTTTCTTGAGAATATTTAGCTATATTAGACTAAAAACCTTAATTTTACAACATGTCATCATTTTTTAATTTTTGAAAATTTTGCAAAAAAATTAATTTTAAACCTTTTCAAGAGAATTTTTTAAAATTTAAAACACGTACAGCCATAAACTTGCAAAAAACGAATTATTACTTATCACATAAAACATGCAAATTAACAAATGTTTAATACGTTTTAGTGCCTTCGCGAATCGGAGAAGAGTGTACGACCAAATGCCGTGAGCCACTGTTCTGCAGAAACGGTAGATGTCAGTGCGTGCAGCGAGGCTCAACCAGCGTTCAGAACGGCGTTTGTGTTACTGGTAAGATTAATATTATTCTGCTCTAACTTTATTTTTTTTATTCCCTACTGTGTTGCAACCTACCCTTCGGTATAAGAAATGGGCCAAAAGCTCTACTACGATTGCGTCTGACCAATCTTAAACTAAAATTAAAACGGGCTAGGCCTAAAAGTTGAGCGCGGGCCTACGGCGGGCATCGAAATAGGGTCATTTTTGCCCTTCTCATCCCTGCCTATTCTACACTACCCTTCCCTACTATACTGAACCCTATCTTTTGACTTACGGCGGGTCGGGCTTGAATGGTAAGCCCAATACCAATTTTTTTTGGCCGGACCGCGCCTAAACAAGCCTCGGGTCTAAGTCGGGCCTCAAAAGAGCCCAGTCTTTGTATCACCCCTACCTATTCCATCCTACCCTCAAGTTTTACAAATTCATGCCCTACAGTAACCCTACCATACTGTAAAAATCTATTTTTAGTGACAAAAGTAGGAGACAGATGTTCCCGTCATTATGATTGTTCATCACCATTTTCTGCTTGTGTTAATCAACAATGTACATGCATTGCCGGTACCGTACAACAAGGCACACGTTGTGTAGCGCCCACTAACTGCCCACTTGGTGGACAACCACAAGGAAGTTGTACTAGACGAGTTCCTTTGAGCGCTGTAAGTGTGTAAACTTAATTTTCCATACGTGTTTTAATACTAGAGCAACATGTCATTGTAAAGTACATAAAGTTGCTCAGAAGTATAGTTAGATTACCATATCTATACCTAAAATCAGTCAACTACTACAACTAATGCATCTTAAAAATAATCTTTTAAAGCCATAACTTTCAGATACCAAACTTTGTTCCAGAGTCAGACACCTGTCCGTCCGGCTACTACTGTGTGACAACTCCAGAGTCCCACTCTGGCCACTGTTGCCCACAAAAATGCCCCCTCGGGACGGCCGTAGACACCCAGTATACTTGTGTACCTGGTGGAGTCGAAAAGATTTTAGGCAATTTAACTTTGACTCAAAAGCAATGTCCAAGTGACACACATTACTGCCATTATTTGGCTGGTGATAGTTTTGCTCAAGTAAGTCAAAATTTTTTAAAAAATTTACTGCTCTACTCTACTATTTGCTACCTTCTCCTAATCTATTATATGTTGCGTTGCCCTACCCTACCATATGCTACTCTACCTTGGTCTAAACTACCCTCTAAACCTTAACAATTGCAGGCAGTATGTTGTAAACGACCATGCAACTCCATGGCGCCAGAAGCCCTCTACCTAAACGGTGAATGCGTAGCCCGAGGGCAATTAAACTCGGCGTGTCAGATTCATGAACAATGTGGAGCAGCTGAAGGCATGGAATGCAAAGATGGCCAATGCACGTGTTCAGACGGATTTAAACCCCATTTGGATGCCATTACAAATCCAATCCACAATCCTAGCCAAACTTGCTCTAGGGAGTGCGAAAAAGTAAGGCAATTTTTTTGATTGTACCCCGCCCGGAATAAGAAATATTGAAATAATCACCCCGCCCAACCAAAAAAAATTTATCACCAAAAATTTCCCAAATCCTTTTTCCTTTCTCTTTTTTCACTCCCACCTCCAAAAAATTTACCCCACCCCATAAAAACCCTGAAAACAAAAAGATCTACTACAATATCGTTGCAGGACATGTTAAGCCGAGACACGGCCTGTTTTGCCAAGACCCAATTGGGTGGCCAATGCTTCGTACAAGAACAGTGTCCACCCAACTCGGGCTGTTACAGAGGACGCTGTATGTGCAGATGTGGATATAAACAAGCTTCGAACAACAAGTGTGTCGAGCTGCCACCTCCAACTACGCAGACACCTCCTCAGGGTAGGTTTAAAATTTTTGCGTTCAATGCTTTTTGAGCACCCAGGGTTAATAGCAGAGATACTAGGATAGCTTAAACTCTTAAAGAAAGGTTAAAAATATTTTCTTTGTCGCACCGCTAGAAGCACAACCTCAGCAAGTACCGATAGCTTATATAAGCCATAAGCCAGACTTTTACGTACTATATAGCATAATACGTACTTTTAAAGCTAAAAATTGTTTCCCTATTTTAGAAAAGAATACTTTACCACCCCCAGATCCCAAAGACACGCTGTTGTGTGTTCTAAACAAGTTCCTTGGAGTTAAAACCCGAGCTGAAGCTGGCTGTAGTTTTAACGTTCCTAGAGTTTTCAACGTATAAAAATATTTATAAACCCACTTTTTAAATTGTATCTACCCAGCACTTACTTATATCTTTCAAATTTTGCACTGTACACTTCCTTAGCCTAGCCTAAGTTACCTTAACGTACCATACCCTGCTTTACCCCACTTCACACTACGCTACATACCTTTTTAACTTTACCCTATAAAAATCATACTGTATACAGTACTACAGTAACCCTATTTGCCTCAAATTTTCTACTTTAAACTCAAAAATTTTTAATTTTGCATCTTCAACACAACACATGACTAATATTTTACATTTGCAGTAATCCCACAAGTCCCAGGTTTGCCGACCGGTAAGAACTTGTTCAGTTTGTTCAACGACTTTTTGAACGGCGGTGGAGCTGGCATGGCTGGCTAGGTTTCACAACATTATATACTAGATGATACACTATTAACTCTGTTAAATATACTGTACTTTTGCTTACAGTATGACTTATACAGGTACTGTATTTTTGCTACAACACTGTACTTTTTTTACAGTACCATGTATACTGCCTTAATCAAGCCACCGTGTGTATGATACTTATACAGCACTATATAACTATAGATATTTAATAAACGTATTGTATTTTAAAAACTACTGTTACTGTATTGTAAACCCATATGATTAGAGTTGTTGTATGTAAATTTTGAAAGTTGAATAAAGTTAATTTGCTCACAATAAAAACCCATTGTAATGTTTGTCTGTTATGCGACAAAATGTTTTTTCTACACGATCGACAGATGTGCAATCATACATATCCGACAAATTACAAGGTATTTAAATTCCGCTGAACATTCGCGTTTGCTATTCGCAAAGGTCAAAAACCATGAGATTGGCATTCGTCGCCCTTGTTTTTGCTATCGGCTATGTTGGTAAGTACTGTATTACATATTCAAATTAAACATTCGTATTTTACCATACAAGTATTTTACTAAAAAGTTATACGGCAAAACATCTTTATTATGACTCTCGATCGTATAACACTCTTTTTATATTGACAGCTTTTTGACCGCCTTTTGTATTAGATTGTTTAAATAATTCTGTGCCTCCTAACTCCAAAAATTGTCGTAGAAAAAAGCACAAAATTATTTGAACGACCTAATAACAAAACTCCTACCAAAAATTACCTGGACAGTGTGACACGCTAGTCATAATGATAGATTGGTCCAGCCTGTGAGTGTCATACAAATGAGGTTTGACTGTACTTAACTAGAAAGCTTTATTTTGATCCATAACGTTTTTGAAGCACTTGCCTTCACTTTAGTAACTATTTGCCTTACAATACTGCTCCAGTTTTTTGTATAAAAATCTTTGTTTTCAGCCTCCCAAGACCTGGATTTAGTTGGTGGAGCGTTAGTTATGGACACTACCCCCACTACGCCAACCACACCTACCACCCCCACAACTCCTACTACTCCAACTACTCCTACTACACCAACCACGCCGACAACGCCAACAACTCCAACTACACCAACTACTCCAACAACTCCATCCTGTAAGTTTATGTTTGCCTTAGAAACAGATGTTCAATAGTCTTGTGTTCACTTTGCTTGTGGACGCTTATAAAAGGAAGAGAAGACAGCCGTTTTAGAGATTCAACAATATTGACATCAAAATTAAAAACTTTATATTAAGAAACTTTTTTAAACAAAAGACGAAGCGACACCCCGTATTTTACATTAAATCCCTTTTACATCGCAGTCAAAAAACAATTTTTAAAACTGACGCTGTATATCATGACAGAAGAAAATATGTTAAATTTTCTAAATTTTAGCCATGTGCGTAGACGGAGCGACGAACTGTGCCCAATTCAAGAGTCAGTGTAGCTCATCGAAAATGAAGACCTATTGTAAACAAACTTGTGGTATGTGCACCTCGACTTCAGCTGCAGCCTGCGTCGATGGTGCGACAAACTGCGCCCAATTTAAGAGTCAATGCAGCAAATCAACTATTAAAAGTGTTTGCAAACAAACATGTAGATCATGTTAAATTGATAATAAAGTACTATCAAATTGCGATTAGAATACAACGCGTAAAAAGGATTGAGTAGGATAAAAATAAATACGAATAAAGTAAGGAGTAGTAAGGGAAGGTAAGGTGAGGTAAGCTAAGGCAGAAAGTTAAGAGTAGAAGCGTAAGGCAAGGTATAGTAAGTCAGCAAAAAAAATCATTTCCATTTTTTTCAAAAAAAAATTAATAGAAAGTCCCCCTCACCTTCCTTTCAAAAAACTACCCTCCCCCGCTCTATATTTCAAACGGCAGGCTCTGAGTCAAATGCATAAGAAAACACCTATATCAACATCCAAATACTAACATATTTATTGTTAGATGTTGATACCTACTATAACTATTAAACCCTACCCACGATCAATAATAAACAACATTATAGAACATTTAGTCGTATTGCTTTACATTGCAACCTGCCTGTTATAATACACTTAAAGCTAAAAATATTCCTAAGCAATAATTTTAATGCGTATTTTCAATCCTCCACCCTCGTAAATATTTTAAATCGGCGGCTAAGCAGGTTACACTTACTGTATGAATACGTCAATCGCCGTACATTGCTGTAGACTTCCTCTTCACACCGAGGCTATCTGATGTTTGGCATTGGCGGATCGCACGTATCTTGATTGTATGTATATATCCGCCCCCACCCTTAAACAGAAATTTTTACTGTTTAAGCCTTTACTGGGTTTGGAGTATTTACTTTTTTACTGTTTAAACTTTACTGCTTTGCATAACTAAACCGTGTTGTAAAATGTAAATAAAAAAATGCACGTTTTAAGAATTAAAACCGGTTTTTAATGTATGCTATCATTAACCAAATAGTAGTTTTGCCAATTCTAAAAATTACTTTCAAACTTTTAGAAAAGAAAATAAAGGCCTGGAATGAAGGTAGGTAAAGATATCGTAAGACAATGTAAAGCTAGAATGAGGCAACCATCCTCCTTGTGCCCAAGCCCCCTAAAATTAAATTATGTGAATACAAGTGTAAGGCAAATGTGATTAAAAAAAAGATTAGGGTAAAGCCACAGTAAAGCTTAAGTAAGGGTATAGTAAAGCTTTAGTTACAAGTAAACTGAAACTGCGGTTAAAAAAGTATCGTGCTAATGTTTTGCACATAAAAAGTTTTTAAAATTTGGTGCGCCGTACTGTTTAAATAAAAAAAAATGAATGCTTCTTCATAAAAGTCACGTTTTTACAACTGCCCGTTCCATTCCATTAAAAATGTCATCACTATTATTAATTAACAGAAAAGTCATAAATACTAGAACTAATGTTCTAAGCCAAGCTAATATAATAGAAACGCTGTATACTTCTCCTATTGTTAACTCCGTTATAATCGACAAACTCAAACAAGTTCATTAAAACTTTTAAAAAAACGTTCTAAAAAACTTGTTGTAGTCATTATAAAAGTCCATAATCTTGCACACCATAGTTTACTATTTATACCAATGCCTTCTTCACAATTTCAAAGCTATACCTACAAAAAAATCGAGACTTTTTAATGTCATGCTATAGCATGCTATAGCAGACATAGAATTGCTAAACAACATGTAGTCTAGTAAAAAAATAAAAGTTCATTAAAAAATTTAAAGATCTAAACATATTTTATGTCAAATCATGTTTCACAAACGACAAAGCTTGTTTGAACAGTCCAAACTTATTTCAGAACACGTTACATGAGTCGTGACGTCAAAGGCCGACATTGTTTATCGACTGCGATTGTTTTACTGCCGTTATAATGAAGCTCCAAGACAAACTACAGTATCTCAACAAACAAAATCTACAGTAGCTATACTGTAGTACAATTTAACGGCATTTTAAACTTTAAACAGTTATTGCTTGTATTAGATCTATTGAAATTTTTTTCAAGTCAACGTGAATTCAAAAAAAAGTTAAATGAATGTATCGACAGCTCAACAAACAATCAAAACATAATATTTGCCAATTAAAAGACCACAGTAATCATTTTTTTTATCAAACGAAAGTGACATACAGTTGCACAAATACACCGAAAGCTACTTAAGCTTGTAGCCAAATCAAAAACACTATTCCTTTCGGTTAGTTGAGATAACCATGAAAGTTTTAGTGATCTGCTTGGCATTGGCTGTGGCTTGTAAGTTTTTTTTCTAACTTCTTCATTTTCTACTGATATATTGTGCTACATAAGCTTCAGATAGTATTTTATAGAATGTAGCATGTGATGCTTAAAATATTGTTAAAAATTAACTTTAGAACTTTACTTACTTTTGATAATTACGTATGATTTAAGTCGCCCAGGATACTGCGCCAACCACGCCCACAACTCCAACTACCCCAACTACACCTACCACACCAACTACGCCTACTACACCCACTACTCCAACAACTCCAACTACACCGACCACGCCCACCACTCCAACTACTCCTACCACACCAACAACTCCAACAACACCCACTACACCAACTACCCCTACCACTCCAACTACCCCGACAACTCCAACCACACCCACCACTCCTACTACCCCAACCACCCCTACAACTCCTACTACACCAACTACACCCACCACTCCGACTACTCCAACCACCCCCACTACACCAACCACACCGACTACCCCTACCACTCCAACCACACCCACTACCCCTACTACACCAACGACTCCCACTACACCAACCACTCCAACTACCCCCACCACTCCTACCACCCCCACAACGCCAACAACACCTACAACACCAACCACTCCAACTACCCCTACTACTCCTACAACTCCAACTACCCCTACTACTCCTACTACACCTACCACCCCAACTACTCGTAAGTTAGCGATCTTTTGTCCCAGAGAAGCCTTTCTTAAACCAATCTGATATTTAAGCAACATGAACAAACTCCAAACTGTATGAATCCTATTTCGGGGCCGATGAACAATCATTCCCCCAGCTACAATCATTCCCCCAAGCGCAAAATCATTCCCTACAAAGTTAAGTTGAACTTAACTTGTACTAGTCCAGAACGTTTGGCACAGGTCAGGGTTGACAAGGACCTAAGTGTTGGAGCTGGTGAGACCATCGCGCGACTAGGGGCTGGAGAGAGAACCGGCAGACAACCTCGGAACTCGGCTCGAATGACGATTTCTGGGGAAATCGGTTGCTTTTATAGGGATTTTTTGCATAAACTTTGAAAGTGTAAACCAAGTTTTGAATAATGAATACACTTTCAAAGTGCAATGGGAAAGTGAATAAGGGTTTTCTAAGTGTGGGGCATGATAGTAAAACAGTTGGGGCATGATAGTAAAACAAGTGGGGCATGATAGTAATACAGGTGGGGCATGATAGTAATACAGGTGGGGCATGATAGTAAAACAAGTGGGGCATGACAGTAAAACAAGTGGGGCATGATAGTAATACAGGTGGGGCATGATAGTAATACCGAGTGGGACACAACGGTTGTTTTTTTTTACTTTTGGCAATTTCATAAGTGATTTCTTCGTAAGTTCGCGGTCCGACCATAACTCAGCAAACAAAATGAAAGAATGAAAAATTAAAAAAAAAACCTTAAAATTTGAATAAGTGGGGAATGATTGTAGCTCATTTCCATGGGGAATTATTATTCACCTGCTGGGGAGTTATTCTTCATGAGAACCCCTATGGGGCCTTTTCTTATCTAAGACCTATCCTTTCTTATCTAAGACCTATCCTTTGACAGCTAGCTCCTTCTAATCTGGGCCGGACCAAGGCAAATTTGAAAAGGGCTGGGCCAAAAAAATTAATAAAAGCCTGCCCCCTTACCAGTATGTCTTCTAATTAAAAAAATAACCTCTCCCGGTTATCACCAAAGCCGGTTTGCCCTTTAATTATCCACTGAACGCAAACTCCCTAGAAACTTAACAAGAACACTTTTCAGCATCCTGCACGGACGAAGCCCTGAACTGCGCTGAATTCGTAAGCAAATGCGCTACCGCTCAAATGCAACAATACTGTAAGAACACTTGTGGACTTTGCTCTTCCACGCCAGCACCATGCGACGATGGCGCCACCAACTGTGCTCAATTCATCAGTCAGTGCAAGACCAGCTCAACAGTCGCTTCCGTGTGCAAGAACACTTGTGGAACCTGCTAAACCTCAGAAGAACGTCAAGAAACAACATCAAAAGCAGCGATTTGGACAATAGCATTTGTGTATTAATTTTAAATAAATCTGCAATGACAACACTATGTGCTGGAAATGTAAAAAATAAAAATTTTAACTTTGAATTACAAATTATATCTTTATATCACTCAAACCGCTTCAGTTATTTTCTAAAAAAACCTCAAATAGGACTCAAAACACTCAAAAAAGCATAATTTCGCTATATGAACTCGAAAATTTGACACAGTTACCTTGATATGACCACAGTAATTTATTTATTATTTAGCGTCAGCAACATAAAGTGTTAATATAATGCATATAATATTGTAATTAACTACGACTGTTAGCGAATTCTCCAAAAGATACAGATATGACCACAGTAATACTTGAGAACATCTCTCGCTAAAATAGAGCTTAAGTCTTGTAAATCAATGCTTGAACACACTCAAGGTGAAATAAAATGAAATGAAGCAGTACTGTGAAAATAACTGAAGTCACACCGCAGTAAAAATTATTTTATCTTTTTTTAATCAATTTTCTACTGTAGTTCAATGCAGTCACAAATAAAAATTGTTATATACTAGGTTAACAACTTTTAAATCAACTTACAAATATAATCCAAAAGGATTCCCCTGCCTTCAAAACCTGTCAACCTAATACTGGAAAAAAGACAACGTATTTTATCTTAATTCCAGCATTCGTGCGCAGAGCCATCAATCTTTCTTAATTCTAAGCACAGTCTAAATTGTTAACTTGTTTGTGTTAACAACGCTAAAATACTGTGAAATAGCTTGCAAATTGTGTATAAACGTAAATTCAAAACCCACGCAGCTTCAGCCTACGTACTATACAAGCGAAAGTGGATTACCTACTAATAATATAATATTCAACCATAACATGCTAATAATAAGCCGTTACAGCTTTAATACCATGATATCATACGTAACTGCAAAGCAATTGTTGCCTCGAATAAATGGTTTTCTATATGAGTAAAGTTACAATATCAGCTTATCATGCCACGTCATGATAAATACCACATTTTACAAAAGAATACCCGTACTATACAAATAGTCATACAAAACTGTGAATAACGATTAAACATTGCTATTTCAAAACTCTGCACAGAAGTTGTCATTTTAATATTGCGTAGTCAATCTAAAAAATTCAACTGTATAAACACGGCGTTCAGTATTTAACATTCTTAGTCAGAGAAGAAAACACTATTTCTTTGAAGCTGGCACAAGGTTTCTAGTAAAAATGAAATTTATTACTGTAGTATTCATCCTTCCATTTATAGGTTCGTTTTAAGTTATATTCTTAAAGAAATAGAGTCTTTCGATATTTTAGTAGCTCAAGATGATGAACCCACACCAACAACGCCTACTACTCCAACTACCCCTACAACACCTACCACGCCGACAACCCCTACTACGCCGACCACACCTACTACTCCAACAACTCCTACTACGCCAACTACCCCTACTACCCCTACCACGCCTACGACGCCGACAACCCCTACAACTCCAACTACACCCACTACTCCTACTACGCCAACTACCCCTACCACTCCAACTACTCCTACTACACCAACAACCCCAACTACTCCAACCACGCCTACCACCCCCACAACGCCAACAACACCTACAACACCAACCACTCCAACTACCCCTACTACTCCTACAACTCCAACTACCCCTACTACTCCTACTACACCAACAAGTAAGCAGCTTAGTAAAAAACATTTTTATGCTTTAAATCCTTCTTTTTTAGCAACGTGTGTAGATGGAGCAATTAATTGTCCACAATTTAAAAACCAATGCGGAACACCCAAAATGAATACCTACTGTAAAAACACTTGTGGATTGTGTGGTTCAACCACTGCTCCGCCTTCAACTGTTTCTGCAGGTACAGTTGAATAACTCATATTATTCCTAACTAAAAACAATAGACCGTTCTAAAACCCGATGGTTATTTGGTGCAGCTCCCTTGTTAGGCATAGTTTAGACATACTTCACCCCTATATTAGGTTGAAACGAAAGTAGCTGAACACATTTTAATTTATTTTTCAATCAAAAAGTGTCCCACTACTTTTGGTTCAACCTATTATTATTGTTTTCAGCTTGCGTCGACGGTGCAATCAACTGCAGTTTATGAGCTTGTGTGGTACACCAAAAATGAAAATGTATTGTAAGAATACCTGTGGGTTGTGTAATGGAACGCCATGTAAGCGGTTTTCTTTCATTTAAATTGGTAAATAACAAATTTCTTTTTTTGATTAAAATACCTATGCCCTCAAAATACAGCATTTTTAACAACATACAAAAGACTGAACGACGTCACTACTCCGAACACTTATTGTAAATCGTATTATTTTCAGCATGCGTAGACGGAGCCATTAACTGTCCCCAGTTCAAATCGCAATGTGGGATGCCACAAATGCAAAAATACTGTAAAAATACTTGCGGATTGTGCTGAACGACAGTAAATACAATTTGAATTCCATTTTTCATAATCTCTAGCCTGCTTACAGAACAATACGAGTCTAATAAAGTGATCAAAAGGGCCGTCAAATAGCATTGCTATAAAATAGCCTTCGAGCAATCCTACTACCACTATATCATACTTATCTCCAGAACAGCCATAAGAATAAATAAATCGTTCCAAAAACTATTATAAACAGTGTTATATCATAGTACAATGCATCTCAAAAAGGCTTACAAGGGTAATCATTAAAATAGTGTTAAAACACGCCATGATTTTTGCACCAACAAAATCAAAAAAAATCTCCCAAAAAAAATCTGATGTATAAGGTAAAAAAACCTATCAAAACTAAGAAAACAAACAGCAATAGATCAGTTTATTCATAAACAACAACAATATATGTACAATAACCATTTTTAAACCACGTATTACCCTTAAAGCCATAGGTCATAGACTAAAATGGTCAGAAACGTCTTAGACCATAAACTTAAAAACAATTATCATAAAATCACAAAATGTTAAGCATCCGGATACGATATTAAGGTATAATATAGAAGAAACCACAAATATAATATAGGTACAATATTCAAATTAACAAAAAAACTTCAACTTCCCAATAACAAAAATCACATTAAATATACAATGCACTACAACAACTCTCGAATAACAAAATAAAACTTCGAAAAAAATTACCAAAACTTAAAATTCTGAAAGAATTTGCGCAGACCTTCCTCAGCCATGTCAAAGTACTTCTTCATAAATGCTTTAAATGCTGATCCTTCAGAAAAGATGTTATAGAAGACGCTGATATTCAATGATGATGCCGTTTTCAGCGCTTTCAGGTCGTATTCTTCGGCTACTCGAAGCATGGAAGGACTGTAGCCGGCTTGGAGGTTCATTGTCATGTAATGGTCAATGTAGTCCTAGAAATAACAATGGTAAACTTTGGCAATTTACGATGCGACTGAGGTAACCAGCTATAGTAAGGCTGAAGAGCTTTGGTATTGCTTGGTTTAGATTATCGAAAAGGCGGATTACGAATAGAGCAAAGCAGCTAGGCAAAAAGAAGGCTACTTTAGGCTTAAAAGTCAAAGGCTAAACCAAGGGTAGGGTAAGGCTAAGATATGACAGAGACAGCTCTCAAAACACATTAGGCTTACAATGAAACTAAACCCACCTTCATGACGTCAATTTCCAAATGCGTGACCAAGTTCAACAAACAAGGCTGAATCATTTCATCTGAAGGCCATTTCAATTCGTACATAAACCTCTTAACAGGCACAAAAACATCTACTTTGTATTGACGCATGTCAATCACAACCATACCTTCTTGAATTTCCTCTGGCTTCTCGCACATTCTTCTCACATAGTTGCTGAATCTGCACACAATGACTTGGTCGGCCTGAAAAGTCATAAAAAATCATGTCAAAAAATTTTTGACGATCAAATGTTTGCGGTCAAAAAGTACACAGAAACTAAAAAAAATCTAATTTTAATAAAATTTTTAAAAAAACTTACTTCAACAATTTCATTTCGAAAAACAAACGCCAAGTTGTGATGAGCAGCCTTCTTTCTGTATTTCGTCTCTGGATATGTTTTTGGTTTGAATTCTTCTTTTGGTGGACATTGCTGCCTAAATTCTATGTTATCATACCCAAAGTTTGTTATATTTAGACTTTTGAAAGGCCAGACCTAACCATATTTTCAAAAATCGCAAAAAACTTAAAAAAGCTCACTTATGTTCCTCCTGAGGTTCCGAATCGTGTCCACTATCATGTCTTGCCTTTTCAGGATCTTCATCATCGTCTTTACATTCTTCTTCCTCCTCACCTTCTTCTTTATCATCTTTGCCATCCTCTTCTTCTTTCTCGTCACCTTCTTCTTCATCATCAGAAGCAAAAGAAATCTCCTTGATATCTTGAACAAGTTCATCTTCATCAAAGTGTCCATGCCCTTCTTCTCTCCGTTCCTCGTCTTTCTGTTTGTAATCTCTGGCCTTTTCACAAAATTCATAAAAAGTTTCTTCATTTTTAGTTTTTTGGGGTGTATACTTTCTGGGAACGAAGATTGACTCTTGAGTGTATCGTCTAACATAACATACGACTTTTAATGGTCGATTATTCAGGGCTTCAAGAAGGACGTCGCGTCGAATCAGCTTTTTGACGCCACAGATTCCTTGGGCGAGTTTGGTACCTAAAATAAATTTAAACAAACTGTCAATTGTTACCTAAAAATCAAAACTCCAATAAAAACCAAAAATTTGTTACTAAAGCAAAATTTTAACAAAACTTGTTATATTCGCCTAAAACTTTGTTGTAAACTCAATAAAACCCCTAAATTAACTCACAATTAAGTTTATGACGTTTAGCTCTGACAATAACCTCTTCGTCACACATAAATTCCAGCTTCCAGCTCAAAAAGTGATTAAAATCGTGTGATTTGTTAATATTGCCACTTTTATCCAAAATTTCTCCATATTGTTCTGAAGAACAAACAGCGACGGATACGTGTTCCTGGGAGTCTTCATCAACACCATCTGGCCAGATCTTCACCATAAAGCCAGTGGATTCACTATTATTTGGGCCGAACTGATCACTGGACAATACCAACCATTCGTCTTGACATGGATCTGATGGAAAGTCTTTGATCGTCCATAAATTGAAGCCAAAGTCCTGAAAATAGTGGTAGTTATCGAGTTAAGTCTACAAAGGATCTTACAATTATAAATATTTAAAGTAAAGTATCAAAAACAGCAATATTTTCACGGAAAACACCTAAAAACACTCATATTATCATGAACAATATCTGAATCTTGCCGTATATTATAAAATACAGCCTTAAAACCTTTATAAAACTAAAGTCCACATCAAGAAAATTCGTGCTTTCATAAATGACACCTTTAATAAGGAAACACTATAATCAGACTTAAAATAATATTGTTTTACACTGATAGATTGGCCAACTTCTTGCTGAACATACTTTTGAATGCGGAACAAGGTATTCATGTCGTTCTCCATCTTCCTCCTCTTCACAGCTTTCCATTTGAAGAGCATGCATCGTGGAACATCAATTGATACAATAATTCCTACCGAATTTTCTAAAAACCGGCAAAAATAATTTTTGAGGGAAAGTCTTGACGCAGCCGGAAGCAACTTGAGTCTACTCTTTCTCTGTTGATAACAAGTTAATTTACATCATTTTTATTGTTTGTCTTTACTAGATTTATGTGGTCTAATGTTGGTAAGTAAGCGGGTAAAAAGATAGTCAATCATTTTACTGCAAAATCGACCACTTTTTTGCCGAAACTTCTGTTTTTTCTCCTTTCATCCCTTCTTCTTGTCTTTTCTCCTTTGATTTCTGTTCTTTTTCTTCATTTTTCTATCGTTCTTCTTCTTCATACTTCGCTTTCTGTTTACTTTCTTTTTTTACGATCTTCTTCTTCTTTTTGTTCTTTCTCGTCTTTCCTCTGATCTCTCTCGTTGTGGTCTCTTTCTTCTTCCTTCTCCTTTATCATTCGTTAACATTAGCATAATAGAAAACTAAAATGGAGTTAGTAAAATCTTTTAGTATGCCTCTAAATATTATGACACCCTCCTGATAATGAAAGCTTTTTGACCGCGCTTGGTATTATAATAATAGAACTCTTATCAAAGAGTACCTGGGTATTGTGACATCCTGGTTATAAGGACAGAGTTGGACTATTCCTTTGAGTTTTCTGCTAAAGAGGGTTAACTATAGAAATTTTGTGTTTGAGTGAAGGGGGTTTATGGTTTTTTTGTATTGACTTTTTTTCAGCTTTATGAGTTAACAATAAAGATTCTTTCTGCTAGCTTCGGGTCCTTATATAACCATAATATTTTTTTGACCTCGCGTTACTCTTTCTACTTGAAAAGCATTCCACCTTTCAACTCCTATACAAATATCATAAGTTTTCCAAAAAAACGTCTCTTGTCATAGCCTACGGTACCCACAACTGGTCATCTTAAACTTCCTCATTTCGGTTCCGAGTCAGCTGGACGCCGGACATTGAGCCGGCTGTAGAAACGCATGGGGGGAGATGGAAAGGAGGAAGACCGAGATCTATCTTCGTGCGTTCTGAATGTATATTCCCCCAACTACTCGGTAACTGGGTCACATACGAAAGGGCGAAAGTTCGAAATTGAGAGAAATCTGAGAAAAACCGCCGGGGCAGGGTTCGGCGCCTTTTGACGGTCGATGAAAGTGAATCTGCCGACGGTTTGTGGCGTTTGGGATTTGTGTGAAAAAGGTTAAACTGCTTTGTTAGGATTGAGATGCATGGGATTAATTCGAAAATAAAAGTGGCTGCTCGATTTTGCACAAGTTTAAGAGATTTTTGGCGGTTTTGTTGTGGTGTTGCTGGGTGGGGTAGACCTGGGAGGTTTCTAAGCCCGGTAGAGACCGTGCGGGCTTGATGGCCGGGCCCAAGGGAGTTGACAGTAAAATTGGGCCTGGTCCGGCCTCTTTGTATCCGGCAAGGCATAGCAGGGCGCATTGCAGGGCACTTTCAATGGTCAATACCCTGCTCTTGCCAAGGCTTTATACAAAATTTTTCTTTGATAACTTTTACCCCTGCTTTCCGTCTTTCTCCGTCCTTTTTCCTCTCCATTTTCCATGCCAAAGACAATTGTCATGCTCTTTCTTTAGCTAAAAGAATAAACAATATGTTTTAAATTTTTAAAAATTTTGAAATTTTCAATTTTTTTTTATTTTGTTTTTTTTTTACTTTTTTTATCGAAAATCAAAAAACTTTACTTCAACTAATTTCAGATTTTCAAAAGTATAATTTAAGATCAAACTACACGAAAAATCATTGAAATCTCGGTCGGAAACTTTTGAAACATGTAGGGTAAAACTCTTGACATGTTTAATTGGATTGGAATAAAATAAACGGCAGAGGTGATGCCTGCTTCGGATGGACATTAAAATTGTGTTTTTTGGAGAAATTAGCGAGATTTTTTATTTTTTCTCAAATTTTTAAAATTAATTTTTTTTTCAATTTGAAATTTTAAAAAAATTAAAATTTTTTGAAATTTTACACTGTTACGGTTAAGGTATGTTAAAAGGAGCCGGCTTTAATTTTTTGTCTTGATTACAGGCCAGGCCTTGGTTTGAATCCTAGCCCTCGGGTCTAACTGTGTCGGCTCGGCCTTTTACGTTTTTGTCGGATTGGGCCCGACCGAGCTTAGTGGGTTTTTTTTCAGGTTTAGTTACGGTTTTTTACCAGCTAAAAAAGCATTTTTTACTAACCTTGACTTGTAACATGAACGTTTGTTCATAAAAATACGATTTTTGATACTACATAAATAGCACGTTGACTATAAAAGAAGTCTATTTAAAAATGCTTCCTCAAAATATCAATTTAATACTTACTATCGTTAGCAATCAAAACCACTACCGAATGGTCAAGCCTTACTCGGGAATCAATCTTATAAAAACCTTTTTATGATGAGCTTCTCAATCCGTCTAATCAAGTTTCTAGTTTTTGTGAATCTTCACTTGGATGATAAATCCCGAGAGTGAACATCCAGTTTGAAGGTTTGATTCGTGCGCGAGAGGGTTACTGTAATCGTCGCCGGTTATTACACTTATTCCTTGTTTTGTAAACAATTACTTGCGGTGTTTTGATTTTGAGTCAGTTTGTAATTTTTTTAATTTCATTGAAATTTAGGGTTGTTTTTCAACATTTTTGAAATTTTTTTATTATGAGGGTTTTGGAACAGTGGTCTACATCCTATAGCAAGGTAAAAGAAAAGGCGTAGTTTACTTCTTAAGGCAGGGCAAAAAAACAGAAATCTCTATCTCTGGGCAAAACAAAACAAAAATAATACTCTACATCCCAGGGCGGAGTAAAACAAAAACAGTAGCATAGATAGTAGCGCTGATTGTAGGACTGAGTGAAACGTAAACATTAATTCACAGGACAGGGTTAAAAATGGGGTTTTCCGGTTGGAATACTGTTAGAAAGGTTTTTAAAAAATGATGGTGTCCTTTTCTATGATTTTCTTGCTGTTCTGGCTCGATTTTTAAGCTTTGTACAAAGGAACTACCATATAACGAATCGCTCGGAATTTTTAATTTTTTTTGTTATAATGAAGTTTGTTTTACGGAAATATTGTTATAGAGGGGTTTGCTATACAAGAGACACTGCTTTTAAACTTAACTAAAAGGTCCCGCATATTGTTCTTTAGTCATTTTTGGAAAAAAAACATCTTGTAAACAGTAGGCAGATGGCAGTGGCATACATAATTATGCAGAATTTGCTATTTCGTTTCAAAAAAAACGCTTCATGTCCAATTTTTAGACTTTTTGAAAACTTTCACAAATTAATCAACAGTACTGTATAATAAACTCTTCAAAGGCTAAATTTTTGTACAGCGAGCAGCTTTTTAATCCCTGGCTATTACTACGCAGGTTTTTTACAATTTCTATATAACAAAACTGCTTTATAACAAATAAATTCTTTAGTGATTTGTTTTGCTAAAGTTCTACTGTCATATTATTATTCTTAGTTCTACCTTTTATACTTTTTTAAATTATGCTGTTGTATACTATATATAACGTTACCAAAATTCTACATTAAATCCTTGTTTTAAGTACAAAACTTGTACTATTGTTGACATAATAATCATAATTAGTCTTTGACTTTTGATCATCATCTTATTATGTTTATTAGAGTCATCATAGACTTGGCTATATATACTAACCTAGTAAACTATTATATTAGCGATCATGAAACTTTGATTAGCAAAGCATTTTAATCTAACTTTTTTTAGTAAACTTTAAAAATTTATTACTTCTTACATATTCGTACTCTATTTACCAAACTTTGACTGATCCGCAGCAGACTTGTTTATGTTGTTATTAGTATTTATATTAGCATAAATTATAATATTAGCATATTTAAAAATAAGTACGTACTAGTCTAACCAGTTACTACTAATAGCTGGTTATTGTTTTGTTTAGTCTAGGTTACTGGGTTGAAAATCTATATTGTTTAGTTTTCTGGATTAGCATAATTAAGAGAAGGAAATATATATAAACTTATGCGGTTTGTTGTTGTTGTGTACTGTCATTTTTGGTATTGATGGTCTTGGTTTTTTATTAGGGACTTATTGATATGTTTTTAGTCATTAAAATTTTAAGCGTTAGGTAGTGATGCTAGTTGGAACGCGCGGTTCTTATTATTCATTATAGCTTTGTTGACTTCACACTTATTAGGTTTAAGGTTTTAAGTTTTTAAAGTCATTTTAAGGTTATGGCTTGACTAACAAATCATATTTATAGTAGTATAGTTTCCAAGCTTTATCGTGTTACATGTAAGGCCTGTTTTACCATCTTTAAACTTATTTACTCTTTTAGAGTCATACTCTAATGTTTGCAAGATCTTTTCTACTATCATCAGCAATCCTTACTTATATATAAACTCATTTACTCCTTTTAATTCTTGATCTAATATGAGCAGAGTCTTTAAGATTTTCTTTACTGTCATTAAACCTTACTCCCATATATATGTACACTTTCTATCCTCTTTGTCTCATACTATACTATATGTAGAGCTTTCAAGGTTTTTCTTGCTATCATGAGCTTTACTTTACTACTCTACATTTGTAAGATTTCTTCTATAATCATTAAGTCTCACTTACTATATGTAAACTTATCTACTTTCTTTAGGTCATTATTTTTTTATATTTTATTCTATTGGCATTAAGCCTTACTCAATTATAATATCTTTAAACCTTACTCTACTATATTTTCACTCCTACTTTTTTAACCCCACTGCATGCAAATCTTATGTCATCCGATCGCCGTGTCGCATTAACCGCGCGATTATGCAAAAAGTTGCGCTCTGCGCCCGATTGCATGATAAACACATTGAGTGATATTGGTCGCTGCATGGAGATTAACCGCATTTGGTCATCATCTGAAGCGATCGGATTCGGGAAATGGTGGGCTGAGAAGCGAACGAAAAATCTGGTTTTGCCTCGGATTCGTTTTTGCGCTTTCATAAAGCCCTCGCTTTTCTTTTGGTTCGCGCTGCCAAAACCTGACCACAAAATTGGAAGAGTTTCGACCCAAGATGTAATACCCAAAAAAAGAAGTGGGAAATGATGACCGCGCCGTCGTCGGTGAGGTTTTGGGATTGAAGAAGCGCGTTTGATCTTTGTTACGTTAAAAAAGGAGCCGGCGTATGATTGTAGAGTTAATTGATGGTTTTTCACTTGTAGAATGAGCTATCAATTTGGAAGAAGGCAGGGGAACTAAGAGCTATCATCCAGAAGGAGGCAAGGGAAGTAGGAGCTATCATTCTGAAGGAGGCAGAAGAGCTACGAGATAAGCTGTTTGGTTGATTGTTTGTTTTCTGGTTTGAGGATTAACAAACCATTTCCGGCAAGAACATTTTTACGTAAAGAAAGGAGGCCGAGCGATGGGGTAAGAGGGTAGGAGTAAAGGTAAGAGAGGGTGGAGGATTGTAGGCAAGAAAGAGGAGTCGTAAGGTGGAGAGTAGGAATTTTGAAGCCAAACAATAAATTTTTTTTTGTTTTCTTTTGTATTAAAATTTTTCTGATGAGCCTTTATTACAGTATTTTTTAAAATTAAAAGTACGGCCTGATCATATATAACAAACTTTCAAGCCATAAATTAAAATTTTTGTACATTTTGTCTAATTTTAAAACAAAGAAAACAATGAAAAACAGTTTAGTCATCATTGTTTTCAGTTGATGATAAAATAGGCTATTGTTGAAAAGTAAAATGAATCATGGATTTTAACGTTCGTTTTTATTCTTTATTAATAGAAAAGAGAGTACTACTTTGTATGTGACACATTTAGGCACATAAATTGTTTTAAAATGTCTACAGTCATGAGATTTGTAATTAGATTATCAATGTTGTTTATAGTGCTATGGTGGAGTTAGGTAGACATGTAAACATGACTTTAACGAGCAATCTTTTTTATAAATTAAACATGGATTTGCTGTCTTAATATCTTTTGCAGTTAGAGTTTACAGTTATAATTTACATTTTACAGCGTAAAGTTACATTTTACTAATCATTGTTTTTTAAAAATGAGATTAGAATACAAGTAGTTATTGTAAATTTATATATTTGGTGTTTATCAACGTAATGATTGTACAGTAGTATTGTATTTTTGTAGTCATTACTTCGTGTTTTACTTTAAATTTTTCATTTTAGTAGTTTCTGCGTTCTAGTTTTACTTTCATCATTATTGTACATGTAGTAAACTTCCTTACTTTAATAACTACGTGCTTAAAAATCGTGTAGCGTTTTGGGGTTTTTTATCTTATTATAATACATTTATAATTTTATATTTTCAGAACGTGCGACACTTTTTACATATAAGACAAAACATTGAGGCCGCCGTTTTGTGCCGTTCCACGGCACTGACAACAATACAATTTTACTTGTAAGTTGTTCATATTTTTTTTGTTTTGTAAATCAATGGATGGTAGGTTTAATTGGTAGACATATATCGTTTTTTTGAAGGCGAAGAGGAGCTTCTATTTTTTTGCCAAAATTAGCTACTGTAAAACTCTACTTATTAAAGACCCTTTTTTTGAAATTTTGAAATCTATTTTTCTGTGATTTCGAACGAAAACAAGAGAACTGACCAGAGCGAGCTTGAATCACCTATCTTTACTTTTACTTTTTTGCGTAAATGAGCTAAAAGAACGTGAAAAAACGAGCAAATCCTAAATTGCTTTGGACTTTAGTAGACTGTGAAAGGGCCGGGGTAACATAAAAAATTTTGCTATGTTTGAAAACCTGGCCCCTCACAGTGGGCTTCTATTGAAGTCTAAACGGTAAGTAAACTTTCGTTACCTAAAGAAGTTGATTATTGTATTTTCCATACTAAAGACATCACATTTTACTAAAAATTTACGGACGCACAAAGTACTCCAACGTATTTTACAATAACTTTTTCTATCCAATTCATTTACAAAACTCAATCATCCTAAAAGCCCAAACATCCTAAAATTACCCAAAAATATTATTATTGATTGTTCAGCTAATTCTGTGCCTTCTTTTTCTTTTTCTTTCTTTATTCTTGTAACACTCAAAAATAATTCTGTGGCTTCTGACGCCAAAAATTGTTTTTAAGAAGAGGCACAGAATTTTTTGAACGCTAATGTTTCGTAGCATGCAGTAATTTAAAAATTTTCAAAACAAACAAGTTGCAAAATCAAAAATAAAAATTTTTACTCGGATTTCAGTGACGATTAAAGAACGGCTGTTTTGTTTTGTGCTCGAAACACCTGACTCCGCCTTTCGGACCGTCCTTGAACAAGATGCAATTGACCGTCGAACAGATTCTGGGGGTTCTCCCGGCGGCGTTTCTCATCGCCGAAGTCTTGGGCTTCCAGTTCCTCGGGTTCATTGTTATGTGCGTGTGGATTTGGGCGAGATACGGCGATTTTATTCACAGATCGTACATTACGCTCGACCGGGACTTGAGGTAAGTTTTTTGGGAAATTTGGGGTTTTGTTACCTAAAAAATTTTTTTTTTATTTTTCATATTTTTTTTGATTTTCACAAAAATAATGGATTTACTAAGCAGCATATTGAATTTTTAGGTCTTTTTCAATTAATGTTAAATTTTTAAAAATTACTTTTTAATCCTTAAAATGCTTATTTTTAATGTTTTTGAAGCCTAAAAGTCTATTTTTAAACTATTTATGCATCAAAATATAAAAATAAAAAAATATAGTGTTTACTTTAATTCTACACCATTTACACGATTTTTTGGCTCCATTTTGATTATTTTCCCTTAAAAAACGAGCCGATAAGCTCCTTTTATCATTCCCCCATGTTCCAAACGTTTCTCTCTCGTTTCGGAGCGCTTTTCTCATGTGCCGACCATAGCTCAGTTGGTAGAGCGGAGGACTGTAGTTCAAGCGGAAATCCTTAGGTCGCTGGTTCGAATCCGGCTGGTCGGAACTTGTTTTTGCAGTTTTTTTGAGGCGGGTAATGTAAAATACGGCCTTCTTTTTGGCCTGAGTTTATACTAGTGAGCTTACAACTATAAGTTTTTGTTACTTTAAGTTTAGGAAACTTTAAAAAAGGCAAAAAGAGTATAAAATTTAAACTTTTTAGAATAAAGTTTCCAATTTCTTCTAAAAACTGCTTATAAAAGCTTCGAAAAACCTTTTTTTCAGTGGACTATGGCTCTTGTTGAATGTAAAAATTGATCTATTTCAACAAAGCAAGAGAAATCGACCACTGTTTGAGATCTTCTTGGATGTGTGTCGAAGACAACCTAACAAAGAAGCTATCATTGAGGTCAACACTGACCGAAAAGTCACCTTCGCCGAGTTGAATGCCGAAGCCAACAGATTTGCCAACTATTTTCAGGTGGAATTTTGAAGTTTTTATAAAAAAACCTTATTTGAAATTTGAATTTAAAAAATTTTTTTAGGTATCAAAATTTTTTTAAATTTAATTTTTTAGCGAAAAAAGGTCTAAGATTGTTTTTTAGCTTAAAGCTCATTTTAAAAAAAACGAACTTTGATTTGTAAAATACGTTTTATCAACCGAAAATAGCCTTTTCATCTTACGCTAGCCTTAAACTTCTATTATATTTTTCAGAAGTTAGGCTACAAAAAAGGGGATGCGATCGCCTTGTTCATGGAAAACTCGATCGATTTCGTAGCAGCATGGTTAGGCTTATCGAAGATTGGAGTTGTTACAGCATGGATCAACTCTTCGTTAAAGTCTGAACAACTTGCACATTGCATTTATACTTCAAAGACGAATGCTGTCGTTTGTTCCAAGAACTTGGCTCATGGTAAGGACGGTGTTATGGCTATTTTTTAATGTTTTTGTACTTAAAAATTGAGTTTTTTCGATGTTTTGCCGAATTTTTGTGGTTTTTATGCCTGAAATGGTGATTTTTTAGAAATTTTTTAGTTTTTTTATATCTAAAACTTTTTTTTGAATAGTAAAGCTTTTTAATAGACAATTACTGATCTAGTAAAGCGTATTTTGTTCAGCTTTTAATGTATTTTACTCAATTCCAATAATTCCAGTGATCGCCGCAGCCAAGGCTGAAGGTCATCTGAACTCGTCTACCGAGCTCAACATGTACATTTGTGATCTGGGTGACAATTCTGAACTCAACTCAAAGTTTAAGACTTCAGAATACACTCATTTGTCTCCAGAACTTCAGAAACAGTCGACTGAAGAGCCGACCAAAGTCATCGGAGTTGATTTCCAATCAGTATTGTGCTTCATTTACACTAGTGGTACTACCGGAATGCCTAAGGCGGCTGTTATGAGGGGGTTACGGTAAGGTTTTTAAGAATTTTATGGGTTTTGGGGCGGGATTTTTGGGTTTTATAGGGGGTTTTGGCAATATTTTGAAATTTTTTTGAATGTTACAGTAAGATTTCAAGCTTTTTCATATTTTTCATATCAAAAAAAGTCTTTTCTATTGCCTTCCGATCTTCTGTAACAAAATTTTGTCTTTTTAGGTACTACTCAATGTGTGTAGGAGCAGCCAAAGCCTTTAAAGTATCTCCAGAAGACAGGATTTACATTTGCATGCCCACTTATCATACAGCCGCAGGCATCTTGGGCATTGGGCAGACCGTTCTAAGGGGTGCAACTGCGGTTATCCGCCCTAAGTTCTCGGCCAGCAACTTCTGGAAAGACTGTGTGAAGTATGAGTGTACTGTAAGTCTTGTGGCTTTTTTAATGGTGTTTTGAAAAAGTTAAATTTAAAATTTTTTTCAAAATTTTCAAATTTTCAAAAAATGAAAATTCAGGCTTCCCAATACATTGGTGAGATCTGCCGATACCTGCTGGCTCAACCAGCCTCTCCAGAAGAAAAGCTACACAAAGTTAAGTTGATGTATGGCAATGGCCTTCGACCAGAAATCTGGCAAGAAGTTGTCGACCGTTTTGGCGTCAGAATCGGCGAACTCTATGGTTCTACTGAAGGCACTTCTAACTTGGGTATGTCTTTAACATTTTTACACTATTTATTTGCCTAAAAAATAGTAAACAAGGTTTATTATCATTAATTTTTTGTTAAAAACACGAAAGGCTGTTTTTGAGCTTATTTTATCAATATTTTATTGTTTTTTAACTATTTTTCAACCTTTTTAATGACTTTTGGACGTAGTTATATCTAATTAACCTTTTTTAAACTTATTTTTATTAATTCACAAATAATTAGTAACGTTTTGCGACAAAAACATCATTTTTCCTTTCAAAGCACTGTTTATTCCCTTCCCTTTCCGAAATGAGCGAGAAAAAAGCAACTCGGAACGTGCGCCATGATAGCTCAGTTGGGAGAGCGTTAGACTGAAGATCTAAAGGTCACCGGTTCGATCCCGGTTCGTGGCATTTTTGCTTTCGGGGCTTTTTGGGCTTGGAAAAGTTTAAATATTGCGTTTTTAGGTTTGTAAACTATTTAAGACGTTTCTATTTTACATTTTTGGATAACAAATTTTGGTGTTTTACCCTTTTAGGGTAATTTTTAGCTAATTTTTCTAAAATTTTTTAAAATTTTAACTTTTTTTGCTAATACTAGCCATTTTTAGTTAACATTGACGGCCGAGTAGGATCATGTGGATTCCTACCAATCTCTCCATTGACTTCTCGTCTCCATCCAGTACGATTAATCAAGGTAGACGAAATAACTGGTGAGGTAATCAGAGGAACAGATGGTTTATGTATACCATGTCGGCCAGGAGAAACTGGAGCCATGGTATCTACGATTAGACGTGGCAACCCACTGTTGAACTTTGAAGGCTATTTGAATCAGAAGGAGACTAGCAAGAAGGTGTTGAACAATGTGTTTAGGAAGGGAGATCAAGTCTTTGTTTCTGGTGAGTTTTGTGAGGTTTGCAGGGGATATTGTAATAGGTTTTGAGATGAAAAATTTAATTTTTGGATATTTCAGTACTTGTTCGGGCTTAAAAATGCGTTTTCCTAAGTTTTTATGGCCACAAAATTTAATTTTTTACAAAAAAGTCTCATTTTCGAAAAAATTTTCAGGTGACATCCTGCACTGGGACCGCCTAGGCTACGTCTACTTCCGTGACCGTACTGGAGACACGTTCAGATGGAAAGGAGAGAATGTATCCACTACAGAAGTCGAGAAAGCCTTCTATGGCTGTCCCGAACTTCGAAAATGCATCTCTGATGTTACAGTATACGGGGTTAAAGTCCCGAAAACGGAAGGCCGAGCTGGAATGGCAGCTATCGTCAAGATTCAGGACAGTGAGGTGTCTGATGAGGTGGGTTTTTTATTGTTTAATTTTTTGAAATTTTTTTTCATTTTTAGATTTTTTTTTTAATTTTAAAATTTTAAAAAAATCCGAGAAATTTTGAAACTTTTTTTTATTTTGGTTAAGCTTATCAATACAGTCATCGTGAATCACATAAAACATATTTTGCTTAAGGAAATGATTGAAAAGTTGGCTAGCCACTTGAAGTCCCGCCTAATGGGACCAGCTGTACCAGTTTTCCTCAGGCTATGCAGTGATGTCCAGAGAACCGGTAAGTTTTCGAATTTAAAAATTTTTTGCCGTTTTGCGACCATTTTGATGATTTTATAACCAAGTTTTAAAACCCTCCGCACAGTGCAGTTTTATATTTTGTCTGCACCGTGCAGAGTTTAATTAGATTGCAACGTGCAAAATCAAAAAATGGCCATATTTGCCATTCTTTTTGGTATATCAAGCCAAAATGTTATCTAAAAATGATCAAAATGACATTACAGGGACCTTCAAGCTAATCAAGACCCACTTACAAAGCCTTGGCTTGGACGGAACCGAAGAAAACGACCGTCTTTATGTAATGTACCATGGTGCATATGTGCCATTCGATGCCGAGAAACGGCACCAACTGGACGATGGTACCCTTGGATTATAATTTATTCTAATTTATTTTGTTTTGGAGGGTTTTATCCAACTTTCTAAAATCAATAATTTTTGTGACATTTTGTCACTAAAATCAATATTTTTAGTTTAATTTCGTCACTTTTTAGGGAATTTTTAAGAATTTGAGTACCTAGTGCTTTCCTATCGTGCTAAATAGGATGTTATTATACAAACTTGCTCAAATATTACTTTTGTGTCATAAACAATGTCTTTGCTACAGTAATCCTTGTTAAACGCTACAGTAATCTTTGCTACCATGCCCAACTATACTTGCCTGCACTGTTGAGTATGATTTTTCTCAAAACCGGTTATAATTTTATCGATTACATGTACAGATCGCGGTCATATTAACATATCAATCTTGTAGTTACCCAGCTGATAGATATTATAGTGTATACCATGTATATCGTAGTTTTCGAACTTTTTTCGTTATTCGAATAAATATATGGTAAAGTATGTTTGTGGCTTTAATTTTGGCAATTGTTCCCATTTGAAAAACATGGCCATTTATAGATTATTTATACCTACATCAATATCAAGTGTAACATAACGTCCAAAATTTTAAATTCATAGCAAAATCTGGCTAAAATATTGGCAAATCACCTCTAGTTTGACGTATAGACCAAAACCACCCACAAATATAAATAATTTTACTCTTATGCTCAACAGAAACAACTACAATATTAATTTAGTTGACTTTGGGCAATCTCCAAAGGCCATCGTTCAGATAATGCACGTTGTCGATGGCAGAACCGGCTGATTGTTGTACGATTTCACTCGAGTCCATAGTTTGTTGACCAATAGCCATGGCGTGTTCCATTCCTTGTGCCATGACCGCTACAATCTGATCCTTCTTCACATTCTCTGCCAACTTGGCTCCAGCACTTTTCAAGCCAGGTGCCATGATATGTGAGCCGTTGAGGACGGGCCGAATCGCTCCTGTATCGACCTAAAACGATAGAAATCAACAAAATGAACATTTTACTGTTTTAAATTGAAAAAATATCAATCAAGTCATTAAATTTAGAAAATAAGATTATACTTGATGGTCTTCAAATTTATGTCAATATTGAATATATTGATATATTTGAAACTAGTCAAAATTATAGTCAAAAGAAAGCCATAACTTCAAACAGTATTTTAAAACAAAACTTAGTTACGAATTAAGCCTGTTTACATGAAAAACTTCAAAAGAATCATGTTAGACCAGACATCTAACATGTCTCAACCGTTAAACGAAAAACAATAACTAAGGCTTAGAGTTGCACAAAATGAAACCTAGAGCTTCTTAAAATAGTAAATTCCCCTCCATTTTCCACCAATAACTACCTAAATATCAAAAAACAAGTAAAAAAGCTCACCTGCTGATGTGGAAGAATGAATGGATATTTGTGAAGCAGCCTTAGCGACGGAATGTAAGGTAAATCCCTATGTTTGATGAACTGAACTGTGCCATCTTCACTAACTAACAATTCAACATGATCCTTGCACTTGATTGTCTTGAAATTCTCCTTTTTAGGAAAAATCTCTTCGATCACCGTTGATAATGGTGGATATTCTTCTACAAGCTTGGCTCGGATTCCTCGCTAAAAATATAACTTAGAGAGTGTATAATAGTCAAAACAGTATCTGGTAGTGATACTTTTATACACCTTGCTTTATTATTTACATAATTAAAAAAGTAACAAAGAAATTTATATTATACATGCCTTCATGTCCTTGAGAACCAAACATATTCTAAAAAAGAGGTTAAAACTAAACTTTCGTGCTTACAAACGTAAATCTTAACTACTTGTAAATGAGATACAAATTTTCTGTGGCACAAGAAGTCATTAACTACAAGTCACAACTTTCCTCTCTAAAAACAAGACGAAAACATTGAAAAACTTACCTGAACTGAAGATTTTAGCTGTTGAGAGCCGTTGACATCTTTTGTCGAATCGAACTTTTTAAACATCTTCACAAATATCGTCAATTACCTACTAATAACAACAAAAATCGTACGAAACAAACAATTTTCCTCCAAAAACAAGAATAATATTCAGCGCTCCACTTGACTCATTTCCAAACCATGTGCCAACTCTCTCTTTTCCCGGTTATTTACATTTAAAAACGCGGAATACGGTAAACTGAAATTGTAATAAAGACAACTGTTCTCTCTTCTACCCTTGAGCTGAAGATTTTTCGAAATTTCGAAGACTTATTAGCATAAACGCGCGCAAAAGCCCTGCGGCCATGCACAGTGCGCAGTTGTCATGGAGATCATGCGTCAAAAGCGCACTTTGTCTTCGATCACACGGAAAGTTGCGCACTCTCACCTGTTACTTCATAAAATTTTGAAAATTTTGTTAAAAATTTGGTTTGGGGTTGGTTTTTGATTAAAATTATAGGGTTATATGAAACTTGGTGTCAAAATTTTAAAATTTTAGTCAATTTTGATGATTTTTTGCTATATTTTGTCAAAATTTAAGAAATTTTAAATAGCAGTTGCATTTTTAATGTCAGATGACAAAACCGTGTCGTATTTTACCTTTTATTTTGTGGTCAAAAAGTTCATCGAATCTTCTCCAATATTTGAGCTTGGTCCCCCTGTCGATTTTTCGGTCATATTTTCTACCGTTCAAAAAATTTTAAAAATAAAAAAAAATGGTTTCAGATGAGGCTAGTGACCTTACTGGCACTACTGTTACTTCCTGTGGTATGTTCAGCCTATGATTGGGGAGATTTCCACAAATTTGCGGTCATTTTCTTCTCACTTTTGGGTACTTTTGTGGGTCTCGGAGCGATTTTCACCGTCATTTACTTTGCTTGCTTCAAACGGTTTCTGGAGGGCTTTCAGGAAGAGGTAAGAGAAATTTTAAAGAACTTTACACTTCTAAATTTTTTTTTTAAATTTCGAATGAAATTAAAATAAAAAAACAGTTCGCGGCACCTAAAAATAAGGCCAAAAAGACCTTTAATTTTAAAATTTAGGTAGCTGAAACCCATAGAATGCATCATCCGTGGCCATTAGGATCAGCACGGTGGTATTTCCAACAATGGTGTAAGTTAAAAATTTTTGGACGGAGTAAACAAATTTTTAAAAGGGTGATAAATTCTTTCAAAAAATTTTTTAATCTTTAAAAACGACCTTCTAATCAAAAAAAATATTTCTGGCCTTCTCCATATTGTCCGAGCTAAGTTGTGGTAATATGTGTTCAAATAATTCTGAGTCCCTTAGTCTCGAAGAGTTTCTTTGAGAGAGACCTCAGAATTAGTTGAACAACCTAATAAAATATCATATTGAAAAGAAATACTTTACCTTTTCAGTAAAAACCCAAAGATCCAACGACCCGACCGGTCGAAGCGCGAAACAAACCAAATTTTACCCTCAACCAGAGTACATTCAAACGGCACCAGTGGTGGATAAGACAGTACCACAGACCACGTTCTCTACCCAACGACCTTCGGGTTACATGCCTCAGCCAATCTACGTTGAACCGGCTGCTTTCTTCAGTCCTGGATATCGTATGTTGATACTATGATTATTTTAAGTAGATATAGTTTATATTTTATTATATGTACATATATAGTGAGTGTATGTTACTGTAAGTACATAAGTAACATATTATATTGTTCAAATAATTATGTGCCCTTTCAAAATAATTTTTGGAAAAAGGTAGTTCATAATTATTTGAACATGCTAATACCTTGTATGTTGCATATACAGCAATATACAAAAAGGTATACCGTATTAACGTAGATACTATAGCCAGAAATTTACCTTGATTTACATGTACATAGAAGTACGCTGATGGCCTTAGAAGTACTCTTATGACCTGAGAAGCACTCTAATGGCCTTATAAACCTATATAATGTAATACTTTTAGCCCCACCAACCCATGGAGTTACAGAGCACTTTGAAGAGTACAAACTAGTCCGCGAAGAAAGTACAGTTTCCCAAAAAGGACAAGAGAAACCAGTAGTACAACATGAAGGCCGAACTGAAGATCGAATCGTCCGAACAACAACCACAAATCATAATCAACAAATCCTGGCTCCTTCTTCAAGCACTTTTATTTGATTTTACCTTATTTTATTACTATAGGCTTACCTTTAAAGTCAGTCACACCAGCCCCCTCCCCATCAGCCTTGTAAAGGGGCCGGGCCCACTTTTTTGTTCTTGCCCTTTATATTAATTTCCTAAAGTAATAACTGGGACAAGTTGTATCGTACTGCCTCTTGCCCTAAGTATCGCTTCCTGATCAAGTCAAATCTTTCGTTGCCGGACCTAAGCTGAGACTTACTTTGGGCCCGGCACTTTAAATTTTCCGTGGCCCAGGCCTAGTGGGATCTTCCTAGTCTTAATTACTGTAGGCTTACGTTTACAGTCACAAGAGCCCCCTTCCCTCACTTAAATCGTTTGTAAAAATCTAAACATTTGCTTATAAAGTTATTCAATCTACTACAGCATTCTCATTTTTAACAACTTTATTAACAAATAAATAAAAAAAATATAACAAAATTATGAATTTGAAATAAAGTGAAACTCATGCATAACGAAATCCTCTATAACGAATTTTCCGTATAATAAGCAACTTTTAAATTCCCACCTACCACTATACCTGCACACAAAACATCTCTATAGAAAAACCCTATATACAAATTTTAAACCCTCAGCGGTTCGTTATACGAAAGTTCCACTCTATACAAAAAAAGATTCGAAAAAACAATTGAATTAAGCTCAGAGTATCATAAATTCCATTCACAAAATGCAACACAGCATGTCGGAAAGTTCTTTTTCGGTCCCTTTGTAATGCTTCAACTTGCATTCCACCTTCACTCTCCTATTGTTCAGAACGTTTCTCAACCAAGCAGAGTTATCATTGTCGGATTCGTGAGCGTCCTCGACTAAAACAGCTTACAATTAGTATTTATGCTTCATTAAAAGTTTTGTACTAGTTTATCAGAGAAAAATGGTTAAACTTATAAATTTTAATATTATAAGCTTGAAAAACAATGCCAATTTGGCGGGAAATTAAAAACGTTATTTTTCGCTAAAACAGTTCTTAATGAATCCTTACCTGAAAATTCAAAAACTCTAGCTCCGTTTACAGATATCTTAACACTCCAGAATAAGATATCGCTCACATCGATACGAAGTTCCTTGACCAGCATATCAACCGTAAACTTTCCAAAAATTTCAGTGCCGTTTGGATAAATTTGAACCGTATAAGGACGCGTATCGCCGTCATCCAAACCAAAACGCTTACAATATCCACTGCCATGAGGGATAGATGAATCGAATTTGTCAATAATCCAGACAAAAGTACCGTTCTAAAAGAATTGTTTTAAAAGTAGTTGTTAATGATTATATTTATTGAAACTTTAAAAATTTATAAACACTTGTCCTATTCGACGTGAATTATTATCAAATTTACCATGCAGCATCAAAAAATCTAACTTACCACAAACTTCATCGTTGAACAATATGAAAACACAAATGTATTTAGTATAAATACAATTTCAGCAATGGAATTTATCAAATATTTTGCAAATTTAACTTTATTTCCCCAATAAATTTGCCTGCTAGTCCAGGCATAGCTTACAGCAACACTGGGCGCAGCCTGAGCTGATTTTTTATACGATTAAAGGTGCAATAATAATTTTTCGCTCGAATTTATTCGGATAATATTTTTTGGTTTTTGGACGCGTTTTTGTAAACTGATTTATTGACTTTCATTTATATAAATGACCTTAGAATGTTTATCAATTACATCAAAACGTTTTTCCTTTAAAATTGTAAAGTTATTCATCAAAAGAATACGCTTTTTATCAAAAATATTGACCATAACGTGTGTATTTTCAGTCAGAATTAACCTTCTTCGAAGAATGTCGATTCGGGCAGCTCAAGTTCAGGGCTGGATCGAGAACTACGATGTGTTTTCATCTGTGAAAGATCCGCTTTCAGCTAGAATTGTTCAAGTCGATGATAAACTTATTCATGTTGAATCTACCTGGTCCAATCGCGAGCCCGTTTTGAAGAAGAATATCAGGACAAACAGGTTTTCAGTGCTAGAAAAAGACAAGTTGGTACCTGTTTCAACTTGTACTGGAAGAGTTGTTAGCACTGAGTAAGTTATTTTTGATGTTTTTGTTTTAGGTATTGGAGGTAGAAGAAGGTATTTAAGGTGGAGAGGAGTGGAAGTGAATGTAATTGAAGGTGTTTTGTTATTAATGTGTAAAAAAGAATTCTGTATCTATTAGAAGGGGTTTTAAACTTAAATTCTTTTAATTTGCAGCTTTTTTATTTTCAGAAAATTGTTAATATTTATTTATATAACTAATAAACATAATTTTTTATATAAATTTTATGTTTGTTTTGATTTTTCTATAAAAACCTTATTTTAGTGCTCCACCAACGATCTACACGAAGAACGGCTCCCATTCAGCTACATTGCTGTCTCAAACTGAAGGGAAAGATGAAAAACAGTTTCTAATTGTAACATTGATTGAAATTCAAAGAAGAATCAAAACTTTGGAGTTGGGAGCGCCAAAAAAGATTGGCAAGGTTCATGTTGGTGGAGAATTTGGAGCGTTTCAATTCTCGAACGATGGAGACAAAATCTTGTTTGTAGCTGAAAGACAAGTCAAGCCTCAAAACTTTTACGATTCTGACTTGGATTGGAGCGATGAGGAGAAGATTGTCAAGGTATGGTGTCACTTACATTTAGATTTTTGAAAAGTTAAGAGGAATTGGTATATAAAATTTGAAAAAAGCGAGAATTTGGGACTAAAGTCAAAAAATTGTTAAATAAAAAGTTTTTAGGCCAAAGTTGGCGAAAAGTTCGTGTACCGTGAATCCTGGGGTGAACAAATGCCAGAAGTCAAGGTACCCATTCTCTGTGTTTACAATTTCCGAACAGATGAACTCAGAACCATTGATACAGAATTCTTTGATTCTTATAGTCCAGCACAAGCTCAATGGGCTCTAGAAGACGATGGCATATTGTTTGTGGCTGTGAAATCAAAACCTTTTAAATTGGGCAAGATTTACTGTACCAATAGACCTAGTCAGCTGTACTATTACAACTTGAAGACCGAATCTTTCGAAGCGATTGGAAATGAGGATGTTGCTATTGAAGGCCTGCGGGTGTCTCCGTGTGGAAAAATTGTTACTTGGTTCCAGAGGGATGGAATTGGTCCTCATGGGGCTTGTTTCGAAATGAGAAAGGTATGTTGGGATAGGGGAGGGTGCAGTGATGGTCATTTAAAAACTGCAGTAGCTTTTGTTAAGAGACAGATATAGAGTTTAAAATTTGTGATGTTATAGTTTATTCTCCGTAATATTTAGCTCAACAAATAAAATTTGAAAATACAGTATACGTTTAAATTTACAGTAATTTTACTCCAACACTTTTTTGATTTTTTACAATAAAGGTTTTATGTATATTAAAGTTCCTTAAGTCAAAGCTTTGTTGTATATCAAAAAACTCTAGTAATGATATAAGCTTCAGATGGACTGGTCCATCTACTCCAGGGAACCCAGAATCTTAGTCCCAATAATAAAGTCACAAGAAACGTTTGGCTCGAGAGGAAGTTTCCCTGGCTTCTTCATGCCATCAACAGCAAAACAACCGTTTTTGGAAGGAAATCGACAGGTCGTATCAACATTATGGGGAGCTACAAACACTATAGTTACTGTAGATTTGGATAATGGCAAAGTTGTACGATTACCCGACTGTAAAAATTCGAAAGGATCTTTGTTTTTACTGGATTATAAGGTAAGGTAACATTTTTTTGTTGAGATTTGTTGGTTTTGGGTTGAGAATGTTGAGAAGGTAGTTTTTGATAAAGAAAATGGCAAGAACTTTGTTTACAGAAGAAAAAATGGCAAGAACTTTCTTTACAAAACTAAGTTTTTCAATTTCAGGAAGGATATGTTCTGGCCAATGCAGCAGCACCATCAGTACCAGCCCAACTCGTCATTGGAAACATAAATTCAAAAAATTTCGATTGGAGCTTTGTCGAAGATTTGGATGTTCTATTAGACATTGCTGATTACGTGAACAAGTGGGAGTTGTTGTATTTCAAAAGAGAGGGTAAGGGATATGAATTTCTTGATTAGGTCACAAAAAATTTAAATGGTTTATATTGGTCGTATAACTTGTCGCCCGCAGCCTGCAAAAGTCCAAAAATTAACAAGCAACATGAAAAATGGCAATAGCTTTCTTTACAAAACGACAAATGGCAAGAAATTTCTTTACGAAAAGAATAATGGCAAGAACTTTCTTTGAAAAACAAGAAATGACAAGAACTTTCTTTACAACTCAAAAGATATCAAGATCTTTATTTACAACTCAAAAACGGCAAAAACTTTCTTCACGAAACCAAAAATGGCAAGAACTTTATTTACAAGACAAAAAATGGCAAGAACTTTATTTACAATTTTATATTTTATGAAATTACTTTAGAAGGTCACCAATACGAAGCCGTAATACGATTCTCAATCAGAGAAGGCAAAGTCAAGGTACCATTGGTAGTTTTACCTCACGGTGGGCCTCATGGAGCTTCTGTAGCCACATGGCACGGAACGTTGATTGGAAGTTTGATTGCTGCTGGCTACGCTGTTTTACAGGTAATTTGTGAGTATTGTAGGCTAGTGAGTACTGTGATTTATTTACTATTAGGTTGTTCAAATAATTCTGTACTTTTTAATTTCGAAAATTTGCTTTGAAAGGACGCGCAGAATTATTTGAAGAGCTTAATATTTCACTGCTCTGTTGAAGCATGTTGTAGTACGTAGGAAAGTAAGATCTGTGACTCGTAGTATGAGCTTAAATTATTATTATGTATTCATTATAACCAATGCATCAAATATCACCTAAAAAATATCGTTATAGGTCAATTACCACGGCTCTCAAGGCTACGGCGACGATTTTATCAACCGACTGCCGGGAAATTGTGGTGATATGGACGTGAAAGATGTGCACTATGCTGCGCAGACCGTTCTTGACAAGTACGACTTTATTGACAGCGATAGAATAGTATTGTTCGGAGGATCACATGGAGGTTTCTTGGTTTCGCATCTCATCGGCCAGTACCCGGACTTTTACCGTGCTTGTGTCGCTTTGAATCCGGTTTTGAACATTTTGAGTAGGTGGACAAGAATAATGTTTTGTTTAAATAATTCTGAGCTCCCTTTTGAAGCAATTTTTGGTGTTAGGGGCACAGAATTATTTGAACAACTTGATGGTGTCAGTATATATAACATCTTTTCTGATGCCCTCGGTTCAATATACCTAATAGTGTCATAATCTAGACTTCCGCTAAGCAAATAGTAACTCATTCTTTTCTATAATGTATACCATATTGCTCATGAATGTTTCAGCCATGCACGACCTAACCGACATCACCGACTGGACCTACTACGAAGGCCTCGGCCAATGGCCCGACTTCAAACGCGTCCTAAACGAAGAAGAACGCAAACTCATGTACGACTCCTCACCAATCGCTCATGTAACCAAAATCAAAGCACCATACCTTCTACTGATCGGAGAGAAAGACCTGAGGGTGGTACCTCACTATCGTGGTTTCATTCGAACTCTTCAGGCTAATGGAGTCAAAGCGAAAATATTGTCCTACCCGGAGAGTAATCATCCATTGATCGAAGTGGAAGTTGAGTCTGATTTTGTGATCAACATGTTGAAGTGGTTCCAGGAGCACGCGTTCTCACGGTAGAGAGACTATTTTTTGGTTATGTCAATTCTCACGGTAGAAGGAGTATTACTGGATATGTCAATGGGTATAACAAGGTAGATTTGAGGTATTTGCTAAGTATCTTCGGGCAGGCGTGATGCTAGGACTGTCGAGGGCCAGGGTAAGATTATTGCGGATTTTTTTCGCTAGGGTAGAGGTTTTTGTGGAGATTTAAAAATTTTTCTTGAGGGAGGAGAATGATTATTATGACTTTTCTTGACATTTTGTGTACCCTAGCGTGCTATTAGGTTGTTCAAATAATTCTGCGCTCTTTTCAAAGCAAATTTTTGCGGGTAGGGGCACAGAATTATTTGAACATTCTAATAATAGCTCACTTGTTTCTAAGGTATTTGGTAGGTACCTCAAATTTATACTTGGAATATACTGTTACTATGCTGGCTGGTTTTCTTATATTGGTAATAATACCAATTGCACTGCTTAGCGTATTAAGTTTGTAATTATTTAAAAAATATCGAAAAAGCTTGCTTTTTAAACTTAATTAGGCTTGTGAAATACCCTTCTTAGTAGTATAGTTAATTATCGTATTTACTAACATATCTGATTTACGTTTTAATATTGAAAACAAAGTTTTATTGCTCAAATGAATCAACAGTTAACAAGTTATTGTTATTATACACAAAGTGTAGATTATGTACAATGAAGCTCTTGTATTAGCTTGTTCAAAACATTCTCTGCCTTCTAACCCCAAAAATTTTATTTGTGGTGGGGCGCAGAATTATTTGAACGACCAACTTAACAAAATTTTGTGTAACAATAACAAATGTAAGATAATATTGAATAAAAACAATATATTTAAATAAAAACACCCTAGATATGTCAAGTAGTAAAGGATATCAAGTTAAGTAGTAATTGTAGAAACTCGAGTTACAGAAACGTTTCTAGGTTGAACTACTAAAGCAAAAGAATAACATTTGAAAGTTCGTCGAAAACGTTTCCTATAATCAATAACAAAATATAAAGTTGAAACCGGTTTCAATGCCGACATCCAACTGTAACATAGGTTCTGTATTGTGCCACGTATAATGAAATTGTATTGCATGTGCAGTATATAGGCTTGAAGATACATTGGTATAACAGCGCTTACTGTTAATATTATTGCCTAAAATGAGTTGTTCAATGATAGGGCTAGAATAGCTATAGGGTGGTGTAGAGTAGTGTATGGTAGAGTATGGGTTGGACAGGGCAGGGTATGTTCAGGTGATGTAGGGCAAGGTAGGATAGCCTAGTATATTGTAAGCTATGGTAAGATATGGTAGTGTAGGCTAAATTAGAGTACGGTATGGTAGGGAAAACTAGGGTAAGGTGAAGCAATGTAGGGTAAGGCACTTTTCATAGCATCAAAAGCTTACCTGAACCAACATAATCTTGTCCATGCCTTTCTGAAGTCGTCTTGTAGCCACACTCATGGTCTTATGACTGCTCAGTTTATGTCTTACAGTGACAGAACAGTAGATAATGATACAATATGTTATCAGAACACGAATAGTAAAGAATAAAATGAATGTAGTTCTTCCTGAGGCTGACTAAAAGTAAAATTTAAAATGGTTTGGAACAGTTAAATTTGGTACAAGAAGGTCAAATCTACCTTTATAAAAATGAGGGTAGATTGGTTCGATATTTGTCTCTCCCCCCTCCCCTCTGGCATTTTTTGTTTGATAGTGGTTCTTACCCCTTTCTCTAATTTAAAAAATGTTTTACCTTATTAATCACAGTTCCTTTCATTAATGTTCCATTTATTTTCCACACACTTTCACCAAATATTTGGTTGAGTTCGTCATCAGTAAAACTTTCAGTCGTTCCTTTCACACTTACTGCCCCACTATAGGCAACATATCCAAAAAAGAGCAAACAAACTACAAGCACAATGGATATGTTCCACTTGGTCATTGTGTAGCGTCTATAAAAATTTTTGATTTTTTTTTATTTTTAAAGGTATGCAGCATAGCCAAGGCTAGCCGAGAAAAAATAAATTTAAAAAATTTTCTAACTTTCAATTACAAACCCTACCTGCATATCATCAAGTACCTAAACACGTACTCCAGTATCATGGTGCAACAGACCATATCAATACCAAGATTCCTGAAGAACAAAGCAACATAATGCCATTTCATATCCAGTCCTTGTACCGGAGTAGTTACTACCCATCGTATGTAGCCATCGGACATTTCGGCGTTGATTTGTCCAAAATTAAAACAAAATAACAAGAATATCTCGGCTATGCAGTCAGTAACTATCATACTACTATATCCATTAAGACTCTTGTTCTTTGTTGTTAGAACAAAATGTATCAACAAAATGTTAAGGAACAGCGATATTACACATGCTACTGTGTCATTTACAGCGTTAAATAATGGAAAGTAGGAGTCAGACATAGTTTATAGTGACCCTCGGAATAGCGGTCAATGTAAGCGTCTGTGATATTGTTGTTGTTTAGCTTAGTACAGACTATTATTCAAGTATGAGAACCAAAATTAATATTTCTGTCTTGACGTAGTAAAATGAAAAATATTGTAAATAAAAAGTATCGTATGAAGAAATATATTCGGAAGAAACACACTTACATTTGTAGTGCTATCTCCCGAATTGAACATGTCTATTATGACATTTCAAAGTCGTTTTATAGTCGTGATAATACAAAGTTGTTGGCAAATAACATGTATTTACTATGACATCGTTTATAATATTAGCATTTTAAAGCAAAAACCAGTTTTATCTAGTTAAATTGATACGTTTATCAGAGGAATAGGCTTGTTTTCTACAATTACTAACTGAAACGTAATTTATAGAGTTGGTTCTAGAAGCTACAACTTCCCTTTTTACCGTTTGCTACATTGCTTCCTCATTGCAAAAAATATATAATTTTCTTTTTTGAGACTAAAATTTGTTTATTTGAGTTCAACTTAAAACGTGATAGTATCAATTTTAATCTCAAACTACAATTTTAGTAAACGTTTGTGTTGAGAACCCGGCTCGTCGCCAAGTCAAACTCAGCCAATGATGAAAACATCAGCATTTTTGCAAATATCTTCTTATCTTTTTGTACTAACTTTATTATCGTACACAACCGGTAGAAATGCCTGGAATCTCTGCAAACGAATCATTTTACTTTTCCTTGTGTTTTTTGAGAGGTTAGTCAGTTCGGGATCCCGATAGTTTAGAACAACTACTTTGGTAAACTTTTGATGGACTTCTATTTTGTGCCACAGGTTTGTGAATACTAAAACAGGGGGACACATCATGCCAAAATAAAAGAAAAATGGAACTAAGGTGGCCGTGGCATTTCGTTAACTCAAACGTCTCAAATATTGATTCAAAAAATAAAATAAATATTTAAAATGTTGAACGAAACGTGTGAAATTATCAAATAATAGTTAAAATAAATCAAAGCTTGGGCTGTAACAAATATAAAAAATTCGCTATGTTTCGGCGGTTCTTTAAAGGCCAAACTGGTCTTGATCCGTCAAAGATTCCAGATATGACACTACAAGTTTATCACAAACGAATTTCATTTTCAAAATTCCGGCTGCTTAACTTCAAACAATTTTTTACAAAAAATAGAATTTCACACTTCGCATCGTTTTTTACACGAAATGTCACTCTGTCTTTATTTCCTCTTTTGGCATGACGTGGGGGATATTTTTTACACGGAAGGTTAATTTCAGACACAATCACATCTAATGTGTAGCTCGTCACTGATTAACTATGAGTTCATGAATACTGATGAAACTATCACGACCGATATTTATTGTGCACAGATAGATGAACTGCGGCACAGTTTGCCGACGATGGTCAAAAGGAAAGATTCGATTATTTTTCATGACAACACGTAACGCAGATCGTAAACTCAAAGAGTTGGTCCACGAAGTCCACTACGTACATCATGTTGTTGAATTATTTTTTCAATATTTATTAATTATACGAATATAACGTTAAACTTTATTTACAGTTTTAGTACATGTCTGAGACACCGGAATACTATTAAATTTAGTTTTAGTTGCTCTAGGCCAACGTCTAAACATGTTTATAAAGCGCTTTCTATAATCGATCACAAAGCATAAAGTGGAGGCAGGCTTTAATGCTGACATCCAACTGTAACAAAAGCTTTGTATTGTTCCACATATTAGAAAATTGAACTCCATATAAACTACATAAGCTTCCATATACAAGGGTAGAATGACACTTATCGTTGGGATCACTGCCTGAAATAATATTGTGAAGGTAGTAACGTAGGGTAGGACATATAGTAGGGTAGGGTAAGTTACGGCCAGGGACGTCGTTTGGGGGAGGGGTAGGGGGGGGTACCCCCTCTCCCAGAGCTGATCCGAAAAAAATTTCACAGGTAAGGTACCTGTACGTGAAAAAACGAAAAAAAAATATTTGGAAAATCGGTCCACAGGTACCTGTGGACGAAAAAATTTTTTTCGGCTTCCCCCTCCCCCAGAGAAAATCCGTAGCGACGTCCCTGGTTACGGCAAAGTGTATTACCTGAACAAACATGATCTTGTCCATGCTCTTTTGAAGTCGTCTTGTAGTGTCACTCATCGTATTATGGCAACTAAGTTTTCGTCGTACAGCAACCGAACAGTAAATGATAACACAATAAATTACAACAGCTCGAATAGTAAAATCCAGATAAAACATTTTTGTTCCTGTAGCGTTCTGAAAATAATTTTTGTGATTTGTTATGTATTACTTTAAGTTAGGTTAGTTTTCACGTTTGGCACCGCATGAGAAGTGTTATGGTAAATCTTTGTTTGAACCGTGTTTTTAACTTTTTTCTCAAATTTTAGCTTTGGATCGCTAGCTCCGGAGCAGTCAGTGAAGCCCATGCAAACACTGGTCCTAATTTAGTTTAACAAAGGCTATAGTATTGCCAAACAAAAAAATTTTTGTGTTGTTTTGTTACAGTATTGATTTGTCTTTTGTAGCCTGCCTGACGTTTCTGTTGATCTCCGCCCATTACGCCAAATTTGTTTAGCTAGGAATTTATTCACAACGTCTTATATTACCTTTTCAATGACAATTCCCTTCAATAATGTCCCATTAATTTTCCAAAAACTTTGACTGAAAATTTGGTTGATTTCACTGTCGGTGTAACGTTCAGTTGATTCTTTTACAGGCCTAATACCACTGTAATTGTGGAAGGCAAATACACATAAACAAATCGTAAGAACAATGGCTATCTTACACTTGGTCATTGTGTAGTTTCTGAAATTTCGGTATTTCCAAGCATGTAATTTAAATTATAAGCCAAAAATGACATGAAAGGTGACTTCTAATGCCGACAAGGACCCGAGCTGGGCTGCGTCAAACTGTGCTGAAAAGTTGAGCCCCTCTCCTTTAGAGGTCTATATGAATGTAAAGGATACCCTTTGAGTGGGCATTAAAAAAACCAAAAAAAATTTTTTTTAATTTTAAAAACTTCCATTCAAACTCTTACCTACATATCATCAAGTACCTGAACACAAACTCCAGCAACATTGTACAACAAACCATCTCAATACCAAGATTCATCAAGAACAGTGCAAAGTAATGCCAGCACATATCCAGCTTCTGCACCGGAGTAGTTACTACCCATCGAATGTAGCCATAGGCCATTTCGGCATTGATTTGACCAAAATTAAAACAAAATAACAAGAATATCTCGGCTATGCACTCAGTAACTATCATACGACTATATCCGCTTAGACTTTTGGTTTTTGTTGATAATGCAAAGTAAATTAGCAGAACGTTTAGAAACAATGATATTATATTTGCCATAGTATCGTTTAGAGCATTTATTATTGGTACGTAGGAAATGACCATAGTATTTAGGTAGAGATTTTTTAAGTTATGTTGTAGTAAATAAGAAATTTCTTATTGTTAAAGTAAAAAATTATTTTTAAAATATATTGTAAGTAAAAATATGTTGGAAAACTACAGTTATAAATTACAAGATGACGGTTTAGTAACTGCGAGACTAATAAGAGGTTAAGGCCTTGCCTAACTTTAATGTAACGTTACTTGCAAATAACATGTTTTCAGTGTGACATCTGATCATTAGCCGTATTTTACAAACAACACAGGTTTTACTGACATATATTATGTGTATTATATGAAACACTACCTTATGTATAGTAAATAGAGCTTGTGCCCGACTCGCAAAGGCTGAACGTTAGTTACGGGCCTTTCCTTGCCTTGACTTGTTTTGCAATTGCCTTGCCCTGCTTTGTACATGACATTGTTAGACACAAACGTAAACTATTATGTACTACAACATCTGTATTCCCACTTTCAATTATAACATTTATTACACAGTAAACTCAGTACTACTACAAGCTCAGTACGACCTATTTAATACCTTGTGAAGTGGTCTCAATACCATCTTTCAAATTAGTCGTTTTATCAGAAGTGTCACCAGAAAATACAGTCCAAAAAGACAAAGTCTTAAAAAGGTTTCTAAACCGTTTGTTATAATCAAAAACAAAGTAGAGAGTAGAGATGAGCTTGATAGTCGAAACCCAACCGTAACAAAGGTTTAGTACATTTCCACTAAAATACAAATCTTCTATTTCATATTGTACTAGGAAGTTCATTAAGTATGTTGGAAAGACAAATGTCATTGTTGATATTATGGCCTGAAAATTGAGTTTAATAATTAAAAAATGTCAAATTTAAAAATAGTAACTTTATATTTTTTAAACTTGGCAGTGTTTTCTAATGTCGGAAGGGTTTTAAAATTTAAAAAAAAATTAAAAAACTTTAAACCAGAGAATTGAACACCGGCCAGTCAGCGGTTTTCAAAAATTTAAATTTTTTTTTAAATTTTAATCTTTTTGACAAGGGGTATAACTTGACCTTAGAAATAAAAAATAATTTTTTTTTAAAATTCGAGTTACGGTAGGATTATGTTAGAATTTAAACTGTTGTTTGTAACTCTTGTAATAAATTTCAGAAAGGAATGGGACTTTGTTAAACTGTTTGTCACCATAAGGCATTCATTTTACTGTTATCAACTTTTGCCCGGAATGCACTGAAAAAAAATTAAAATTTGCGAAAAAACCAGAAAAATTTTGGAAAATTTAAAATTTTTCAAACTCTAATTATGACCTATTTTCACAATTAAAATTTAACTTTAAACTTTATAATTTACCTGACAAATCATTATTTTGTCCATTCTTTTTTGGAGTTTCATGACAGTGTCACTCATCGAATTGTGAGTTTTTAGGTAACGGTGAACTGCTACCGAACAATAAATAATTATGCCATACAGGAAGACAGTGTACATGTGATAGAAAAGTATTCCTTGTTTTGTGCCTTCGTCGTTCTAAAAGTGTAATATGAATTAGAATTTACCTTATAGTACTTAGCCCGAGCTCTAGCCCGAGCTCTAGCCCTGATAGAAAAAAGTCATTTTAAAATTAAAAATGAAAATTTAATAAAATTATAAAAAATCAAAGTCAATTGAATGTCTTTGCCTTCCCAAAACCGGTTATGCTGCTGTTCCAGTCGATTTTGTGGCTATGTCTAGCCACCATGGCATATGGAGGCTATGATTACTATGTGAGCGGTCAATTTACTTGCCAAGGGAAACCACTGATAGGGGTAAGACACATGTTTTTTAGGGGTAGATCTTCTTTTTTTATTTTTGGAGATGTTTTATTCATATTTATTAATTTTTAAAACTTTTTTTAAAAAAAAATTTTGATTTTTAGAGGGTTTACCTTTACGAAGATGATTTTGTTTCGGATGATTATGTTGATGAAGGAACCTTGGACGAAAATGGTGGATTCTACCTATACGGCTACCTTGATGATGGATGGCCTGACGGATCTGTCGAACCTTATCTTGAGATGTAAGTGACAAGAACTTTCTTTACAAATCAAAAAATGGCAAGAACTTTCTTTACGAAACAAAAAATGGCAAGAACTTTCCTTACAAAACATAAAGTGGCAAGAGCTTTCTTTACAAAAAATAAAATGGCAAAAACTTTCCTTACAAAACATAAATATGCAAGAACTTTCTTTACAAAACAAAAGATGGCAAGAACTTCCCTTACAAAACATAAAGTGGCAAGAACTTTTTAATTTTTTGAAATTTTCAGTTATCATCAATGTGGTCACCCTGGCAGACAATGTGTCAAGACTGTATATTCTCTCGAAAATTACCGTGACAATCCTTTAAAACTTGGTACAATGCGAATAGATATCCTGGGTTATGAAAAGATGGCAAAAGTTTACCATAGCTGGTACGATTGCCAATATGTCATGGACAACCCACAACCTTACACGCCCTAATCCTAGCCTTACATAACCTTATCTTAAGCTTTTTAATAAAGTTACATAAAAACCACTCTAAATTATTATACAGAACCTCACCTTTTGAAGCAGCATGCTCTTCATTGATTGGCCGCTGATCCTCCAAACACTTTTATCGAAAATGGCATTAATTTGCTGTTCCGTCATCTTTTCTGTGATTTCTTTCATCGCTTTGACGTCGTGACCAGTACTTAATGTTAAGACAATTATGCTGGATAATATCATCAGTACAATGTTCCAGTTCGTCAAGGTATAGCCTCTGAAACGTGATATATAAGTGATATATCATGAATCAGCTCAAAGTTTCTATATGAATTCTTTGTACCACCATTAGCACCCATAAAAAATTTTAACTCGCACTTTTGAGTTTTGAATTTAAAATATTTGGGTTTCCTATCAATTCGGCAAATTTGGCATGGTGTTTCAAGCACTTTTTTCGGCTTTCCATACATACTACTATAAAAAAATACAAAATAAACCGATAACTATCGGTATAAGGTACTTTAAAATTAGTTTTAAATCTTACTTGCATATCAACATGTACCTAAAAACAAACTCCGTTAACAATGTGCACATAATAGCATTGACAGCAATAGTCATGACAAACATCGCAGCATAATGCCATTTTATATCCATCTTTTGCACTGGAGTAGTAACTAACCATCGTATGTAACCATGTGATGTTTCAGCATAAAACTGGCTGATATTTAAAGCAAAACTTAAGAAGATTTCAGCTATACATTCAGTAATGATCGTACGACTATATCCCTTCATAAACTTGTTGTTTGTTGTTAATGCAAAGTAGATTAATAGTGTGTTTAAAAATAACGATACGATGCCAAAGGATCTGCAGTTTAGTAGGTTTATCAGTGGAATATAGGATTGCATCATTAGTTACTGTGTGAAACTTAATTAGGTATACACTACATATGTCTTTCCTGGCTATAATATACAGGTAATAGATAGTCAGGTCTAGTTTAAAAATGTAACAACAAGTTTTGTTTTTCAAAGAAAATTATAAATAATTAAGCTACGGTAAGCAGTCGCGCCGTATTCTCCTATATTTTTCAAGACAAACTTTTCATAATGGATATAAACAAGAGTAAGTGTTTTAAAAAGCGGGAGTGTAGAGAGATAGATTTGAAATCGCTTTCTATGGTCAAAAAGTATACTGCTACGCAAACGTTTGGACCGCCCCATAACTCGCGTTTGTCAAGCATTTTTGTACCAGTAGCATAGGATTCAAGACTTGTGGAGCTAGAAAAACTTGAATGGTATGTTGGGCATTGTCTTCTTCAATGAATAGTCGTCCACGCATAAATGCGGTCAAATGATGGAAAATGTGGTAAACTGCAGATGTCACGTCCGTTGAGTACGGAAAATGATCAAGAAATTTATATCTAAGTCTCTTGAGTTTTTCTTGGATCACCTTTGTCGTATGAAGGCATTGTCATGCACGATAATTGGACCTGTTCTTCTCAGCGTTGGTGGAAAGTGGCGGTTCACGAACAAGCCAAGGCTGTTGAGCTTGTATTGGGTTAACTTTGTAAAAATTTTTTTCTCTAGTAGCGTCCCTGGTATTACTAGTACTAATTTTACAACAAATGGGAGGGAGAGGTTAATGTCCTATGTGATAAATGATTTAGATGTGGCATTACATAAGAATACTAGGGCGGTTCATTTAGTCAATCTGGTGACATTGTAAGAAACATTGACGTTTCGTTACACTTGAAAAACAATATTTTATAGTTGCTACCCAAACATAACAAATATTTTGCATGGTGTCACAAAAAACAACAATTATTCCCAATGTAAGGTAATGTAAACCAAATAATTCGAAAAAAACATGTTATTACTGCTTTTATAATCCTGATAACAATATTAATTTTATACAGTGTATAAAAACAGAGACCTAATCATACGTTTAAATCGCTTTCTGTAATCAACAACAAAGTATACGGTAGAAACAGGCTTCAGAATACCCAACTATAGCAAATGCTTTGTATTGTGCCGCAATAAACAAAATTAAGTCCCAATTGTAATATAACCAACTCCAAATACATTGGCAAAACAAACGTAAAAATCGCAATTACGGCCTAAGAAAGAATGGCACTCGTTAAAAATTCTTGAATTTCAGAAATTTAAAAAATTTTTTTAAATTTGGGGAGGCGGAGGAAAGGGAGGCAAAGTAGAAAAAAATACCTGGCAAAGCATCATATTGTCCATATTTTTTTGCAGTTGCATCGTATTATAACTGATTGATTTATGTCTTCTCAAGACTCGTCGTACGGTAACAGAACAGTAAACAACAGTGCCACATAATATTAAAGTACACACCTGATATACTCGGTATTCGATCTCTGCGTGCGTATCGTCCTAAAGATTGGCTAGAATTTTAATTTTCTTTAATATTTAATCCATCCGCCTTAAAATATACAAGCTCAACAGTATCTTACTTTACCCTACTCCATCGCGTAAATGCCTGCCCTAGTGTGTTTCCTACCTTGTAAAGCAGCATGCCTTTCATTAACGTCCCATCCTTCAGTCTCCATACACTTTGATGAAAAATTGAGTTGATTTGAAGTTCAGTAAGGTTTTCCATTGTTTCTTTAATTGATTTATATTCAAACAAGCCCATTACGGCAGAAATAAATATGGCTGAGGATAAAAATAGAAATATATTCCATTTTGTCATAGTATAATTCCTAAAACAAAATGTTTTTAAAAAAATTATACCTCTTCATCCGCAAAATTTCTCTTTTGATAAAATTTAAAATACGGCTTCAACCAAGAAATAAATTTCAAAGCCTTACCTACATATAAACAAGTACCTAAAAACGAATTCCATGATAATTGTACAAAAGACAGTGTTAATTCCTAATGACATAAGAAACATGCTAACATAATGCCATCTCATGTCCAACCTTTGTACTGGAGTAGTAACTACTCATCGTATGTATCCATCTGTCATTTCGACGTTGATTTGACCAAAATTAAAACAAAATAACAACAAAAGTTCGGCCATACATTCAGACACAATCATACGGCGATAACCTTTTAGGAATTTGCTTTTCGTTGTTAAAGCAAAATATATTAACATTATATCCAGAAACAGTGATATAATACAAACTAATGTGTCATTTAATAGACTTATCAAGGGAATATAGGATTGAAGCATTAGGTAGTTGTCATAATATTGTACGAAATACCGAACATAATATTGTCTAAAAAACGTATTACGATGCCAATATTAAGGCTTGTGTCACCTAATATCTAAGTTAATTACTTACCACAAGAAAACAAAATATATTACACTACCCAATCATACAAAACTCACACGTACGAATAGCAGTGTAATTAAAAATTTTTAATATAATTGTCACCACTGCGGTTAAAAATAAACTATCAACAGGCAGCAAATAAGCTACGGCTGTGACAAAATCGACCAAATGATACGTATTGTGACTAGAACGACCAAATGCGCCGTCATCTTCCACCAATGCCGAGAAGGAGAAGTCCAGTTATCTTGCATGACAATGTCCGCCCTCATGTGGCAAAGATGACATAAGGAAACTGAAGGGGCTTGGATATAGAGTTCCTGATCATACTCCGTACACGCCAGACCTAAAGATTACCTCATTTTTAAACAGATGACCGCATTTATGTATATGTGGGCGACGACACCCTCTCTCCCCGCTCACTAACGGAGACCATGCCAAAGAGGAAACCGAAACTTTTTAGGCTCCAGCAGTTCTGGATTCTATGTTACTTTTATAAAATGCTTGAAAAACGTTGGACAGCTTGTGTTAATGCTGATGGTAATTATTCTGTTTAATAAATCGCTTTTGTTGTTGCAAAAAAATTTTTTTCCGATATGCAGTTTAGTGGCTCATTAGTTTTTGAAAAATTGAACAACAAAGTTATCTGGATGTATAATTAACCAGAAAATGTAAAACGTTTTCTTTAAATCATCAAAAAATTATCATAGTATTTAATTAACACCGCGGTAGTGCACCGTGTCTCATTCCCATTAAAAAAATCTTAATTCAATTATTGAAAAGGCAAGTTCAGTTCCCATTAGCATGTTCACAAAATTCTTAAACTTTATACTTCTCATAACAATATTAATTTTTACAGTTTAAGAAAGCAAAGATCTAATCATACATTTACATCGCTTTCTGTAATCAACAACAAAATACATGCTAGAAAAAGGTTTCATTATTAATACCCAGCTATAACGAATGTTTTGTATTGCGCCACAGTGAACAAACCAATATTTCAATTGTAATACAACCGACTCAATATACAATGGCAAAAAAACAAAAAAAACCCAAACTTCGTTTACGGCCTAAAAAATGGCACATGTTAAAAATTGTTAAATTTTAGCGAAAGAACATTAAAAATTTTAAAAAATTGTTGGAATAGAATACACAAAATACCAGACAGCTCGGACTTTTAAATTTTGAGGTAGAGCATCATCAAGGTTCAACAAAACCTACAACAATATAATTCGCCAGTTTAAAGCAAAATCAAACTCGTAACAAAATAGAAACTTTATTTATTCATAAAGTAAGCTAAAAGCATATTATTACCTCAACTACAAATGTTTTTAATGATAAAAGTCATAGAAGTTACCCAAAACCAAACGTTAATTTTTATGCATTTCTTCCATTTTATGGAAAAGACGAAAAAGCCATTATTTGTTTTCGCGTCGGGACGAAACCGATTACGGTGGTTGGCTTTCCGTCTTCGTAGGTTTTTCGCTAAAAATTTTTCTTTTTTCCTAAAATAATAACATTTTTACATAGTTTTACAAGATTTTATTGATAAATAATGTAGTATTTGACTTTAAAATTACAACTAATATATATTTTAGCTATTTTTGAACATGTTGTGTAAATATTTTATAGTTTTATCGCGCTTTTGGCAGTTTTTATTTGTTTTGTTTTGGATCTTTTATTGAAATTGAAGTTTGAGTTGTTTCAGGTTGGTTCCACCTCTAGGTTAAACATGAGTGACGCTGTGACCATTCGTACCCGCAAAGTTTTGGGTAACCGTCTTCTTAACAGACGCCAAATGGTAAGTTAATTTTATTTTTTTGTTTTGATTTTTAGGAGTTTTAATAGTCAAAAATACCTTCTTTGAAGTGTCGAGGAGCTGTTAGGTTTTTTCTGGTTTACGTAGATTTAAGATTTTAGGTATTCTATGTTGTAGTAGGTCTGATTTTGTTATGTGATAAGGTGGGATTTTTGTTTAGGATTTTTATAGAAAATGAATCTTTTGGTTAGCTAGGGGTTTACAACAAGGTTTATATTTTTATTTAGTGGTAGTTTATTTTAAAATGGTTGAGTTACATATGGGTAAATCTTTTGTTTTAATTAGCAATAACTTTTGTTGAGTTGCAACGTAAATTAACCAAATTCTATGAAGGCAGACAGTTTAGATGCTTTACTCACGTATGATACTGTTTTAGATGTAAGAAATACGATTTTCTTTATTAAAATAACTTTATTTAACGTTAATCTCAAAAAATTGTAGGTCGTCGAGATCCTTCACCCAACTCGCGCCTCTGTGCCAAAGAACGAGGTTCGTGAACGTCTCGCAAAGATGTACAAGACTACCCCAGATGTGATTGTTGCTCACGACTTCAAATGCCACTTCGGAGGCGGCCGATCAACTGGATTTGCCCGTATCTACGAGACCGTTGATTACATGAAGAAGATCGAGCCCAAACACAGAATCTTGCGTGTAAGTTTTAGTTTTATGGTTTTGTTTTGGTATTTTAGAGTAGAATGGTTCTAAAGTATGAATTTGGGTTTGGTCAAGTCGAGGTTTTAGTTAATTATTGAAGGTGTTGGCTAAAATTATGGAAAGTTGTTTTATACATAAGATAAATATCTAATTTTTATATTATTAGTTGATGAATAACTTTTTTTGATGTTAAAAATAGGTTACTCGATTCTTAGATATATTATGAAAATTAGTTTGTATCAAATCTTATTCTTATCATTTTCAGCACTCTGGTGAGAAGGTTGAGAAGCCAGGTCGCAAACAAAGAAAAGAGCGTAAGAACAGAGCCAAGAAACTGCGCGGTGTTGCCAAGGTTAAGGGATCTGCTGCCGCCAAGAAGTAAAAATTCTGTTTTGTTGTTGATTACAAATGTTGGTTTTGTTTTAATATACATTTAAAAATTTTTTTGGGATTTATTGGATTTGAGTTGAAATAGGAATTTTGAACTTTGTTATAGTAAAAGTACAGAATTTTAACTTTATAAAAATTGAAGTTAGGTAGATTATTTGCTAGAATACGACTTGAAATTCAAGTGTAAATTCGCATCTTTTGCAACATTATAATCTTTGCGTATCATTTCGAAACTACGTAGTTTTGCCTTGCGGCGGATTTGAATCCTTTATTAGCTCAAGACGGCATTGTTTGTTTTAGTGGTGCTTTATTTGGATACTCATTCAATTTTCTCATCGGTCAGGTCATAAATCGAGGACATAAAACATGTTGAAAAGTATTAATGTTTGGGCGTTTTAATTGTTTTGGCAATGTCATTTATTAATGACATTGCATGCAAATGGTAATTGAAAACGTGTTTTTGGGTTTTCTTGTTGTTTTTGGCAATTTAATCGAGATTTTACTTAATTAGGCTTAATTTGGGGTTAATAAACTTAAATTTTAAGTTTTAGGTACTATTTTAACTGACTTTTAGTTTTTTATTTAAATTGATGTCTTGTTGGTTCAATTAAACCATTCCCAACATATAATGTTATTTAAAGTGTTAAGATATTACCCGAAAACGTCATAAGATGTCAAATCCGAACACTGTTGGACTTTAGCCACGACTAATGTCATCGTATCAGTTGAAACAATTGACTTTGTCCGACAAAAAACAGCAGTGGAGTGTGTGTAAAAGCGCAAAAGATTTTTTGTTAGTTGGTGCATTCATGCATCATGTTCACATTCCTCTTCGCACCTAACTCTTTTCGGCCGCCGAGTAAAGGTGGACGAGAATGAGGTGATGATGCTGGGTTGTACAATTGGGCTTGGGGATGGGTAATGTGAAATTTGGTTAAGATCAGGATAAATGTTTTTTATCGTAAGGGGGGGGTTGGGAAGAAGTGAGAAAATTTATTTGAAAAACAAGGTTTGGTCCGGCCCGACTCAAGATTTGGGTCAGGGCCGGCCCGGCTCGTTTTACCTTCCTAGGCCCAATAGCCGCCCTCTAGGTCCTTAAAATACGAATTTTAGATTTTTTTTTCATTTTTGAATTGTAAAATACGAAAATTTCGCTCGTAGTGTATCATTACTAACAACAACCGTCTACTATCAAACATGATCGTCTATGAATCGTACGAACATGGCGTTGTTTACAAACATTTAAGTATATAAATATATTTTGTTCGTTACACATCTATCTCCCGATGACATTGCCTCGAGGCGAATTTGGCGTCTTTAAAATTCGATTTGAGGAAAGGGCCCGTATCTCTTTCCTCGACGGCCAAACGGGATTTCTCCAGTGCCTAGCCTTTTCATGATGAACAATTTGCCAGTTTATCAAGAATTTTTCTGATAGGAATTATGAAGGGGGAGATCATGGTCAAGATTATTAGCTTTATTGTTATTGTTGTGTTAACAGTGGAACTTTTGTGTAGTTGATAGGGTAAAAGTCGAATTCCTGTATAACAAATTGCTTGGAGGTTTAAAATTTGTTTGTTATACGGGGATTCGTTATAAAGGATTTTTTATACAGGGGGTGTTGTATTTTTGAGTTTTGACCTTAGTTATCTAAAATTTTGAATTGAAAATGAAGTTGTTGATTGAGAACTAAATACTTAAGCTTAAAATTTTTTCTTAAGTTTAAAAATATGATTTTAAGCTTAAAATGAACTTTTATATTTTAAAATGAATATCTATGCTTGACAGTGAACCTTTAGGCTTAAAAATGAACTTTTAGACCTTAAGATTAATATTTATGCCTAAAAGTGAACCTTTAGGCTTAAAAAAGAATAAAATTTATGCTATAGGCTAAAAATAATTTTTGGGTTTGAGAACGAATGTTTCATCTAAAAAATAACCTTTTATGCTTAAAAAGGTTTGATAAGCTTAATAATGGACTTAAAGACTTAAAGATGGATCTTTAGGCTTACAAGTAGGCATTCAGACTTAAATTAGATCTTTCAACTTGAAAATGAGACTTTAGGCTTAAAAATGCATTTTTAGGCATAAAAATAAATTTGGGCTAAATAATGAATTTTTAGGTTTAAAAATCATTTTTTGAGCTTAAAAATGAATATATAGGCTTAAAATTACTTATTGGTTCTTAAATTTAATATTAAAGCTTAAAATTGAAGTTTGGATTTAAAATTTGCTTTTACGTTTAAAATTTAATTTTTGGGCTTTAAAATGAATATTTATGCCTAAAAGTAAATCTTTAGGCTTAAAAATATATTGTTAGGGTTAAAGTTGAATTTTCAAATTTCGATTTTTGGGATTAAAAAATCGTTTTTATTGAATATTTAGGTTTAAGCTCACTTTTCAGCCATCGAAGTTAATATTTGTGATTACAAATGAAGTTTGGATTGAAAATTTGCCTTTACGTTTGAAATTTAATTTTTAGGCTTTAAAATGAACTTTTTTTTACAAAGAATTTAAAATCTGTAAATTTTCTGATTTTTTTGATAAACGTGATTTTTTTATTCAACCACTTTGTTACCTAAAAAACCCAATTTTACGACCAAAAATCGACGTTTATTTTAGTCGAATTGCGTTTGGCCGTAACTGTTTGTATATTCAACACCTCATATTACATTCAGTTTTATAGTTCATAAAACTGAAAAATGTCCTAGCCTGAGGCTATTTATTTTTGCCGTCGGCGGAAATTTATTGTGTTTTTTGTGGCCAATTTCTCTGGACAATGTTCTTTTTGCAAACTCATTGGCTTTCGAATGGCACTAAAGGGGGGGGGGTCATTGGAGACGGTAGGATGGGGTGGGGAAGTGGATGAGGCGGTAGGATAGGGTAAGGTAGAGTAGGGTACGGCAAAATCTAGCATAAACATGACCATCTAGTACAGAGTAGAGTAAGATTGAGTACAGTAATGTACAATAAATATAATTTAAAAGGCAAAAGAGTAGGTTAGAGAAAGTTAATATAAAGAAAAGTTTGAGTAAGACATAGCTGTAAGAGAGGCAGGGGTAGCGTATGCTAAGATAGGGTAAGTTATGTTGAGGTAGGTAAGGTAGGATAGTAGTTGATACGATACGATAAGCTACATTGGGGTAAGGTATGTTAAGGTGAGGTACGGTAAGGTAACGTAGGCTAAAGTAGGGTAGGGTAGGGTAGGGTAGGGAGCGGTAGGGTAGGGTAGGCATTGTAAAGTAGAGTAGGATATAATATTTTCCGAAAACTTATTCACCTAACTACATTTCCTACACCTATTCCCTCTACTACATTAACCACCCCACTATTTCAACTACTCCTTCCTTCGAAACTATAACATCTCATTTGTCCGTCAATTGTCAATGCTGTGGTGGAAAGAAATATCGCGGCAGAACGTTGGTCAGTTCGGCGTGATGTCCTGAGGGGCTTTACACAAAACGCCTTGGGGGGGGCGAGGCGAGAAATGTATTTTCACCTGAAAATGGAGTGCATTTATATGTTCTCAAAATACGAAATTTGTTTCGAATGTAAAAAATAGAGAGGAATATGTAAAAAAAGATGTGGCAGTAGTTTTTGGCGGGCGGATTCGGATATTAGGATTAGGGACGGGCGGAGGACAAGAGGACTTACGTTTGGAGCCGTGTGTTTTGGGGGGTGTGGAAGTGAGGGAGGTGGGGGGGGAGGAGTAAAATGGTTATCCAAACCCTAGTTTAGAAATAGAGCTAGGGTTAATGATAAGGCTAAAGCTAACTAGACATGGGGAACGGGCCGGGCGTGAATGTTAGGCCCCCGTTTGATCTAAGCTTAGCTCTGGCTCGGCTCGGCCCGGTCCGCATTTATTTTTACATGTAAATATTTCGTGATTCAAGTTATACTCAAGCTTTAAGTGAGCCCTATATACTCTAGCTTCAAGCTTCACGTTAATCTTGCTTCACCTTACTGCTTACTCTATCTCTTTATTTAGGTCCAGTTTAGCCTCAATTAAGCTGTTTCATTGGCTTTACTAGAACCTCACGTCTGAATTATTAACATTTTCCTTTGTTTAACTAAAACTTGATCTTGGCCTGGTTTTGCTATAATTTTAGGGTTTTTTAAAACTTTTATTCGACGTTGTTCTTAGCTTTAGCTTAACTTTACAATATTTTTTTTTAACAGATAGTTTTAAAATTAATTTTGGCATATTTTTTCCAAACCTTTTACTATTTATTACCCCATATTCCCAATTTATTTATAGTACATTGCAAAAAACTCATCAACCAGCACTTAGCATCCCTCCTATAACTTGATTACGTGTGGTCGCAGAGGATGAAACTAGCTTAATTTTCCGGCTAAATGCCGCTGGGCATTTGATTAAATAAATCGGAGGAGAAGTTGGTCAAACGCTTAATAAGGTTTATATTCGTGTCCACTACATGTTAAGGGTAGTAGTATATGATAGCCTGGTAAAGTATTTGGGTAAAAAAGAGAAGGGTAGTGTTTGTTATGGTGGGGAAGGGTATGGTAAGGTAGGATAAAATAGGGTGGGGTAGGGTAAAGCAGGGCATGATAGGGCAGGGTCCACTGAAATATTTCATATTTTCTACAATTTTTTGGATTTTTTTTGTAAAATACGGCTTCTCGACTAATGATTTTTAGTAAAACATAAATTTTTAAAGTTAAAAATAAATTTATATTTTCAAAACTTTAAATTTAAAAAATATAAAAAAAAATTAATTTGGATGCTCGTGTTATCAGTGCCGGGCGGAGAATTTTGGTGTGGGGGCGGGGGTCGAAAAAATTTTTTCCAAAAAATCCACAGGGGGGGGGGACCACGTTCAACTTTTTTCGAAAATTTTTATCTGGGGGGGGGGACGCCCGGCCCTGCGTGTTATGTATTAGCATCAGACAAGTTCTTTTTTATAAACTAGCTTTTTTTTCAATTTAAAAAAATGCTTTTTTGGGCTAATTTGCTCTATTTATGCTACGTTCATAAAGTTTTTTATTACCTTTAAAACTCATCCACAGTTTTAACTTTGAACTTTATGAATTCAAAATTTGTAATAAGCTTGTTTGAAAGCCTTTAAACTTTAAAATTTTTATACTGCTACTACTACTACTACTACTGCTACTAAATATTATTATTTTTTTAAATTTTTCAACTAGAGCAGGGCAGGTGAAGGTGATTTGGAGGGTAGGGTAGATATACAAAGTGCGCCAAAAGTTCTGTTTTACGGTTTTTTAATCTAATATTTAGCTTTTGGCGCATGTATATATAGAATACAATGTAAAACTAAAAAAAAAAATTTTATGTTGGAAATTCACAGGAGGGTAGATCTGAGAAGAAGCTCACGAACCCGGGCCAAAGCAAATTTAAAAAGAACAAAGCCGAAAAATACAATTTCAGCTTTACAGGTCTACAGGAAAGGGGAAGGAAACCAGTTTAAGTTTCTTTTTTTATTAACAATTTTGCAACAATTAAACTACAGGACGTACTTTAAATTTTCAAAATTTTTTAATTGATAAAAACTATAATTTTGATCTTGTTAGTACAGGTAATTAGCACCTTTTTATATTTTATCATTTTGTAATGCCAATATAAGAGTAACATTTAGGTGCGACCCAGATAATACTTTAATTTTTAGCCAAGTACCCAGATAGATAATACTTATTTGTCACTTTTTTGGATTTTGGAGGTTGGGGGTGGACTAAAATTTAAACAGTTTTTCTATCTGTACTATAAGGTGTTGAGTTAGTTCCTTTTATGTAATAACTAAATCAATGATAGGGCTAAAGCTAAGAAGAGGTGAGAAACAGGGTGAGTAAACCTGGCTCGGCTCAGTCTGGTTTTACAATTGGACTAAATATCAGGATCTGTGCCGTGCTTCAAAAGCGGGCTTGGTCCGGATTGTTTTTCATTTTTCTATCTAGAGTTTTACTTTATATTATACTTGTATGTGCAGATGTGGCATATGATTATTGCATCATTTTCTAAATTCGCACGTATTCCCAAAAATTTAATTTTTAATATAAGGATAGTCAGATTAGCCACAGTATATTAATTTTTGGCGCAAACCTGATATTTAATGTTAATATTCGTATACAAACATGTCTAATGACAAAACACTAAACTCTTCAGAAATTCTAAGAATTAAAAAAAAATATTTACTAGTATAATATAAAAGCTATAATACACTTTTAAAAGTTAATACTTAGCCAGTATTATTAAATATATTACCAACAAATTATTGTTTGGGCGGATTACTTGGCTTAACTTCTTCTGTTTCGATATTTTAAGAGGTTGAGTACAAATTTATAGTGTTCGGTTGTGATCTTTATATAATTTACATTTGTAACGTCCAGATTTTTAAATTTATGTTGCGGTTAAAATTATTATTCAAAAAAAAATTGCAAAGGGCAGGTTAGGTGGGAGGATAGAGTAAAATATAATAATTCATGATAAGGAAGGGAATAAAAATGTAGGGTCAAGTAGGGTAGGATGGAAAGAGGAGTGTAATATATTAGTAGGAAAAGGAAAAAAAAGGATAAGGTGTGGTATGGTTTAGTATAAAAAACATAAGGCTGTGATACAATATGGCTAAGAATAAGCTGGAGTCTGTGCATGAGCATGAGCATGAGTATGAGCATGAGCATGAGCATGAGCATGAGCATGAGCATGAGCATGAGCATGAGCATGAGCATGAGCATGAGCATGAGCATGAGCATGAGCATGAGCATGAGCATGAGCATGAGCATGAGCATTATCATGAGCATGAGAATGAGCATGAGCTTTTTTGTTAGCTTTTTACTAGTTTTTGACATAGCCAACTTTTTTCAGCTTTTAATTACTATAAAAGTACAAAATTTTCATTTTAAAAACAACCATTCCTAAAAAACAACTGTAGTTTCGAAAAAACGCGTGAAAAGTGAAAAATGAAAAAAACGCTGCGGAAATTTCCTTTTCCCGGCGGTCTTCATCATCGCGGCCGAAGAGATGGCCAGAAAGCCGATTATGGCCATCTTGAATCTCGACCAACTTCTCGGCTCTCTTTTTCTTTGACTTTCGAACTTTCAAAAAAAATCTCAAGATTTCCCGCCGAAAAAGTCATTTTGAGCGAAAAAAGAATGGACTTCCGACAACTTTCAAATTACATTGTTTTACAAATTGCTAACGGGTTCGTGTTGCTTTTTGATTAGTTGAGGGGTGGGAACGGTACGTAAAGGTAGGGTTATTGATATACACCAAACGGTAAATTTTTTAATGTTAAAAGGGGGATTGGGGGCGGGGTAACTGTGCGTGTATAAAATTAGGAGTGGGGGAGGTTACCATACTAATTGTTTTTATTTTTTTTGATCTTGCAGTTTTGAATTTAGTGTTGTACTAAAGAATTATATCTTGTATTTCGGGGCTAAGCCGGGCGTAAGCAAAATTCAAGCTGTCGGGCCTAGTTTTTGGCTTGCGGGACTGGCTAAGAATTCGGTATTTGTTAGGCTAAGCTGTACTACTAAGGCTAAGGCTAAGGCTAAGGAAAAGAGAAAGGTTAAAGGCCATGCTGATGCTGATGCTGATGCTCATCCTCACGCTCATGCTCATGCTCATGCTCATGCTCATGCTCATGCTCATGCTCATGCTCATGCTCATGCTCATGCTGATGCTCATCCTCACGCTCATGCTCATGCTCATGCTCATGCTCATGCTCATGCTCATGCTCATGCTCATGCTCATGCTCATGCTCATGCTCATGCTCATGCTCATGCTCATGCTCATGCTCATGCTTATGCTCATGCTCATGCTCATGCTCATGCTCATGCTCATGCTCATGCTCATGCTCATGCTCATTTTCGTTGCCTTGCTGTTTCTTTTTTCATGCATCTTCATTATAAATCAAAAAAATAACCGTTCATAATTAATAAACCCACTCTTAATGTAATCCTTAATTAGTCAAAAACGAAAAAACAAGTCATTATGAATAAAAAACATAAAACTAGCCAAATTTGTGGATAAAATTTTGTTTACAGCTGGCTCGGTGTAATCTATTAAAGTTAGGATAATCCGTATAAATTTTACAGTCCATGTAAATATGGAGACTTTGCGGACGAATTCGTTCGTTTTTTGTATTTTTTGGCAAAAATTGTAATGTTTTGTGTGGGGTTTTTGTTAAGCACCTTGAATTATAGTTTAAATTACTTTAACTGTGTTTCTGCTTGCGCCTGTGCTTGCGTTTAGGTATGCACATGAGCTTAAGTTGGGTTCACCCCGGAATCGGAGCCTGTGCCTTAATTTAAACCTGAGCTTAAGATTAAGTTAGAGCGTAAGGTTGATTTTGAGCATGAACTGGAGCGTTGGTCTTAACTCTAATCTGAATTTTAGCTTTTGTCTGAGCTTGAGATCGAGTCTGAGTTTGTGCATGTGCATGTAAACTGAGCCTGAGCATGAGCCTGCGCCTGCGCCTGAGCCTGAGCCTGCGCTTGAGCCTAAGCCTGAGCCTGAGCCTGAGCCTGAGCCTGAGCCTGAGCCTGAGCCTGAGCCTGAGCCTGAGCCTGGGCCTGAGCTTGAGCCTGAGCGCTTGACTATGAGTTGGAGTTTATGTTTAAGCCTGAGACTACGCTTGATCTTGCGCATAATCTTGCGTTAGAGCCTAATATTAAGCCAAAGCTAAAACCAGAACTAGAACCACAGCGTTAACCAGAGTCTTAACCTCAATCTTAGCCTTAGCTCTAGCTTTAGCCTTTATGCAACCCAATTTTTCATTTTTGCTAGGTTTTTTAATCTGTTGTCTTAGCCATGCTTTTTTTAACTCTAATAGAAAAACTATTTTAAAAAACATTTTGTTGTCTTTTAAACATTAACCCTTTACTTAAAATACAATTTCTTTACACACGTCGAAGTCACCACGTTTTCATGTTTGTTACACCAATCTTAGTTTCTTACAAGCCCATTAACGTCTAGTAAATGTAAAACAAACCTTGTTGTAAAGCCTGGTAATCTCCAGTAGTCGATATTGTTAAGCCGGAAACGTCGGATTTGGCCTCTTATTTGATTTAAAATATTGTTATGGCTGATATCTGGCCATATGCAGTTTTTTATGGCCGCCACGGAAAGGACGTCGCTTTTAATTTTACTTTGGATTTATGAGTACTTAGTATGTGCTTTTTATTTAAAGCGTGAAGAGATAATGTTTTATATACTTTTTGGTTTTGGATTTGTGTAAAGGCTGTTGTGTTTTAGTGCACTATGGTAAGGCTAGGTTAAAGCAAATGTAGTTCTGAATTAAAGTAGAACACTGTAACAATAGGACAGGACTTCGGCGTGGAAAAACTAGGGGGAAGAAGAAGGTTGGGTTAAGTCTAGGAAAGCTAAGGCTAAGATAAAGCAAGATCGAAGAAGGCTGGGGGAAAAGTAGGGCAGGGTCATATAAAGCAAGAGCTAAGATAAAGCACGATGAGAGAAATGAAGAAATAAGGTAAAGCAGGAAGGGGGAAAGCTAGGTCTGATAAAGAACAAGGAAAAGGAAAGCTAGGGCTAACGGCAAACACAGAAAAAGATAAGGATAAGGTATCGCAAGGTTAGAAAAATCTAAGACAAGATTAAGAAAGGGCTAGGACAACTTATTTCATTGTTGGATAATTGATTATGAGTTCAGATGATGTTTGGTTGCAAAACAACAAAGTAATTTTTCAGTTGAATGACTATTGGCGTATGTGTTATAAAGTTTACTTTCTTGAACTTATCTTAGTTAAAAAGTTATGATTAGACCTTACGCTAGCTTTAGCGAGATATTAGCGAATAAAGGAGTTACATAGGGTTTCCTATTTGATCATTCTCATTTGTCTTGAATAAAACGAATGGATTGAAGCTGCAATCCAATGTGGTCGAGTGGTTAACAAGTTGGTCTGGAGTGCAAAAGGGTGGAAGTACGGATCTCGCCGGTTTTATTTTGGCGCCCAGCCATGCTGACAAAAAGTTTTGGCTAGCCAAACAATATTTTAATTAAAAAAAGTTTTTTTAAGTTATATTTTTTGCTTTTAGACACTTTTAGAAAATAATATTCATTAAAAAATGTCATTTTTTAAACTTTAAAGCTATACCTTGTAAACATATAAGGATACAGAGCATACTGTAACTCGCTAGCCAAGTTCATTTAGCAGTTTTTGAAAACAGTTCTCCCGGTAACTTTTTATGCTCTTTCATCCTATATAGGTCTCGTTCAAAAAGCCGAGAGATATTTGGTGCAATTCCCTAGTTAGTTTAAACATGGCGCAGCTTTGCATCTGTAAAAAACTACGCCAGGCCGTAGTTTTAAAATTTATAAAATGAAGCTAAACATTTTTTTTTTTATTTTTCTAATTTTAGCCATTTTTAGTCGTTATAAATTGTACAAACATACTACACAAATTAGAGGAATGTTTTCGGCCGCACTTTAAGGGTCTTCCAACAGGATTTCGGTCTGAATAATAACAAAGAAAAGTCAAGTTCTTTTGTTTTTTCCGTCAGCCTTCTGGCATCTTTACAATATTCCTGACGCTAGGAAACTGATAGTATTATGTCATAGTTGTATGACAGCTTTAGTATAGGTTTTTTTACTTTGAAGTGGGTTTTTTTAAAAAGTTTTGGATTTTTTTTTGGATTTTAGAGGTTTGAGATTCAGTCTTATTTAATTGTACCTTTAGGCCTCAAAATGGTACAAATAAGACTAGTTTTTATTAAAAATAAAAAATTTGATGTTTTGTATATTACGTTGTTTACTATTAGATTGTTCACATAATTCTGCGCCCTCTTATTCCACAAGTTTACTTTGAAAGAGAGCGCAGAATTAAGTGAACAACTTATAATTCTGTGCTCTTCTTAAAGCAAATTTGCGGGGTTAGGAGCACATAATTATTTAAAAGACTTAATATTAACCATGTCCTAGCCAAAAACATTTAAAAAGTTCCTTTCACATCCATTTTTACCTTTTCTGGATACGGATATCGAGTTACGTTGGTCGGAAATGAAAATATACACAGGTATTTTTATATTCTTTTATAGGTAAATGCCGTGCAAGTGCATGGTCAGATCGCGTGAGACAACTTTTCACATGTTTTTTAACTCAAAAAGTACAATTTTTAAAAAGTTTCAGAGTTAACAAATTTTAATGATTTTTATACTGTGTAGCGAACAGTTGGCTGGAATGGGATCGGGCATTTTGGTGTTGAGGAGCTGAGTAGGGTAAAATATTTTTGATGTTAGGTAGCTTGGCAGAGTATACAATTTTTCATGTTAGGTATGAGGCTACGCTAGAGCAAAGACAAGGTAAAATACGTCGAAGGTAGCGCTTGTTTCTGTTGGATTACATTGACAGTTTGTATTACTGAGTAATTGTTTTATTATACATAAGTACTGTTACGGTAGACGAAGGCTGACTGGGACAAGCTAAAGTAAAGTAGGCAAGGCAAGGCAAGGCAAAGTAAGGCAAGGCAAGGCAAGGCAAGGCAAGGCAAGGCAAGGCAAGGCAAGGCAAGGCAAGGCAAGGCAAGGCAAGGCAAGGCAAGGCAAGGCAAGGCAAGGCAAGGCAGTTAGGTTTGTTAAATTCTTAATATGTTGTGCCAAATGGGGGGAGGACACAATTTTTTAAATCTTTTTTACTTCAAAAATCAAGAATCCAAAACAATGAGAAAGTTTATTTTATTTTCTGTCATTTCACTTGTTTGACATTCTTCTCGGAGCCGTCAAAACTCGAGCGTTTGGATGACAATAATCAGGCTTATCTTTGTCTGATTTGTGGACCAGTGGAATTTCATGTCCTCAGGCGTTTTGAGGTTTTTAAAAAAATGTTTTTCTTCCTTTGTTTTTTATTTTTCAGTTTTAAACAGGCTTATAAGTGTGTTTTCACTAATCTTTGCGCATTTTAAATGTTTTCGTGGCGGGACCTAAATTTGTATTTTAGTTTCGTCATTTTAGTTGTTGATTTTTAAAAATATTGCCATTTTACGTGTTTTTTAATATTTTTTAATTTTTGGAAATTTTTAAAATTTTTAAAATTCAAAAATTTTTTTAGAATTTAAAATTCAGCCCGTTTTGTGGGCAAATGCTGGCGTATTGCCGTAGCCCAACGTTACACGGGTTTCTACGGCAGTTACAGTTGATTTACAGTGAGTTTTTTTAAACTCTTAGGTTTAAATAGTTCTGTGCCTCATTACAAAACAATTTTTTGAAATGTGGAAGCACAGAGCTATTTGAACAACCAAAAATTACGACTATATTTAAGTATGACATTTTAACTTAATTTTTTTTAAAATTTAAATTGATACTGCTATAAAGCGCCTCGGTCAGCGTATTTTACCTCTCATAACCCTTAGATCATCACTACCTTCAACTCTTATCACTAATTTTCTCAACCATATTATTATCATCTTCAACATCAGCAGCTGTACATTCACTACCCCTAAGTCGACATAGTAGACATCGTTTACAGTGTATGACCTGCGTTATGGTACCTGGTGATACAACGCAGTTGGATCAATTCAGAGTACGGCAAAACTTAATAGAGCCTTGGTGCGAAATGGAACCAGTGGAATGTGCTCCACAACAGGACACTTGTGTTACGGTTTCTATGCAGGTAACTTACTTTTTATAATGAAAAAACTAGGTGGGACAGACAATAAGTATGTTTTTCTTGGGAGGGGTTTGGGCGGGGTAAAATTGTTTAGTATTTTTTGTTTAAAGGAGAAAAAGGCAATTGGCTAAGATGGTCAAGACAGGTTCTAAGCTTTGAAAAAGTTTTTAAATGTGGATATTATTGGCTAGGACTCGAGCTAGAACTGTACCAGCTAAAAATAGAGTTATTACTCAAGCTAGGGCTGGGTAAGGTGAGAAACGGATTGGCCTTGAGTTAAACCAAGGCCCAGACCGGCTCGAAACACCGACCAGTTTGCACGTAAAAAGAGGTGGCTAAGTCTAAACCTGAGGCCCCGGGCTTAGGACGGGCCTCAAAAGTGAACCCGGCTTGGCTCGGTTCTCACCCTCAGGGCTAGGGTTCTGGGCTAGGGTTCTGGGTTAGAGCTTTGGGCTAGGGTTCTAAACTAAGGCTCTGGGCTAGAGCTCTGGGCTAGGTCTTTGGGCTAGGGCTCTGGACTAGGGATCTGAGCTAGGGCTTTGTGTTAAGGATCTGGGTTAAGGCTATTTTTAAATTCAATTTTTAAAGTGTTGAATTTGTAAAAATTTTTTCAGGTAGCCTCCCGCCGTTTCTGGATGGGCGCAGGCTGTGACCAACGCGTCAACTATGATATTCCTGCTGATCGTGATGGTTGTGCTGAGCTTCAGACCTTTACTAGAAACATTCAGCCTGGTTATATGGAGGAGCGACGAGCTATTCAACAAGTTTGTCTTTGTTCTACTCCTTTATGTAATAGCAGTCAAGGTAAAAACTTGTCATATCTTTTGGTCGTTTTAGGATTACTAGCAGTTTTTAGGATACGATAGTAGAGTGTGGTGTTAGCTAAGTAATTATGATATTGGCTAGGTATTTTTTAAGTTGTTTTGTTATTTTTTGAGGTTTTAAAGCTAATGGTATTCTTTTTATGGGAGGTCTAACTGGGCCGTGCTCAAAGTGATAGCTGTGGCTTTTAGTAGTTATTTGGCTACAGTAAAATTTTTTTACATTTGGCACTATAGCATACTAATACTAGTACTATTTTGACACATTTTTCAAAAAATTTACAAGTACCATTTATAATATAGCCCTTTAAATACTAAAAGTGATAAAACGACCGATTATCATGACATCTTAAGTTAGTGACAAAGACAATAGATATGACAAAATACATTTCAATACAATTCCACCCATTTAAGCGATATATTGTTATTGTAATACTTTTTTCCTTACCATTGTTTTAAATTTTTTACGTTTTAATTTTAGGTAACAAAATGATTATTTCCGGGTATTAAAGGGCGGGTATTTCTTTTTATTTGACTTGGCTGTAACTTTGGTAAAAAAGTGTTGTTTATGACTCTTATACTACTAAAAATGGCAATTTTATTAATTTTTAAAATTAAAAAATTTTTTTTTTATTTTTTGAAAATTTTTAAGTTAGTAAAATTTTATAGTTGTTTTAACAAAGTCACAACCATGTTATAGTACGGTGTCTATATGTTTTTTATCCTAAACCGAGATATTTTATTGACCAGTCAACAAAACTTAATTATTCTTTCATTGGCAACTTTTAAAGATAAATAAGGTTGCTTCGTTTCACTGTCATTCATTATTAACATACAAAAAGCATTATATTTATATGTATCTTATTGAAAAATACAAAATAAACTGTTTTTTAATTTTGTATTGATTTTTTTATTTTTAAAGCTTTTGTTCTAGTGCTTTGGCCCACAGCCCTAGCCCACAGCCTTAGTCCAAAGCCCTAGCCCAGAGCCCTAACCCAGAGTCCGATCCCAAAGCCCTAGTCCACAGCCCTAGCCCAGAGCCCTAACCCAAAGTCCTAGCCCAGAGCCCTAGCCTAGAGCTCTAACTCAGAGTCTTATCCCAAAGCTCTAGTCCACAGCCCAGAGCCCTACTTAGAGTTTTAAGCTCCAGCTTACAGGCCCAGTTTTAGCTACTAGCTCTAGCCCCAGCTCTCGCCCAGAGCCTAAACCCAGAGCTTTATCTCAAAGCCCTAGCCCAGAACTCTGGCCCAAAGTCTAGCTCTAGGTTTGCCCTAGACCCTGTTTTGAGCCCCAACTTCAAGCGCCAGCGCTAAATGTTTTTCTTCAGTTCTAGCCCTAGCCCCAGCTTCTAACCTCAGCTTTCAACTCTGACTTTTAGATTCAATTCTAGCTCTAGCTCTAGTTTTAAATTTAGCTTATGACAGCCGAACCTTTGCGCCCTACCTTGACACCTCAAAATCTTTTTTTTAAATTTTCCTTAAATTTTGAAAACCCGGAACCTAAACCTATTTATCATTTTGTCGCCAAAAATAAGGTATACTCAAAGTTATAAACAATCCTATAGCCGATGTATTATTTTTGTTTTGTCCTTGCTAGTTCGGATCGAGAGTTCCTGTTTCTTTTTTAAGTGCCTAATTGATCTAAAACAATTTGTTTGATTTTGATAGATTTTTACAAGCTTTTCATCCCTTCAGGCCTTGAATAAGGATTTAAAAGTTCGTTTTTGTTCTAATGGTGCAAGTTTTTTTTTAAAATTTTATAATTCTTTATTTTTATTTTATTAAGTCGTTCACTTAATTTTGCGCCTTCTCTCTTTGTTGTTGTTGCACAAGAAACTTTTGTATATTGTGCCAGGGGGCGCAGAATTAAGTGAACGGTCTAATAGAAAAGGTGATTGCGAGTTATTTGATTGTAAAATATGTATTTACCAGTTAATTTTACTACGCCAAAATTGATTAGTATAATATTATAAACATCGGAGCTCTTTGAAACTCTGATTATAAGTGTTTCAATTGTGTTATATGCAATTTTATTGGTGTTCTCATATAGTGGAACTAATGTACAACGAATCGCCAGGGTATCTTTCTTTTTGCTTTGAATTTGATTATTATCTTATAGTTCCCGTCAATTAAAAGGGCAGCCTTCGTTCTCTGAGATGGTAACACCTAAACAAAAAATTTTTTCTCTTATCGATAGACCGATGATTTTCATGCAAATTTTTAAAAAATCAAGAATTTTGCTTTTATTTTACGAGCTACAGAAATTATTCAAATTTTCAAAGCAGCAATTAAAAGGGAAGTCTATAAAATATTCAAATCCTCCCCAGAGAAAATCCGTAGCGACGTCCTTGGGTCAGCTAGTTCTTGGCTTATTCGTTGAACTAAAAACAGAGAGTTTGATTTCTTTTCCAACTGAAACGGGTCTCGCTACTTCTGGTTCAAACTAATATATAATAGTACCGTGCTCTTTTAAATTTTCTTAAGTAAACTGCCATTCTTTAAAATTAACTAATTTGCGTATCATTTTGTTTAATTTGAGTTAAAGTAAAATTTCATGTTATAGTATGTACCTTTCGATCGAAACATTGCTTGGCTTTAATTAGCCAGGTTGGCTGTGCAAACACGCGGAACAGGTGCGTTCCGAAACTCGATCAGTCTGTCTTTCAATTATGACGTTCTGATTTTAGCACTCTGGAGTTTACTCAACCTTTTTTTAACATTTGGCAGTGCATTTATCATTTCTTCTGGGATAAACGTGGGCTTAGGTTGGGCTTGAGTAAGGCTGATGTAAAGGTCCGGTGATGTAAAGCTTAAGAGCGACTACGGTAGGGATTGAGCGAGGTCAGGATAGTACTAATTTAGGGTAGTACTAGGATGGCATTAGAGTAGGTTGACTGGGATAGTGCTAGAGTACGGTTACACTAGGGTAGTTCTAGGACGACATTCCGGTAGGATAGTACTAATTGTAAGGTGAATGACTAGGGTACTACTAGGGTAGTGTTGGACAAAATTAGGCCTAGTTAAAAGCTAAAATTGGGTTAGTGGCTAAAATAAGACTATGATGATAGGACTATGATATGGCTGAAGGTTAAGACTGTGCAAGAGACTCATCAAAGCCTATGATAGAGCTAAAGGATAAGTCTAGTCTTGAGGCTAGGATAGGGTTATGATTGGGCTAAAGGCTAAAAAAGGACTGATATCACGAAAGAATAAAGCACGCCGGAAGCTGTGATAGTATTATGATATGATTAGACATGACTGTGGTAGGGAAAACGAGTAAGACTGAACAAAGAAATTAAAAACTAATTTTTAACAAAATTTTTAGTACTTCCAAATTTTCGATCACTTTTTAATCGATTTGAACTCTGCAAGGTTAATGTCTACAAAGTTAATTTCAAAAGCCTGAGTTGCAATTTTGAAAAATTTTATTTTTAAATTCATTTGAAACTGATCACACTTTTTATAGCATCCATATGTGTGACTGACACTTCAAGCTTCATCTTGCTTTAGTTTTTTGTCTGGCCTTTTTGAAAAAAATTCAAATAATGACCAGCGCGAGGCAAAAGAACCGTTTTTAAATGACATTGGCGGGCGGATTAAAACGTTCTCAAACAAAGGCCAAAATTTAGCTTTTTTAATTTTTTAAAATTATTTTGAAATATACAAAGTGTGGATGGGTAGAATAGAAGCTATGGAAGAGGTTTTTGCTAGGGCAGGGTAAAGGTTAAAGATTTTAGTAGGAAACTATGTACATAGGTATTGGTTAGGGTAGGAGTTAGAGTACAGAAGATGGTATATAATATGTAGTAAGAGATTTTATGGAGAAGGTGAAGCTCACGCTTCTAGCGCCTTCTTCCAGCCTCAACACTAGCCTCAGCTTCAGCTAAAGCCCCAGACCCAAACGTAGCCCCTTCTATTTAGCTTCAGCCTCAGTGCCAGCTTTTTTCCCAGCACTGGCTCTCAGATTCTCAGCCTCAGAATAACTGTAGGCCTAGCGCTAGCTCTAGCCTTAGCTCTAGCTCTAGCCTTAGCTCTAGCTCTAGCCTTAGCTCTAGCTCTAGCTCTAGCTCTAGCTCTGGCCTTAGCCTTAGCCTTAGCCTTAGCTTTAGCTCTAGCTCTAGCTCTAGCTCTAGCTCTTGCTCTAGCTTTAGTTCTAGCTCTAGCTTTAGCCTTCGTTTTTAGCTTTGGCCTCAGCCATGGTCTCAGTCTTGGCCTCAGCGTGAGCACTAGCCTCAGCTTCAACTCCAGCTAAAGCGCTAAACTCATCCCTAACCCCAGCTTCAGCGCTAGCTCCAGTCCCATTCGTAACGCCAGCTCCCGTTCCCAGCCTCAGCTCTAGCTTCCACCCCAGCTTCATATACCTGTATCAAACCCAGCTGTAGTCCTGTTCCTAGCCTAAATTTTAAAAAATTTAAAAAAAACCGCGAATTCAAATAACACTGGCAATAAATTGGCGGACTTTAATTACAAGCATTGTTTCTATTTAGGGGTGGAGGATTTTTGCATGTTTATGCCCTAAGGCCTTTTGTCTTTTTGGCGGCGAGAAGCCCAGGAAAAGGGGTGGATTTTTGCCAATGAAACCAAAAGTCTTGTTCCTTTTTCGCTGCCGTCTCCGCGAACCGTGCCATCTTTTCGTATTGTTTTCAATTACGTAACAGTTCAATCGGCTGAAGTCGGTTAAATATATTATTTTAGATGTGTTTTAAGACCTCCGGCTGTTAGCATGTTTTAATGGCTTTTTGAGTACTAGGGCTGAGATTGAGTACTAGTGCTATTTTTAAGTACGAGTGGTGTTTTTCGGGTGCAAGATCTGTTTATCTAAGGGTTTTTTGGTGTTTTTGAAGGCTATTTTTGAAGTTTGGAGTTATTTTTTGGGCATTACTCTTGTTTTTTGGTACTATATAGTACTATATGTTTAACTTTTGTTTCCGGGTACTATATAGTACTATATAGAAGTTTATTTGTTGTAACTATTTAATACTTTTGGTTTTTGGTTTTATGAAGTACTAAACGTTTAACTTTTGTTTCTTGGTACAATATAGTACTATATAAATAAATTTTGTTTCTTGGTACTATGTAGTACTATATGGACCTTTGCTTGTTGTAACATAATAATACTTTTGCTTCTTGATACTATATAGTACTATATAATTTTTTTTGGTATTTTTGAAATTTGTAAAGAAAGTTTTTGCTACTTTCAGCTTCATACAGAAAAGTTATGTGATTTTTGAAAAATATTATAGCTTTTAGGAGCTCTATTACTATTTTAAGCCCTAGTACTATCTCAGTATCGTTTTTACAATCAAAAGTTATTTAAAGGTCTAACTTTTCATACCTAAAAACTAATTAAAAACCCATTTTTTACACTTTAAAATACTGTTTTTTCCCCGTTCCAGCGTCTGTTTTTGAGTACTGGTTGTTTATTTCGAGTACGCTGTTTTCAACAGCCTTTGGGTGTTTTTTGAGCCGTTTTTAAAACTTTATATCATTTTATGTTTTTTCCAAATTCTTCTAAGAATTTGCTGTTTTTAATAGTTTTTAGTGATGCTCAAGGCTATTAACAGTTTTATGCCTTTTTAAGATGTATTTTAGTTTAAAAGAGCTATGTTTAGCGCCATTATAAGTATGTTTAGCATCATTATAACGAGTTCACAATCTATAATGACCGTTTTCCGGCAATTAAGCCCAAACTCTTTGCTAAAACACAAAAAGTACTTTGACTTTTGGAGTTAGCGGTTTTAAATAGGTAGAATAGCAAAAAAATGACAATTTTGAAGCATAATTTGGTGGTATATCTTAACTCTTATATAACGAACTCTTGAGGGAAGTCTTCAAAAGTGTTTAGTGTTACCTAAAAATTTAAAAAGTGTTTATTTTACAACAGTTTAGTTATAGAGGAGTAAGTTTGCAATACAGAAAATCCGCTCCAATTTAAAAAGTTTTTTTCGACATTTTTTTTTAGTTTTAAATTTTTGCTAAGCTGAAAATTTTTTGTTTGATAAAGTAATACACGCCATGCTTTTTTAGCATTTTAAATTCCGAGCTTGAATTTTCCAGCTTTGGATTTAAATTATGCAAAGCAAAGGAAAATATTTAACTTGGATGCATAGTAAGTGTTTACATTGTCAAAAAAAGAAGAGCATGGAAAACAACATTTTTATAGTTAAAACACAGTGCAAATCTTGTCTAACTAGACCTAAAAAAGTTTACTTTATAAGGTTCTGGGCTAGGCTAGTCCGGACCGAGGCAAATTGGAAAAGGACTGTACCGGCCGGATTGTTTAGAAACAAACGCCGGGACTAGATGAATGTCTCAGGGGCTCAGTTTAGGTCCCGCAACGAAAGATTTTGCTTTCAAAAAATGCGTAACGGATCTGATTAATAAAATAAAAAATTTTTTAATCAAGGCTTTACGACCAACCTGTCATCACCTTTTTCTTATTGTCATGCCCTTCCCTTCTGCCTTATGTTTTGTTTGGCGTTCCTTTTTATACATGCTTCGAGTTTTAGCCGTCTGACATTGTAATTCGATACTGTAACGTTTTAAAACTTTTTCGAGTTTAAAAATAACTCAAACGTTTGTTTGTGAAACATACGTTTTCTAGTACAATTCGGTGATCATTGTCGATTTTGAGGGGTGTGTATTGTTTTTGGGTAAGGCGAGAATGCAGTAAGAGTAGACCATTTTAGTGTTTGATCGCATGCTTGGACAAAGGATAGGGATGATTGAAGTCAAAGAAACGGGCAGCGCAAGGCACTATAATATAGATAAGGTAGGGTAAGGTTAAAGTTGTTATTCAAATTCAGGCTCAGGCTCAGGTTTAGGCTCAGACTCAAGCTCAGGCTTAGGCTCAGGCTCAAGCTCAGGTTTAGGTTTAGGTTCAGGTTCAGGCTCAAGCTCAGGCTCAGGCTCAGGCTCAGGCTCAGGCTCAGGCTTAGGCTCAGGCTCAAGCTCAGGTTCAGGTTTAGGTTCAGGCTCAAGCTCAAGCTCAGGTTCAGGTTTAGGTTCAGGCTCAAGCTCAGGCTTAGGCTCAGGCTCAGGCTCAGGCTCAGGCTCAAGCTCAGGCTCAGGCTCAAGCTCAGGCTCAGATTCAGGCTCTGGTTCAGGCTCAGGCTCTGGTAAGTTCAAGCTTAAGTTTAAGTTTCGGCTTAAGTTTAGGTTTAGGCTCAGGCTGAAGCTAAATCTAAAGCTAAGCTCAGGCTCAAGCTGAAGCTTAAGTTTAAGCTTAGGTTTAGGCTTACGTTTAAGCCAGCGCTGAGGCTAAAGCTTAGGTTAAGACTCAGATTTAGGCTAAATCTGAAGGCTACGGGTTCAGGTGATAATATTATACATAAAAATAGTAATATCATCTTCTTTAGACCCCAATATTTTTCATATTAATATTGCTTACGTCTATACTAACCACTTCTCAAATCAAGGATAATTCGACGGATTTTAAGTGTTTTCCACCACTTACAATTAATCAATTTGTATTGTTTTACCTTCTTTTTTATTATTTACTAGCACGTCTGGCTGTTCTGACAAGTGTCGTATCAACTAAGAACTTATTAAATAGGTTAGAACGATGAAACAATTTAACGTTTTGGATACGGAAATTAGATTTTATTGAGATTATTGACTGGTAATGGCCGTTCTTTGGCATTTTTTGCTAGTACTAATAGATTTTTGTGAACCGATTACATATTTAAAATTTTTTTAATTTTTGAAGTTTGCTATTTTCCTTTGATGTCATTGTGAAGCAGGGTCGAAACTCAATGTTTCCTACGATTGCACGTACTTTAATGCCCAATTTTGGGTCGATTTTAAACGTTTCCCAAGTGCTTTTTAAAGTTTATAAACGGAAAACCGGCTGTTTCAAATTTGAGCACCGGAAATGGCATTGCCGAAACATGTTCCGAACTCAAAAGAAGGACGTTTCTGCACACACGAATTTAAACGTTCCATCCTTATTTTATAGTTAATAATTTTAAAATTTTTATGTTGGTACGTTAGGATAGTGTAGTAGGTAGAAATAACTGTTTTTGGTTGTATGACTATACCTAGTACGGGTATCATGAATGTTTTGTGTTAGATTCGTTGATGTTTTCGATCAGAATTGGTTACAATTACAGTATGATGACGAAAGTTAAGTTTACCATATAGAGTAGAAACAGTAGAAACATGAAGATAATCTAGAATAAGACAAGGGCTTATGTATGATACGGTAAATTTAGGTTAAATAGGGTAAGGGTGGTATGGTGAACAGAGTAGAGCTTGTGATATAAGGTAAGTGGGGTTTAAAAGCTTATGATATAGAGTAAGGGCTAGAAGAACCGTCGTTGTACGGTAGGATAAATCTAGATTCGAAAAGGTATGAATGTTAAAGTAGAATACGGTAGGATAGTGTAAGATAGGGTAGGGATAATACGATAAAGCGGGTAGAGTAAGGTAGGGTAGGGTAGAGTAGGGTAGGGTAGGGTAGGGTAGGGTAGAGTAGGGTAGAGTAGGGTAGGGTAGGGTAGGGTAGGGTAGGGTAGGGTAGGGTAGGGTAAGGTAGGGTAGGGTTGGGTAGGGTAGGGTAGGGTAGGGTAGGGTAGGGTAGGGTAGGGTAGGGTAAGGTAGGGTAAGGTAGGGTAGGGTAGGGTAGGGTAGGGTAGGGTAGGGTAGGGTAGGGTAGGGTAGGGTAGGGTAGGGTAGGGTAGGGTAGGGTAGGGTATTTATCACATCACAGAACGTATTTGCCCTAACATAACACTTTGTCCGTTCTTCAGGGTCTTCGGCGGCCGTGCCGTAACTGCATTTACCGTGCCCAAAATATTATAATCTACATTCGATTCGGGACACAAGTTGTTCGAGGGCTTCTGCTTTAAACATTTCCGTTTCCAAAAGTTTTTCTCGTTGTTATATTCGAATTGGGTATTAGGGATGGGTCTTAAGACTTTTGGGGGTTTGTTTATAGAGTATTGGGCTGCGAACTTTGGCCGTTCGATGGTCTGTTTATGGTAATATTGCGACTTTTGGAAGTGTTTCAGGGTAATCGAACTTTGATTTATATGTTTAGGTTCTCTATTATAGCATTTGCAAACACGGTAAATACATGTAATTTATATGGGGGGGGGGTAAATTGCGAATTGTTTTATTATGGCTAGAGTCAAGGCAAAGCAAGAAAATTCAAGGCAAAGCACGGTAAGGCAAGGCAAGGGAGGGGAGGTCTCTGGGCTAGGGCTAGAGGTTTAAACTAAAGCTAAGACTAGCCTCTTAACCTTATTTAATGCTAAATATAGCCTCCAAAACCATGGCAAAATATTCTTTACAACTTTATGCAAAACTCGACGCTTTCATTACGGATTCCTCGGCAGCCTGAGAGATGTCATCTTCAAACATACGACTAATTCATTTCGACTCTAATTAGAGTTAGGAAACGGACTAAACTATGCTGTTCAGTCAGCGGAAAAGTTTTTGTCCCACAACGTAAGCAAGTTGTTGTTGGGACAGTTCTAGGTTGTCTAAGACTGTTTATAGTGCGGGTGTGTCTAGACTCGAGGCTTATATAATAAAAGTGTAACCTTATGTTACAGTGAGTAAGGGGGGGGGGAGATAAAAAAAGAGGGGGGGGGGAGGAAGGAAGGGTGTTTAAAGAAAGAAAAGGGGTGAGAGAGAGCGAAGAAAAAGGGCGATAAAAAGTAAATACCCTACCCTGCCCTACGCTACCCTACCTTATACTATCCTACCCTATCTTAACTTACCCTATCCTACTCTACTGTACCTGTTCTTGGTTTACTCGCTTACTTTGCTTTACTGTACTCAATCTTGTCTTACTCTGTTTTGCCTTACACAGACCTATCTAGGCTTACCCTACCTTACAGTACCTTGCTCTATCTAACTTTACTTTGAATTACTATACCTTACACATTTAAAATAATCATGCTTTACAGTATTTTATTAGGTGATTGCAAAAGGTTCTGGCCGATTTTTGTTTTTACCAAAATTTAATATTTAAAAAAAAACAACAATAACTAATTAACAAATATATGTGTCATTATTATCAACAACCTGTTTCCATCCCTTCGACAGCATTTGGATTCAACTTCTGTAGAAACCTGGAGTTTGAGAATTGAAAAAGTTAGCCCACCACCTCTTGAGGTACTCTCGATTGTCAAAGCGTGTTGCGTTAAGGTGATTTTGAAGAGAGTGGAACATATGATAATCTGTTAGTGCAACCTCAGGTGAGTACTGTGCATATGACATCACAGTCCAGCCGAGGCTTTTGAGCTTGTGTTGGGTCAACTTTGTCACAAGGGCGCAAGCAGTATCATGAATGAAGAAAACCCGATTCTGTTTACCATGCAATGCTGCCGCAATCGATTTAATTTGTCTACAATAGACATCCACAGGGATCGTAGTTCCATGTGCTACCATTTCCCAGTACACAATACCTGTTGAGTTCCAGCTAAAGCTGATCATCTTATCCAGTGGGTGAAGATCTGGTTTGAGGTTGATAGACCCTGTTCTCCACGTTCAAGCCATTGTTTCTTACTGGTGTGATTAACATACAGTACCCACTCCTCATTCCCAGTAACCAAATTGCCAAGCCATTCAAAGTTCCTTAGGAGCATCAACAAACAAGTGCAAACTTCTACTCGACGTTCAGCTGGTCGCTGTTCAAATCATGTGGAACTTCTTGACCATATTTCCGTAATCTCCCAAGGGCGTGAAGTCTAATTAATGTGGTAGAAGGGTCACACTGAAGCTCTACAGTCAAATAAGTACAGGTTCGTCGGAGGTCTTCTTCGGTCAGCTTCAGAAGGTGGGGTTTCTTCAACGCTGATGGTCTACCAGATCGAACTTTTCGGACATGTCAAAGTCGCCGTTTTTAAACTTGTGGAACCAAACTTTTGTGGTGTCGTAAGAGACAACTAAAGGTTCTACAGCACTGCATATTTTCTACGTCGCTCTTGTTGCGTTGCCGTGATTGCGGAATTTGAGAAACAACACTGGCCGAACATGATTGTGTTTCACCTTGATTTCTTGAACTACCGTAAACAACAGAAAGCTTGAACATGCAATAGTTTTTAGTCCTTGGACACCTCTTTATACAGGTTGCAACAGAAAGTTCTAGAACAGTGCAAAATTTTTAAAAAAATTTTTGAAAAATCGGCCAGAAACTTTTGCAATCACCTAATACAAGCCCTTTGCTTTACTATACCTTACCTTGCTTTTGTTTTTGCTTTCTTTAGGTTTTTAACAAATTGTACTGTACTCCATTACCTAAAATATTGTTTACATACCCACACTTTTTCAATTTCACACTTTTTGTGCCACCTCCCAACAATTCCGCGGGTATTGTAATCTCTAATCGAATAGCAATGGCGGAAAAAAATTTGAGCCAAACAAATATTTGGACAAGTTTTTCCTGTAGAACATGTTCTTAAACTAATTTGTGGCCTCTTCAAATTCGTCTCCGAATGCAGCTCGTTTCAACAACTTCTATTCTTTCCCCTTTTTTTGTTTAAATCCAATTGTGGAGCGGCCCGTTTTCGGCACATCAGCCTCATATAAAGTAAGGTGATCGCTGTTACATTCAGTAGCATTGTGATGGAGTTATAGTGGGTATGAGTAACAAGGAAGTTTAATATTGAGTATAGAGAGTTTTAGAAGACAAATTTTTGAGTGTGAGGAAATTATTATAAATATGTAGACTGATTTGTGATAGTTTAGAGTAGGGTAAGGTTGACTTGTAATATCTTTCTAAACTAAGGTTGATTTGTTATACATGTCTGGTTAATTATAGTATAATAGGTTTTAAAGTAAGTAACTACTGAGGGTAAGACGGATTTTAAGGATAATTTGTGTGTCAAGAGTAGGATAAGTTTTAAACGTACAGTAGACTTTTTGAAAGTGAGCTTGATCTTCGAATGTAGGGTAAAGTTGCTTAGCTTGGGCTGATTTCTATAATAAAGTTCATTAAAAGTAGGTTTTTAAAATATAGGCTGACCTTGTAACTTAGAGGCTAGACTAAACTTGTGACGGGATTGGGTCTTTTTTATAATATTGGTCGGGATCACTGGCCCTCAAATTTTCAATTACTAAACCGAGGAGTATAGTATTAGTAAGCATAGTAAGATTATATATAATAGTAGGTTTGGTAGAAAAAGCTAGATTTTGACGGTAGGTAGTTTTTTTCGAGTAAGGTAGATTTTTTGCGGATAGGGTAGGTTTTTCCTCATTATGTAAAACAATGTTTACGTTATTAAAAATAGGCTAGGCAAATATTTTAGACCAGGTGTTTTAACAACTAAAGGCTTTGTTCTTAACTTTTTTTTGCACTTCTTCTTCCCCCCCTCTTTCTCCCCTACTATTTAAAAAAAAT